AAGAAAAAAAAAATCATACTTATAGTTTTATGAATAACATATCACGTAATGGGAGACTATTATAAAATCATTTCTATGGCATGAAAACAGGTCAATTCTGTCGGCAACCTCATTTAGAGTGAGCAGTGCACGTGTGAATGGAGCCCTAGCCAGCAAGTTAAGGCCCATTTACACGGTGCCAGTTTCTTGCCTGTTGTATACAATTAAATTGAAGCAATAAATGAGTTGCATGGTCTAAACAACACATAACATTCTTGACTGTTGAACAAGACTTGCTTCAAGTTTTGTTTCAAAACTTTCCTTGGTGTAAACAGCACACACAATAATTTCTTAAGCAATTCTTGTATTCAATTGCATTCTCTCTTCCTTTGCAAACATGAGTGCGATGGGTGAGGGTGTTTAATCGTTGCTGTTCTTTTGAGGCAAGAAATATTGAGAAAAGGTCGTAAAAAAAGTTGGACGATAAAATGAATAATAATATATGGACAATAATAAATAAATCTCAATGAAATATATTAAATCTGCATAATCTAACTTGAACACTTATCTTTGACCCATTTTTTTAAAAATAAACAGCCCTTTTCAGAACGTTCAACACTTGAACGAAATATTTGTCAACGCAAATACTTGCAATACTTGAAGCAACACGCCAATAAATTGTACACGCACATACAAGCATGTGTTTAGACAAGTCAAAACTTGAAAGCAATAATCGCCTAAACATAATTGCATTGGTGTAAACAAAAGACATTTGCAATTATTTCTTGTCAAGACTTGCATATAATAATCGCATTCAATTTTTTTTACTATATCTGCGTGTAAACTGTTGCTTACAATTCTTGATGGTCAATTATTGCGCGCAATTTATTGCATTCAATTATTGTTCTTGTATGTACAAGAAAATGGCATCGTGTAAATGGGCCTTTAGTGCGCGCGCGCGGTATTGCAAGCAAGCGAGGACGCCGCCGCCTCCTAACGTAACCGTCGGGCGCGTTCAGTTTCAGTGTGCTGAGTGCCATTGTATTATGTACCACACCACGGAGTAATTTCCATACGTAGTCGACGAGTGCAAAGTCCCTACGAGTTTCCAGTTTGTCGTATCCTACCATACCTAGAACAAATAGTGTAGGATATGATACAGGATACAATGGATATACACCGTATAACCTTTTATATAGATACCGTGTAAATTTATTTTCCTTTCTACCATTATCTTGTGTTTAACGTCATCCGGTGCCCAAATTATTGCGTTATATTCAAGTTGGCTTCTCACTAATGCGACGTATAAGCATCTAATTGTCAAGATACTCGTGAAACCCTTCGTCCGCCTCAGCACGAACCCTAAATTTCTAAATGCTTTCTTGCATATCGCCGTAATGTGATTACGAAAACTAAAATCGTTATTAAAAGTAACCCCTAGATCTCTCTTTTCCGTGACTCGCAAGATGGGCTCTTTATTCATATTGTATTGATATTGAACCGTATTCCTAGCCTTACTAAAAGTCAGGATTGAGCACTTTGACACATTAAAGTACGATCTGTTTTCTTGGCTCCACTCAACAACTTTATTTATATCGCTCTGTAATCTTTCACAGTCCGTGTGATCATTTACTGCAAGCGATAGTTTGAGATCGTCCGCAAACAACAAACATGTACCCTTTTCAATTACTTCCGGTAAATCATTTATCATTAAAAGAAATTCTAATGGGCCTAAGTTACTGCCCTGACTTATGCCTGAATGTGTAAGAATATAGAATTATTGAATAGAATAATACTCTATAGTAATTATTGAAACTATCATTCAATTCCTTTTCGAAGAGACGAAGTATCCCACAAGACGTACCAAAATCGACTTCCGAAAATGTATTTAAATAATTACTAGTTAGCAATTGGCTGGTTTTATAATTGTTACTGTTACTGTATACCTTAGCGACAAGACTTTAAGCCGCCGTTAAAAAATTCCGTTCTGGATATTCGAAGGTAATAAAATAGGTACCGTTTTAAAAATAGACATTTATAATACATAGCATGACAATTTGTGATGTTTACAAAAGTACATTTCTTTTAAATGTCAATTATATTTAAGATAGATTTATTTATTTTTAAGTAAGCAGTGGAAAACGAGCAAGCGGCCACACCACAGTTTGTAACACCGAGAATGCTAAAGTGTTATCTGACGATTAAGTTGGGATCTTTTTGAAGGTCCATAATCTCGTATCCAACTAGCAACACACCAAACATTGACTCTACTAAGTAGCTGGCATGCGTGGCAAAAAAAAATGCAAGTAGTTCCACTGGCAACCCTTAAAATGCCATTGATGGTATTTTGATTCATTCGCAAAGTATTCTTTAGCAAAAACCACTCCGAGAAATACCTTCTAACACTTCCGTTTCATACAAAGAGATTTCTGTGGTAGGGCCACGTAAGTCTTCGCTGTCGCGCGAATGGGCAGGTCCGTCCGAGGAAGTACCACGACCTCACAAACACCGGGGCGAAGTGGAAATGTTATAATTGTGCGTTTCGTCTAGTGTGTGTGAGGTAATCGGACTCACCTAATTCACCCGTAAGGTTGCAACGCATTTGCAACCTTACGGGTGTTGCAAATATGATATTCTATAAAATATGAAACATATCTTTGCAAGGCTAAGAATCTAGCAGAGTCGGAAAGAGCTTGATCGGGTCCACCACAGCACAGTAACCCACGTGTGGCTAACGTGGGCTAACCCACGTGTGATTTAATCTAACTGTAAAATTATTTAATATTTTACCATGAACTCTCACATATTCTTTCGTTGGTAAATCAAACGGCTTCCACTTTGGTCGACCATATTGAAAATAGGTTGTCGAAGGTATCCCTTTATGGAATTCCTGCAAAATAAAATTTTACACAGACTTAGTATCGGAGACAGCTTCAATTTTCACGGTACTCTAAAAATAGTTGTCTGGTTATAATAAAGAAAAAGTATTTAATTCTACATATTGAAAAATTCCATAAATATTGTAAAACTACGCAAATAACTTTAATCCTTAAATATTTAAGATCAGAGGACATAATCAAAAAAGTAAAAACAAGTTACTAAATGTAATGTAAGTATTACTTGGTTCCAAATATTTTTTCTTATTATTTCTGTTTCCTGACGATCAGACCTCGCCGATTTCGGGTTGTAATCCGGGGGATGGTAGAGCATGTCGTAAGCACATAATCGGGCGTTTTCAGTATCGTATTTCGTATTAAAATATGTTTCCTTCGAGACTGGTATGACCATTTGGGTCGTCAAACGGTCTTCTCTCGCATATGACATAATATTATTAAAATATAAATTCCGTAGGTACCTGCTTGTTTTGCTATACTTATTAAAATTTAAAAAAGATGCTTGCGTTAGAGTAATTACATCCCTTTCGGTATGGGATTCTATAATTGGTGTCTATGATATTCGAAAGTAAATTTATACAGATAGATAAAACAGAGCCATTTTGTAATTAATTATAATTTCTATAGATCCAATACATTTATGTTATGTGTAGAAACATTAAATAAGGTAAATTTAATTTATAAATAAAAGTATATTTTTCTTCAAATAGTAATTTAATAATTATTACGTAAATGTATTTATCAATTGAGAGATCATTTCCTATAAATATCTTAAAAAGAACAGGCACTTATTACTAAATTGTCAATGTGACAATTACTTAAAATATATAACGAACTTGTCAACTACAGTATGAAAAAGATATTTTTGTAATGAAAGATTACCTACATTGTCAAAATTAAACCCAATCTATAATCACAATTCATGACGTTGTTACTCAAGAATCTTTCCACAGTGGCAACAAAACAACCAAAATGGACTATTACAGTGTTGAATCCGATATACTCGGTCAGTTCTGAAATTGTTTAGATTCTCTTACACTTTTTCATTTTTATTTACTTCTTTTAATTTTTTTTTTCAAGATTCTTTGGAATTTTTAATACCACCAGTAAAAAAAACTTTAAAAAAGCATAGTAAAGACAGACATTATATCCCAGATTTTTCGAGACAGCCCGATATCCATTTCATCAGAAAATTATGTTCTACGAAACATTCAAAAGAGAATTCAACTGAAGCTACAGACGGTGCATCTTCAACTTCGGTTATCATTAAAAAGGTAATTAATTATTTACATCGCATTTAATCTATATTATATTAATAAACAATTATTGGCGTAGCAGTGGGTTCGAGTTTGTGTTAAACTATGTCCTATCCTTTTATATTTACAGATACCCAAACGAAAATTTATTAAGCACAAACTATATAAAGACGACACTAAAATCCCACTTATACGGGTCACCGTTATCCCTAAGTTAGCGGAAACTCAAACTTCCCGAGTACTTAATAAAAGAAAGCAAATCGTCAAAAGGGTCCAGAGTACTATTTCAAACCAGGAAAGCTCTATTCACTCAAAAAACATTTATTTAGTGGTCACGGGACAGAGGGCCGATAAGATATACGAGATTAAAACGACTGAAAGCGAAAAATTTTCCAGTAACCAATCCTCTAGTCATTTAAAATATGAGGACATACCTCTTAAAAAACTAAGCGACTACAAACAGATAATCGATTCCCTCAATATGGAAAAAAAGAGAAAGAAAGATAGAAAAAAGATTACGAATACACCACCGCGAAACGAGTCACGGGCGTCCCTCGTTAATGGGATTTTCGGTGGCGCTGGCCTAACTGTGCAAGAGTGTATTTGCTCTAATACCAGACCAAAGAATACTTTTAACTCTGCTAAGCGCCGTAAGAGCAGGGTACGTATAATAGGCCAGCTTGGGCTTAGGAGTGATGATAAATATGTGATAAACTATGCCGCAACAGTAGACGACAAACCGGGTGAGTAAGAAATGCATATATATATATGTTTGAAATGGCTACTAAACTCTTTTTATATTTCTGCTAACACTTAAAATGATAATGTATTTTTAGTTGTAGCGAACTTCACTCACATTGAGAAAAATTTAATGCCAACCGAAACCGATGACACGAAACATTCCCAAGTGTAAGTTAAGTTCCAGTTTTATGATACAGTTGATTATATTAAGCTTAAATTGTCTTTCATTTTTATACTGACAAATAAAAAGGAGGAATGAAATTTGTATAACCAGAACGTTTGTTTTTTGAATGATAAGAATGTTACCAATCTCTTCCTAATGACCATTTCCATAATAAATTAACGTTTTTCTGTAAACTTTGTTACAGAAATACGTTAATTTCCTTCCGGCCTTTTCATTTGTACTCTGATATCATTTTAGTCACTTTTATGTAATAAAATTACAGAGATTCCACAGTATGTACATCAGCTTGCTGCACAAGTAATATCGTCTACGACGGTAAAAAATATCTTAGGTTAGTAAAGTAACCAAGCCGTTCTCTTTAATTTTTTTGCTTTTAAACTTTATCTTACTAATTCTTTCTTAATTATGATTAGAACACAGCGAGATTCTAATGTTCAAGCTAATCTTCTAGAACCCACATCGCACCGAGAGTTCTCAAACAGTTATGGCATCAGGTAATTATTTACTGGACGAGGGAAATGAAATCAATCATCTCTAAGTTGTAATGTGCGAAATAAAAACTATAAAATTTTCTTTCAGACAAGAATCACAAGGCACTCAAGTGAATTTGGATAAGTCATTTTCTATGGACAAAATTAGAAAAAAGCTGTACAGAGATCAGACAATACAGTGTTATTGTAATTGCAGTAACGTGACCGACGCGCGAAGCAGTACAACAGGTGCTGTCGCCAAGAGCAGTACAATCAAAGACATCAAAACCCCATTGGTCATTATATCCGTCTATCCTAAACAAGATGCAACAGAAAATGTCAGCAGTCATACTCTTATGAACCAACGTCAAATTTTGTCCAAGCGAACTAATGACATGAACGGTCAGCCTCAGTTCCCAAAAAAGAACAATGTGAACAGAAATGCAAGTGTCAGTCGTTCCCCTTCTCCAACAAACAGAAGCAACAACAAAAGCCATCTCAGTCGAAACTTCGAAACGAGATTTTTACAAACCAATGTCAAAAAGAAAAATATACCCCACCAAGTACCAATAATAAATCAAAACAAATCCTCATCGCCAACGGAATTGAGCAGCTTTACGTCGAAATCGAAAACCAGAGCGGAGTTCTTCAAAAAGTTTCCAGTCACCTTCGGATCTAGAGACTCAAAGGAGACGAATATGCGCTCGTCTAAGAAGAAAAATCTGGTTGACAGTTACACGATACCACCCGTTGTCATTAAAAGAGACGTCGCTAACAGCCCCGTATCCCAGAAGAAAAACTCATCCATTGTCAAAGTTAACATTGACACCGATAGGGATCGTCATGATGTTATGTGGCATCATCGTAACATGGCCGCGAGCGCGCGAGTCTCAAGGAGACCCAAAGACCAAGACTCGCAGAAATTCAGCGACGATGATTACGGATCTATGGAGAATTACTTGATGCTAACCGAAGATGAGAAAAGTACTGAAGGGTCGGTGTCACACACCCTTTGCTACTCTGTGAGTATCTAATACTTTATATACGTATATGAATGTAGCTATGTCATATATTTTATCGATATTATCTAGACTACTAATAAATTTAATATTATAGTATGTGGACGTGGGGAAAAAAACCCTTTACGAACATTCTTTCTTCCCCGAAAAGCGACATTATTCTCAAATAACATAAGTATTAGTAACAGCAAATATGTTGGTTAGTTAGTTCCTACTTTATAAACACATCATATCTGTCTACTCGTACATTGCCGGGTCGAGTTAACAAGTACCAAAATAGTAACAGGAAATAGTTTCGGAATATTGGATCATATTATCCTCACATTTTACGTTAAAACATATTCTTGTGTTAATGTGAAATGACAGGAAAAAATGCTATTAAAAACCCCATAACAAACTTTATGTAAATCATTAGTATATTTTGTTACGGATTTAATTGTATGATTATATTCAAGAGTTCAAAGAGTTTAAAATGTTGAGTCTTTATAGAAAAGTATCATTCCAATTATCTAACGCTTATCGCCTCTTCATGAAAGCATATTTTCTCCGTGATTCCCACAATTCAAACAATAACATCTATATTCATATTAGGGAGAATCATTGAACATGATTAAATTATCACATCACCGTCATTGCAGACTTACCCAAGCCCACTGTTGAATACTGGCCTCCCACATACATTGCCTCAATGCACAGTCGTGAGCCACCGGAATTCATCGGCTTTCAAGAAAGCTGATAATACATACACTACATGTTTTGAGGACTCGTGTAACTCTACGTACGACTGCACTAATCTCCCACTAGTGCACCTCTCATGTCCAATGGTAGTTGCGACCATGTGCTCCTCAAACTGTCAATACCACTCGAAGGTTTAAAATACTATTCAATATTTGAAACTTTTTGTTAGTCGTTTATAAAAACGTACCCTCAAGATTTAAATTTTTTTCATACAAAATAACTATAAGCTATTCAAAAAACGCAATGCCACTATCAATTTATTTTTCAGCAATCAACTAATGGTACTGCAATTTGCGACACTTCGCAACATAGTAAAACAGATGGCGTAGGTAATAGTGACAGGTGAAACATTCATTCTTTTTTTTTTAATTTTTATTTAATTTTTATTTTTAATATTTATGCATAATTATTTAAATACAGAATTTGCGATAACGTCCTGAACCTGATTTAATTCTTTTGGATTTTCTTTTATGGCTGACTGTGGTAGTTTCATGCAGCAGCATACCTGCATTTTTTCCAAGCGTCTGGGCAAGTACGGCGCAGATAACTGCGTGAACAATAATTATTTAAACTGAATCGATCCCTTTTAAAGGTTGTCAACGCATCAAACCCCACAGGATTTGTCGTCCTTACCCAATTCATTATAGATGATCAAGACTGCGGGATAAATAACTTAGCTGGGGACTACAGGGGTGGATACTGCAAACCCGAATGAGATTTATTAGAATTAAGTACAATAATTAAGTCACAAGGCACAATAAGCTTTATAAGCAAAATATTTTGTATTTTGGATATAAGAAACCTTTATAATTATGTGTTTCTCTCGTTCTGAACTTCTCATTTTATTAGAAGAGATAAAAAAATTATATCATTAACAAATCCATATATTTTCTAAATGTTACAATTTTCTTACAATTAATTTCAACAAATGAAATTAGTTTTTTACATAATAGATACATTTTGACTAACATTTGTATCAACTAAAAATGTTTAAATACTTTCAGCATTGAAGACGAACAAAGAGGCTGTACGAAAATCACTCAAACAAGTCGCAGCTGCGAAGAATACTACGGCTCTCAAAGCAATACAAATTTCTTCGGTACCCTTTCCAAATATAATTTATTATAAAGACATAAAAAGTACTGCTCTACCTGTAGTAGTTTTGGTACAAATTGGTCAAAATACTCAAAATTTCAGACTCAGAATTTTGATATTTCTGTCTTTTTCTTTCATAAAGATTGCATAGGTACCGTGGTAGATACACGTGAAAGCTAAGCGCTATCGTGGGGCACGGTCTCTCGCTACCAGCCGTCGCGCTATGGTTGACAGCGATAGGGCGTGGGGTACTGTTCTCGCATATTACGAGGACGTTATCACTGGGAAGGAGGCCGCGGAGAGAGAAGGGGAGGCAACTGCCACCCTGGATATCCGCCGGCGGAGACCAGGGCGCAAGAGGCTGGCTTACGCGCGCAACCTTTCCCCCTGATAGTGAGACCCTGACTGGAAGGCATGGGGGTGTCTGACGCTCAATATGGGACAGACATGCTAATAGATCGAGTATATGAACTCGTTTGATTCACACATTGATTGTATTTAAGACCTAAGCGTCAGACCTTCACGGACATCTTCTAATACTTCTCTACTAGTCTGTCCTCTTTAATCCTTTTCCACGTATCGTCTCATATGGTGGTAGCTTACGAACCCATATATAAATTTTTATGTAAAATTTGACGAATCATAAGAACGCGCAAGTGTCTATTTGAATAAAGATATTTTGAATTTGAATATCCACACCATTTTTTAAACTTGAATAATCTTGCTGTTTGATGTATTTCCACGTATAAAAAAGTAAAATAACAGCGTATATGTCCCAATGCTGGGCAAAGGTCTCTTCTGTACAGAGCGCAGACCCCAATGCGTGGATTTGGTGGACTTCACATATCGTAGAAATATTTTTCGTTGTGTTATTATTTCGAAAATATGCTGGTTTCCCCACGATGTTTTCCTTCACCGCTGAGCATATGTGATAATTCAGGACTAAAAATTAAATCATTTCATTGGTGCCGGCACCAGGGATTGAACTCAGGTTGTTCGAATATATTGAATTAAAAGCGAGCGCCTAGACACGGAGCTATCACTATTAAGCTATCGTCAGCGTTATAAAATCTATTTCTCTGGTCCAATTTATATCTGTATCTGATCTTACCGATGAGTTATATATATAAATAAGTAATAGTTAATTTCACGAATAATTTTACAAATAATTTTAAAATATTTCACAAAAACATAATATTCTAGAAAAATTATGTTCCATTAGCAAATATGTGAATTCCATTTGAAAACTAAATAGATGATATATAATATTATATAATATTGAATGCTCGATTTAGTATTACTTTTTATTATTAAAATTTTTGATTTTCTGTTACAGTTAGTATTAAAAACTAGTTTTTTTTTAAAATCTAAAATCTTTTAGCACCCATCAAGCACTTTCACGGAGATAGCTGCGAAATTACAGATCCATTAGAAAGGGACAAGGAGATCAGAGAACTACTTGGTATACAGCAATGTCGCCGCTCTCTATCCAGAACTATAACTCAAGTACAACGTTTTTTTATTATGGTAATAAAGAAAAATCAGGTTTGAATTCCAGGGATCTGCACCAATGAATTTTGCGTTCAATATTCAAAATCTAAATGAATTAGATAGAACTTTGTTATATCTCTAACCTGTTAGGGTCCAAAGAATTGACTTTAAAAACAAGGGTCCATGTCTAGCAGTGGCCTCTAATGGTCTGTAATAATCATGTTGACGATAATTAAATGACATGTTAAATTTTTGTATTATATATTTATTTTACGTTAAATATTTGATTTGGGCAGGCGCAGTCGATTCGCGTCTGTTTGTTTATTTGATTCACAAGTTAATATTGACTGTGAAATTCAAGTTTTTTAAACGCTTTCACTACACAATAACGTTATCCTACATTAGTTAATCCTTATGAATCCAAACGAATCAACCCAGTTTCGTGTCTATTTCATTTTAATAATTTTTCTTTGTTACGTAAGAATGCGAGGAGCGAGCAGGCGGTTGATCTGATCTTCAAGTTTATTACTGCCGCCCATGGGCAAGTTAAAGTTTGACCTATGAAGTGTAATAAAGAAACTAATAAATAAATATGGGGGCCTATGGGAGTAATAATTGATTTATACCATCCTTCATCTTATATAAATCATTATTTTATTAAAGGATGGATTTTATTGCGGAATCTTCTTTGGAATTGGAAAAAGGAATGTTTGTGGTGGAAATTGACATTTTTTTCGACATAGTTCTCATGACGCTTATTTTTCAAAAAAATCAAAAAATGTAATCACATTAGTTCGCCAAATGCACTTATACGTTTTGAATCCCGTCTTTCCGATATAGTTTTTTTAAAAGCTCGTTATATTAAATGTGATATAAATATAATTCAAAGAACAGGGGCCAGATTTTGACGAAATGATAAATGTTCTATCACATTAAGAAAATTCATACCTATTTTTACGTTTATCGATTTCTCACACTAAAGCAAGCATTCTTTTTATGCGGCATCAAATTTTTGTAGTCAAATCTTTGTCCTCATTTTATTAATTGATATGAATTTTTTTACAGGTCAGTTTAAATTTTTGGTTTTCAAATTTCAGGATTATTTATCTGGTATCTTCAGCCGTGATGCGAGAATCAAGAAAAGGTGAAATTGTTTTAATGAGTTAAAATAAAAAAGAAAGAAGAATAATTGTTCGTCAAACTACTGTAAACTTATGAACATACTACGATAGTCATATTTTTTTTCAGAGACCGGAAATCTCCTAAACGAAGCTTAGAATCATCAAAATCTGAAGATTGTAAATGTTGCAGCGTAGATAAAAAACTCACGAAAAACAGACAATGCAGATTGGTTACAACAAAAACAACCACAACCCAATATGATTTGAAATTGCCACCCACTCCTTCAACCGAGACGCCTCCTCCCCCACCTGAAACATGCGAGAAACAACAACTGATACTGAATCGCAACATACAAGTTTATCTCCAGATAGAACAATTCACCAAACAGAAGCCCATAATGTTAACTCGAAAACAGTACAACAAACTGAAGAAGACAATACAAAGCACAGTCAAATTAAAAATTCCGAAAGAGGATAAGTGCAAAAAGAACACTTTCAAGACATATAGTATGCTGTCCAGCGGACAATCGAAGAAATCCTCTAAAAAGGAGAGCAGCATCATTCGCAATCAAGGCATGCAGACTTATAAAGACGCGAAGAGGTCGCGAAAGCTAATGACGAAACGTAGCAGCGGAAGGGTCGCAAAGAAAGTTTACTACCTAAAAGAAACGAAGCCACAGACCCAGTGCGTGTGCCAGGAGGTGCAAACAGTATCCAGTAGTAGAAATATCGACAAGAAATTCGTATGTAACGCCTACGTATCGTATGACAGACAGAATGTGTCCGAACATATGCCAAGACATGCTATGTCCTCCCTGGAGATTCGATACGCCAACGTAGCGTATAAGCGTGTGACGTTTTCGTCGACAAATGTTGGCCATGCAGTAGAATCGAATCAATCGGAGGGCAGACAGAACCACATACAATATTTGCTTAGAAGTAAGTTATACATATCTCGTATTACTATTACATATAATTTATTAACCGCCGAATCTAGAACATTTTAATATCTTATATCAAAATTGATAAATAATTGGTTTAACAAATCTCACCAGTTGAATAATTTTTACATATGTTAATAATGCCTTTATTTCAGGACAAAATAAAAGAGCAACGCCAAATCTAGGCACATCTGCTTATTCCCTCTATTCAGAACCGTCTGGGTCGAATCAATCCCTAAAATATTTATTAACACCACGCGACTCCAAACAAAAGAGGCCGTTCCTCAGGAGATTGATGTCTTGTTTGGTCATGCATTCGGCCAGAGCGTCCGACGTCAAGATTCCGTGTGAAAGCAAAGTCTCAGACGTCAACAGTTCCATCGATTCTTATTATATAAGCACCTCACTTGGAGTAAGTTTTGTCGTGTCACGTCTTTTATCAAACAATCGTGGTCATTAATTGATAATTCAATTGAAGTGCTGTAAGGAATTTTGCCTGACCTTTCGCATACTGCTATTTTATTTTTATTTTTTAAACATTTTATTGATAAGCACAGAAAACAAATGTCGACAGTTTTAATGAGCACCTATTTATACTATACAACGATATCAAAAATCGTTAAGTATCTTTTAACAATACTCGGGCAAAAGGAATCTTTACTGATGAATATATTCGTGTTATTCATTTCAAAGTTTTATTGTATTGTTATTTTTATTGTAAAATCAGTGCAAGTAAGTTGTACTACAAATTGTCATAATCAAACGAATTTTCGATTATATTTCAGGCCATCGAAGTCACGTCGTCTATGTACGACACGTCCGCTTCTTTTTACACTACCCACACAATCATTCCCATGAACAAGATTAAAAGAGGATTTCTAAGTTCGGTGCGCGGTTTCCTTACAAGTCGTAGAAGTTGACAGTTGGTTAAATTTAGAAGCGTCGTAAGATTTTTACTTATTCTATTAGTAATCGGGTATCATAGGTATCTACCGTACCAGCTATAACAGTCTCAAAATTAGTTGATTATTTTTGACTGTGCCATAGATACATCGTAGCGTCTCCTAAATCTTCGAATGCTTATAAGTTGACGACGCTTGCTTCCACCATACTGCAAATAGTAAAGTTTTATATATTCTTTTCGAGTCGCGTGAACTTTAAAGCATAACGAAGAGTTTGCTTATATTATAATTACGGGTGTTTATAGTGATATAAATTTGAAAGTTACATTGTGAACTTGTTACGTATTTACTTGTATTAATATACATTTTTGTATTTTTGTTGTGAAAACTGTTTGAATACCTTCTTGTATTGTTTGTCAGTTATCAAATAAAAAATGACTTTAAAGCGGTTTTAATTTTTATTAATTATTTTGTTTGACTAGAAGAGTGAGGAATATGAATGTGGTTTGAGGGTGCAAAACTTGAGGAAGACCGAGAAAGATTTGGATTGACTGTGTGAAGAATGAAAGGGGTCAGTATCGAGATGACAGTTGACAGAGGAAAGCGGAAGGAAAGGACACAGTGGCGTAACTATCGTAGGTGCAGGTGATGCAGTGGACCAGGGCCCCGAAGCTCAAAGGGCCCCCTAAGCTATGAAAAGAAACTAGCAGCCAGCTCTCGAATTTAGCAAACCTCTAGGATGCTCACAATTTTTTTTTAAGTTTTAAATGAACATTAATAATAGCAGAACTGATCACTTATTTGACCTGACTTTCAATACATTCGCCAAGCGTCTTTGATGAGCATGTGTTATTTTTTACCATTATTTGATTCTGTTTGTATCACATTGGATCAGCGATATGCTCATGTGCTGATAGTCGTGAGATCAATTCCACCCAGCACGGTTTTTTTTATTAAATTTTCATTTACCTTTACCTTGCATGTGATCTCATCTATTTATGATATTCATTGCAATTTATAGATCGCTTTGGAACGGGCAATAATAGTTGATGCAAGGTATACATTAGAATAACACATAGGCTACAATTTAAAAAGATATTGTTTGATTTGGCCATAATATTTTGATAAGTTTTACGTAAATCGGAATTTTACTTTCTACTCCAACGGTACGGTAAAAGTAAAGTAACAGCCTCATATATGTCCGACTGCTGAGCAGAAGCCTATGTACAGAGAATGTACAGAGGGTATTAGAGCAAAGTCCACCACGCGACCCCACTGGATTGACGGAGTAACACATATCTTCGAATTTTTTTGGTTATTTTTCCGAAAATATGCAGGTTTCATCACAATGTTTTCCTAAAGCGCTGAGCATCTGATAAATAAGTATTTTAGATAAACACGGTGCCTGCACCGGGGATCGAACTCAAGTTGCTCGAGTATATTGAATTATAAACGACCGCCCGGACAATGAGCTATCAAGGCTCAACCGTTAAAGTTACGCGAAGGTAATGTGTAATTGTTTGTCTTAAACAGTTCTAAATAAAAGTCAGCGACACCATATATATGGAATCCTATATTACATATAATTCTTGGGGATTCGGGACTGCAGGCACTTATCAGATAGAGTTAAGCAATATAGTTGCTCGAAAACACACACGGAGGCATGTGTTGAAAATGAAGCGTGGGCAAAAGTTAAACCATTCACAAGGTACTTGAAGATAAAATTTGCAAAGATGCATCATTTTGGAGACAAGTTCTTCGGAGATTATTCGACATCATAATTACTCTTCCGAAGAGTTCTTTGGCTGTGAGAGGACATCGACTGTTATCTACATGATTAAAATTTTAACTTTTACACTTAAGACTAACATTAATAGAAAATACGATGGAAAAGTTTCTCGCCGCTGCGGCAATCGAATCCACCTCTTCCGGGTTTCTTTTCTCTACAGATGAATGTCACATCTATATACTAAACAGTAGTAGGAAGAAGTTCAAGTCAGGAGGTAGGAAGAAGTTTGCCTTTTTCCCACTTATATATTTATATAATATATAAATATATAAGTGCATATAAGTGCCGCTGCATATTTTTGAACATATCCGATGGCAAGAGTTTATGGCGGAACAATTTAAAATACTACATAAGCCAATGCAGCCAACACTAGTCACTGTTATATACAATTAACAATGCTGCCAATACTATTATATTATATTTCGTGTTTAAAATTGTGTAGTTTTTATTTTTTCAAAAATGTGAATAAAATTTTATTCCTAAAAATATTCCCAAAAAATTTCTCCTCCTAAAAAACTTCCATTGTAAATTTTTTCTTCCGCAATTTAGGAAAACTCCTAAGTTGGCATCCGTGAGCTACATAGAAAGAGGAAAGGGGGGGGGTGTTTTTTTCTCCAAGTATCGGGGCCCAAGTCCACCTAGCTACGCCTACACTACAGTCTACATTAGCAAAAATAATTAATTATGTCAATATGTAATGTAAATATTAATAGTCTTGACAAATAGTTGAACTATATAAATGATCGAATTACGAATATCTCCACTATACATAATCTGTAACGATGGGCTGCTATAGGTAATTTTAATCTCCCTGTAAAGTGTAAAGACATATTTTTAACGCACTAGGGATGGGTCGTATCGCTTTTTCTGAGTACCGTATCTGAATCCGATATCGATTTCAAATATCAGATTTCGAAACTATGTATTTTAATATCTAGATATTTTACGGTTCCCTATCCACGTTGATTAATTGAATTCTAAAAAAAAAAAAAAAAAATTAAAAAAATTGTATACTTTAAGGGAGTGGATATAACATGAATGAAATAACTTCCCTTCATACTTTTTCCAGGCTTAGGACTGGCTGCAATATTTCATACTTATTATAAGTACAATTATGTCAGGGTTAATAATTATTTATATCCCTCCGGGTTCAAATTCACGTTTAGGAACGTAAGCTCTCTGACTTTATTCGTCGAAAGTCTTGTTCGACGATCATTAATAATTAACCCTGTTTTACTAAAAATGCGTTTTTTAAATTATTAAATTAAAAATTTCATTAAAAATATAAATTGAAGTAATATAAAAATGATTTATTTTAACATCTTATATACCGCTTAATAATTGACTTTAACATATTTTTAGAACACGCAAGCGAGTGGCAATATTTTATTATTTGTGTAAGAAATGATACATTCAGTATTATAGCTTAGGGCGGAAGAATTTAAAATATACACACAAGGCACATAAGCCTTGGTCTGATTTCCACCAAAGCAGCACAGCACTATTAAATTATATTTTTCTTTTTGTGTACTTTTATTTTTTTCCAAAAATATGAATAAAATTTAGCTAATAAAAATATTCACAAAAAATTTACCTCCTAAAAAATTTCCATTGTATATTTTTCTTCCTTAATTTAGGCAAAAAATTCTTAAGTAGTAAGTTGGCATCCCTTACTATTACGTGTTAAGTACCAATGCAATCCAGCTCAAGGCTGAACAAAATTTCAAAGACATCGTTAATACCGTAACTCGTATTTAAATGCAACAGAGTTTTTTTCCATGCTGTTAAGATTCAAAATTACTTAACTGCGCGCTTTGTCGCCCGTTACGGCTCAAGGCTAAACAAAACAATAAAAATATAATAATATCGTTGTAGTAATCGCTGATACCAAGATTAGTATTTAAATGAAACGGATCTTATTTGCATAGTGTTAAGATTCAAAATTACTTAACTTATTCATAATATCTGTTTAAAAATCTGATATCGTGCATTGCTTGCCGTCCCACTCTAACTAGTAAGTGTTTATATCTCACGCGCTTTGTCGCTCGATATCTGATATCGTGCATTGCTTGCCGTCCCACTCTAACTAGTAAGTATTTATATCTCACGCGCTTTGTCGCTCGATATCTGATATCGTGCATTGCTTGCCGTCCCACTCTAACTAGTAAGTGTTTATATCTCACGCGCTTTGTCGCTCGATATCTGATATCGTGCATTGCTTGCCGTCCCACTCTAACTAGTAAGTATTTATATCTCACGCGCTTTGTCGCTCGATATCTGAATCGTGCATTGCTTGCCGTCCCGCTCTAACTAGTGAGTATTTGTATCTCACGCGCTTTGTCTCTCGAAATCTGTTTAAAAATCAGATATTGTGGCAAACGCGTATGATATCGCCGTATCGCGATTCGTGTCGGTATAGCGAGCGAGCACGGTACATCAGATTTCGGAAATATCAGATATTGTAAAATACATAGATATTGAACGAGCCAGTAAGCGATATTGGGATATTGTACTAATATCTAGTTTTCATATCTGATACGATTTGTATCGCCCACTTCTACTCATCGGTATTCGCCAGTAATTGTGAGTATTTATGTTTATTATTTTCAGTCTAAAAATGTCAATCATATCCTAATCAAACTAACAAAGCTCCTATAAAATATACCTGTGACATAACACAAACAAATGTTCAAAAGATCTATATATCCAAAATATGTATTATAAACTCAATGTATGTTTTTTTATTTAAGATTACTGAGGAAGATTACATTTGTAAATCTTGTAATGAACTCTTTATGAGAATAATAAACCAGGAATTAACAAGCTGTGATGTTGCTCAAGCTTCAGGATTATCTCAACCAGGCCAAAGAACAGTTTTTGATAATCCTTCAGAAAAGCAGACAGATAAATGCTATTATACAAACAAGTTCACAACATCACATATTCATGTTACTTGTAAAAACATATGCATCACATATACATTGTTAATCATTTGCCAGTATAAAACTTGATACTATTACTCTAGATTATTTCTCTTTTGTATTTTAGATGTAAATTATTGTATCTGTTATTAATTGACTGATGCTTTAATAATTTTAACCACAGATAATAAATAATCGATTTTTTTTAAATATATTTTTAAGATGAATAATAATTATTGCTTTATTACTTCTTTTGTAGATATCATCATCTGATAGAATATGCCATTCATGCTGGATGAGTTGTAAGAGTGCTGCCACACATATTAGGTATGTTGCTGAAGTTTGTGGTGTTTCTACTACTGAAGATAATTTATTTTTTATGTTTCTGAGATTAAGTTATTAGTGAACTTATACTATTTGTTATAGTGACAATAATCGAGTCTAAGCAGTGACGTAAGGGCAGTCGGTTTCTAGGAATTCACAATAAAAAAAGACGTTTTAGATCTTAGATAGGCTAATATTATTATTTTAGAATAAACTTGAGCGTAAATAGTTAGTTCTAGCACATTTATTTCGTTATATTAGGTAACTGCAAATCCTAACCTAAAAAGTAACATTTTTTAATAATTTTTGGACTTCGTAGACCAGCAATCGTAAAAATGACTATATGATATTAATTTACTAACTTAAAGGTAGTCTTTCTGCTATACCTCGTAACTATACATACACTTTCATTATCAGGTTTTTAAATGTATGGGAAGTGGGCATTGTTCTTTATGTTCTTTAATTAACCAATTTTTGTACATCATTTTTATAAGTCTTATCGTCGCTGCCACATTCAGTGAACAATATCGTAAAAGATTAAATTGAGAAATTAGTTAGCGTCAACAACCTAAAAATACTGACCGGTAAAGGCTCAGTACATCACGTTTAACAAAACTGCACGAATTACATTTTGCCAGGTAATATGCTGAAAACTTGTTGGCAACAATAGGAGCCGTGATCATCACAACATCCGAGCCATTAGGGATGGGTCGTATCGCTTTTTCTGAGTACCGTATCTGAATCCGATATCGATTTCAAATATCAGATTTCGAAACTATGTATTTTAATATCTAGATATTTTACGGTTCCCTATCCACGTTGATTAATAGAATTCTAAAAAAAAAAAAAAAAAAAAAAAAAAAAAAAAAAAAAAAAAAAAAAAAAAAAAAAATTGAAAAATTGAAAATAAATATACATCTTATATACCGCTTAATAATTGACTTTAACATATTTTTAGAACACGCAATCGAGTGGCAATATTTTTATTATTTGTGTAAGAAATAATACATTCAGTATTATAGCTTAGGGCGGAAGAATTTAAAATATACACACAAGGCACATAAGCCTTGGTCTGATTTCCACCAAAGCAGCACAGCACTATTAAATTATATATGAATAAAATTCAGCTAATAAAAATATTCACAAAAAATTTACCTCCTCAAAAATTTACATTGTATATTTTTCTTCCTTAATTTAGGCAGAAAATTCTTAAGTAGTAAGTTGGCATCCCTTACTATTACGTGTTAAGTACCAATGCAATCCAGCTCAAGGCTGAACAAAATTTCAAAGACATCGTTAATACCGTAATTCGTATTTAAATGCAACAGAGTTTTTTTCCATGCTGTTAAGATTCAAAATTACTTAACTGCGCGCTTTGTCGCCCGTTACGGCTCAAGGCTAAACAAAACAATAAAAATATAATAATATCGTTGTAGTAATCGCTGATACCAAGATTAGTATTTAAATGAAACGGATCTTATTTGCATGGTGTTAAGATTCAAAATTACTTAACTTATTCATAATATCTGTTTAAAAATCTGATATCGTGCATTGCTTGCCGTCCCACTCTAACTAGTAAGTATTTATATCTCACGCGCTTTGTCGCTCAATATCTGATATCGTGCATTGCTTGCTGTCCCACTCTAACTAGTAAGTGTTTATATCTCACGCGCTTTGTCGCTCAATATCTGATATCGTGCATTGCTTGCCGTCCCACTCTAACTAGTAAGTGTTTATATCTCACGCGCTTTGTCGCTCAATATCTGATATCGTGCATTGCTTGCTGTCCCACTCTAACTAGTAAGTGTTTATATCTCACGCGCTTTGTCGCTCAATATCTGATATCGTGCATTGCTTGCCGTCCCACTCTAACTAGTAAGTGTTTATATCTCACGCGCTTTGTCGCTCAATATCTGATATCGTGCATTGCTTGCTGTCCCACTCTAACTAGTAAGTGTTTATATCTCACGCGCTTTGTCGCTCAATATCTGATATCGTGCATTGCTTGCCGTCCCACTCTAACTAGTAAGTGTTTATATCTCACGCGCTTTGTCGCTCGATATCTGATATCGTGCATTGCTTGCCGTCCCACTCTAACTAGTAAGTGTTTATATCTCACGCGCTTTGTCGCTCAATATCTGATATCGTGCATTGCTTGCCGTCCCACTCTAACTAGTAAGTGTTTATATCTCACGCGCTTTGTCGCTCAATATCTGATATCGTGCATTGCTTGCCGTCCCACTCTAACTAGTAAGTGTTTATATCTCACGCGCTTTGTCGCTCAATATCTGATATCGTGCATTGCTTGCCGTCCCACTCTAACTAGTAAGTGTTTATATCTCACGCGCTTTGTCGCTCAATATCTGATATCGTGCATTGCTTGCCGTCCCACTCTAACTAGTAAGTGTTTATATCTCACGCGCTTTGTCGCTCAATATCTGATATCGTGCATTGCTTGCCGTCCCACTCTAACTAGTAAGTGTTTATATCTCACGCGCTTTGTCGCTCAATATCTGATATCGTGCATTGCTTGCCGTCCCACTCTAACTAGTAAGTGTTTATATCTCACGCGCTTTGTCGCTCAATATCTGATATCGTGCATTGCTTGCTGTCCCACTCTAACTAGTAAGTGTTTATATCTCACGCGCTTTGTCGCTCAATATCTGATATCGTGCATTGCTTGCCGTCCCACTCTAACTAGTAAGTGTTTATATCTCACGCGCTTTGTCGCTCGATATCTGATATCGTGCATTGCTTGCCGTCCCACTCTAACTAGTAAGTATTTATATCTCACGCGCTTTGTCGCTCAATATCTGATATCGTGCATTGCTTGCTGTCCCACTCTAACTAGTGAGTATTTGTATCTCACGCGCTTTGTCTCTCGAAATCTGTTTAAAAATCAGATATTGTGGCAAACGCGTATGATATCGCCGTATCGCGATTCGTGTCGGTATAGCGAGCGAGCACGGTACATCAGATTTCGGAAATATCAGATATTGTAAAATACATAGATATTGAACGAGCCAGTAAGCGATATTGGGATATTGTACTAATATCTAGTTTTCATATCTGATACGATTTGTATCGCCCACTTCTATAACGCACACATCGCTAATAAATAATCTGTAACCTAACCTAGCCGACTTCGTGTCTGTTTTGTTATGAATTTTATAAAATAAATGTGAAAACAGAAACGAAATGTCTCTTTTAAGAAAATCTGTGCCCCTTTTAAGAAACATCATTAAATACTTTCCTGCCAAATTACAGAGTAATATACATTAATGCCTTTGTTTTTCATCGGGTTTCTGTTCTTATTTTATAATAATATATTAATATTGCAGACCAGAATATTCACCGATGGGTAGCACCCACATTAATGGAATTTAAAAGAAGAGAAGACAAGTTAGGAGGAAAAAAATCTAACCCAAGGAATACATTTCTAGAATGGAATTTAGAAGCTGAATTATTTGCTTTTGGCAAAAGATTAAATGAAGAATTCGACTCGGATATTTTGTTACAAGCTTTTACTGATAGATCTTATGTAATAAAAGAGGAAATGAAACAAAAAGAAATAAAATTTGATATAAAAATGAAGGATAACAAGGAGTTAGCAGAAGAAGGTAGTTATACATATTTAACTGGATATATTATAATTACCTAGAAATCAAAACATTTATTTACTTTAATATCATTGATTTTATGGTATCTAATCAATCAAAAACTCAAAGCATTATAGCCTTACCAAATTGCGCCATTAACATTTGTAGCTGGAACATACAATCAAGATTTTACACCAAATAAAATTGGCATGACATTGACTAGCCCAATTCGTTAGCTCGGTGCCATCTACCCCTGTCAAAAACATAACTTAATAGCAAAGATTCTGTATTCTGGCGTAACATAGTTTTGTTGTCCTTTTAATTATAGGGACTCACCATAAGCAAGAATCGAAAATGGATAAGCCAACTAGCATTCTATGATGGATCAATCTATACTGACATGATATTTGATTTTTTTTTTTGGTACAGTGTATACAGAATTAATTAGTCAGTTTTTGTAGTAAAATAATTGTTACACTTGCAGGATCTAAATTCATTGACCATTATATTCAAGTATACCTTGAAACAGTTCTACCAAAAGTCCCATTGGAAGGTATTGCAGGAATTAAAGCATATCTTACTAGTGAGCAAACTTTAGCAAATATATCTCTTCATCTTGGTACTAAGGATATTATATTGGCCTCTGTAAGTTATTAAGTTTTATTTTTTATAATAGTTCTTAAGTACCTAGTATCACGTGTTTTAATTATGTTTCAGGAATATCCTGTGGACAATTTTATATTAGCCAATACTTTCAAGGCGATAGTTGGAGCCCTTCTAAGATCATCGGGTGAAGAGAGAACAGCACATTTTGTTAGAGATTTTGTTATTACACAATTGCAAGGTATATTTACTAGTAGAATCAGACAGCTACTGTCTTGCCAATGTACATATATTTTAATTTTTTAAATTTGAAATTGGATGGTTGAGCTGCAACTCTGTGACCTTTTCATTATATGCAGGAAATTTTTTATTAATCTGAAAACAAAAAGTAACAATATGCATTGTTGCTAATATAACATCCCATTTGGTCCGATAACTACAAAGTTATGTATTACTTGTGTTAAAACTAAAGCCTGCCCATCGATTCAAGTTATTTAAAATTAATTTAGTTTAGTTTTAAAATTTTTTAAGTATTTTATTCTTTAATACAATACAATTGGTTGATTCCTAAATTTTCTATCAATAACAATAAATGAAATAGATTAACTTTTTATCGTCTAGGAATTATTGCAATGAATACATCCTAATATTAATATTGAAAGATAACAAAACCTTTATGCATACAAAAAGATAGTACCTTGAGGACCTTGGAGAAGGAGAAGCTTTGCTCGGTTTGTTTTTTTGGTAAATCGTGTACTTTAAATTAAATTTAGGTACAAATTACTGAGTAATGAAATATGCATAATATTTTTCCATCTTACTGACCTAATAAAGAAAATATGAAATGGTGTTTTTCACAAAAGAAACAACTTAAAAAAAAAGGGAAAAAAACAGAATCATCTGGATCAACAAAAAATAAAAAATAAAGAAAGCAATGATCTGGAATCGATAAAAGTAAAAAAAAAAAAAGTGTGTGTATATGATCGTGACACGAACCATGGCCGTCTGTTTTGGGGCCGCCCGATTACCGACCGAGCTATTATAACATTTTTTTTTGCGACGAAATTTAACATCATATTCAAATGATATTTTTCATTCCCTGAAAACAGAGATAAAAGGTCTTTTCTAAAAATGAAACCTAGCTAGATCGATTTTTTGATTTACTTAATTTCATGAAAATCGCTGGAGCCGTTTCTGAGATTCCGATTATATATACTAGAGTTGCTTGTTTAAAGGATAAGATAACAAAAATTATTAAAATTTGCAGGAAAAGATGTGAATGATTTCTGGAATATTGACGACCCTTGGGCGATGCTTAACGGAATATTAGAAAAGGATGGAGTAAAGTTAGAACCAAGACTTATTGGAGAGGTTGGAAAGAATACTTTGTTGGTGTGCTACAGAGTTGGCCTTTATATAGATAAGAAAATGCTATCTTCAGGTAAATAAGTTCACTTAGATAAAACAAATATAAAAATTAAGTTTTCTGAATAAATACATACAACACATTTAAGAAGTCAGCCTTAACAAAAAGCCATAGTAGCTCATTAAATATGGTGTTATCTCTCTTGTGAATTGATGAATCCTGCAGTATTCACAAATATTGAAATCACAGGGGCAATAAAAAAATGGAATTTCATCACCACTATTTATGGATCTCACAAATAACACAGCAGGGTGACTTTTTATTGTAATGATAATTTAATGTAATTTTAAAATTTAACAAAATGCCTTGTTATAATTCTTATAAATTTTTAAAACATTTCAGGATTCGGCGAAACAATTTCTTGTGCTAAAGAAATGGCTACTATAGAAGCCCTCAAAAAAATGTTTGGAACAGAGGACACTATGGCACCAATCAATTTTAAATTGGAAGGAATACCAAAGTCAATATCACAACAACATAAAATAATATCAGCTAGTTAATCTTGTCAATATTATTATTGGAATAGTTATGTAATAAAACTAATAATTTACAAGCTCACAAAATTTTCATTTTTAAATAACAAATTACATCGATAATAAGATTAGTAATGATAAAATTCATAAAGATTATATAACATCAAGATCAACATTTAAACATTAAATACTAAATATAAATTCATTTTAAGGCACATATGAACATTCCTAAATTAAATATGTATGACATTATGGTATATATGCACTTATAATAACAGCGAACAAGCAACCATTAACTACAGGCAGAATCCATTATAAGATTGCCATGTTTATCCTTTATACGCACTCTGCCAGAAGCATAACGTGTCTCCGCTGTGCCATCATTGTAAACCAACTTGACAGTTCCATCAGGAAACTCGCGACGCTGCAAAGAAAAAGATTTAAATTGCAGGTTCACCATATGGCTGAGGATGTAGGTTTAAATAAAAAATGTGACATTAACATTAAAGAGCATGCACAAGTTTAGCAGTTAATTATAAACAGAACTTTATACCCCTTTGTGGTCAAATGATTAAAAAATATGAAAAACTGCTGCCAGTCAGTAAGATTTAAAATTAGTTTCCAATCAGCATTCGCTAGAAACGTTATTAATATGGCTTAAAAATATTATGTACCAATGGAAGAGATTACCAGGTAATTATTATGTGTAATCAGTTTTATTTCTTGTGACTCTACCTTGTGATCTTTTGCATGAACCTCAATTTGTCCATTACTAAAAACGATGCGCTGTTCGCCGTTGGCAGACACTGTTAGGGCAGCGCCGTCCGGAAAGCGCCACTCCTCACGGACGTGCTCGTTTTTCGGGTCGAAATAACGTACGCTACCATTAGGCAGGCGGATTTCAGACGAGCCATCCTTGTATCTTTTTTCCACTTGACCACTAAAAATCAATTTTACACCTTTAAGATACACATACAATTGAATTCTTATTTAATAGTATTTCCACAGCCATGCAGAAGGCACACATTGTCCATGGTTGGCAACATGCTTACTATATTTCTAATGCTGCGCATCTCCATGGAAGAATGCGCCGGCTCACGTTTACCATCAGTCTTGCCTAATATGGGCCATACAAATAAAATGATAGAGGTCTGACTGTGTGCATCCATCACACTAGAACTACTGGATAGATTTCAATTCATTCTCAGTTTAATATATGATACTTTGGCCGTATGATTACATAAGTTTTATAGCCCACTGGTTCTGTGTCAGATGAAGCTTTAATAGTCTCGGGACTGAAAGCAAAAACATCAGTTAATACAAGATACAAGAAGTTTTACATACTTATTACTTTTAGTATAGTTATAACTTTAAAAATGCAACAATTTTTATAAGCTCTACATGGTTTCACGTGTTTTTTTGCCATGCTCTTCTCCTCATCTTTATACATAACATTAGTCATTAATTGTCTTTTCCTCTCAACATAAAATATATTGTTAATATGATAAGCAACGCTTTACAAAGTCGCGGGTTAGCTAGTTAAAACTAAAATTAAAAATCACTCTAATACAACTCAAAAACTGTGTTTACATACTCTGCAAATTCCAAAATTTCTAGTCCATCTGCATGTGTAGTATGAAATGTTTTTGTTTCAGCATAGAAATATTTTATTCTGCCTTCATTATAAAAGTTCTCTTTAACATCACCATTATAGTAAACAAACTTGCTGTATTTTCCATCTGCAGAAATATGCTTTACATTACCGTTTGGGAACTTTAGTTCTCTAGACCCATCTGGTTTAATTATTTCAATTGGGTTCAAATTAGTTTTTGTTAAACTGGTCTTGCTTGTTGATGGCTCTGGAGTGACATTCAACCTTATATCTTCATAATGACTTTTGTTAACAACTGTTGGTAATTTTTGGCTAGAAGAATGATTACTTGTAATTGAAGTGGGTGACTTAGATAAATTGTATGAGTTACTTGTAGTTATTCTATTGCCAATGGAGTAATTTGACTTAACTGATTCACATAGGTTTAAATTTTCTAGTGAAGAATTTTTAGATTTATGGTTTACATTAGAAATAGATCCTTTAGATCTCAAGATATCATTATCAGCATTATTTGACTGATAGGTAGACTTAGATTTTTGTATAAAATAGGTATTTGCATTGTCACTGATATTACAGTTATCACTTGAATTCGATAATTTACTTATTTTACTTTTTGATGGTGAATTCTGAAACCTTTCAATGTATGCCTTTTCTAAATTATTCTCAGTATCACTGTCTGTGATACTCCTATCAGAGTTTGAATTATAGCTTTCAAGATTTTCAATTTTATCATCCTCTACCACAAAATCAGTTGGAGAAGTGCACAAACCATTCAAATGTATGGTTTTATTTCTTTCACTTAAAGAATCTTTTTGACTAAAGTACTTTGCATATCTGGAAGTAACATTTATATTTGGAACACTTTTCGCTCTACGCCTTGCATCTTTATTATGAGATTGAACTCTTCTGCTTCTACTTTGTCGATCAATTTCAAAAGCTCTGTATTTAACATCAGGGTCTAAATTAACTTCAGATTGTGATTCCTTAGTTGTAATGTCAGTTAATTTTTTATTAATTTGCTCAAGATACTTTAAATTTGTTAATCTTCTTGTTACATCATTGCTGTGCTGAATATGTTTAATCTCTTTTTTAAGGTTTTCTACTTCATCCTGTAAATTTTTTTTCTCTTTTTCCACAATTTTCAACTGATTACGGAGTCTTGCTATAGTTGATGTAGACTTAGCATCCTTAAGCTTTATTTCATCTTTTAGGTCATTTATCTCTTTCTTTAAATTTGTAACTTCATCCTTTTCTTTTTTATTTAATCGCCCTCGCATATCTCTTACATATCTTTCATAAAGCTGCTTCTGTTTTGAGAGTTTTTCCTTTTCTTCTGCAATGTAATACTCAGACAAAATTTTTTCTTCATGAAATTTCTGCTCAAAGGCTGCTTTTTCTTCAAAAAATTTTTGTCGTTCTATATCAACGTCTTCACGCATCTTTGATAAACTTGCATTCTCTTTCCTGAATGTTTCAATTTCATCTTCCAATTCACTAAGTCTCTCTTTTAGCAACTCACTTGTTGCAATAAGTTTTGCATTCATTTCAGCCATATTAGTTTTCATGTCATCTGTGTCATCTGTAACTTGAATACTTTGACATTGTTTTACTTTTTTGTTGTTAACACCAGCTATATTTTGCTGATTATTTACTTCACTTTTATTGATATCGGCTTTTTGATTGTTCTTATTTATCTTAACATCTTTATAACATGCGCAGCTAGAGTTTGCTTGCTCAACTGTTATACATGAACAACAGCTGGATATCGATGATGTCTCAACACATTCAGTGCATTCACTATGATATGTTTCAGCTTCATTGTTAATGTCTTTATTCCCCCTTTTGCTTTCATCATGATGAATATGTAACAAATCAGGGTTGTTATTAAGGCATCTTTGCATTACTAATGGAGTACTCTCACCGGAGCACTCTAATTGAGTTCTTCTTAGAAAACGGTTCATAAAAGAACTTTCAATATTAAAGCTTTCATGTGTTACTTTCCTTTCAAGCAATTCAAACATTCTTTGTTCAACAGTTTCTTTTTCTATCTGTACATTAATATTTGAATCACAGCTAATATCAGAACTTACACTTTTAGCTGGAGAACCAAAATTTTTATAGTAATCACTCTGCTTCAACTGTCTTAAAAAATCATCCTGTTCTTTAGTTAATACAGCTGCCCATGTTTTTCCTTTATTAGCTTGAAGTGGATGTTTGCCTTTTGGTAAATTAATAATTTTTCTATCTTGCTCAGAAAGAATGTTACAATTTGCATTAATTGGTGCTTCATTATCACATTTTTCTTTACCATTTTCAAGAACTTTAATTTCATTGATTTCATTTTTACTTGTTAGAGTAGATGGTTTTGTAACTAAAACTTGGACTTCAACTTTCTCCGAGTGCGCTTTTGGTCTGGTAATATTCTTTTTTACTTCTTTATTTGCATGTATAGTTTTAGGTTTTTTTTTATGCCAAGGTAAAGATTTTGTATGTTGAATGACTAAATCTTTCTTTTGAAGTCCAAAACGAGACATTCCTTCACCCTTTCTGAGAAAGGGCCTCTTGCCTTTTTCTAAGAACATGTTATCATTTGATTTATCTTTACACTTTTTATTCTTCTCTTCAGTCTGCAAGTTCTCAACTACCAAAGCATCAAAACTTTTTTTAGGCGTTAAGATAGGCATCTCATCTAATGAAATCTGTTTTTTAGGTAATGATGTTTCTGTATTATTATTTAAGGGTGATTTTATATTATCTGATACAGATAAATTTTTACTTTGTTGAGACGATGGTGTATTAAGAAATTCCGATTCTTGGGAAAGGTTAAGTAAGGAGACTCCATCGATAAAATCGCGTGCCACAAGTTTTCCTGACGAATTACTAACTAATCTAGGTGTTGCTTCGTTTGGAGTATCTTGTTCTGTCTGCAATAAGCTTCGAAACGTATTATAGCTTGTACTATTACTAAAATGACTCACAATTTCTGTAATACTTGAAGAAATTTCAGAAGAATCTTGATACAATAGCTGTTGTTTCTGTAGTTTCCCGCGTTGTAGTAATTGTAACTGTCGCAGCATTTGAAGCCGTTCTAGGATTTGCGATGGCGACATAGAAAGAATCACTTTCTGAGAACGATTGATCCATTTTAATATATTTTTATGCTTGTATTAAATTTATTTACAAAACTGTAGGTCATATTCAAACAACACATAAACAAAGTTTAAATTTCAAAACGACCATAATATTATGGTACGTACTCAAATTGCTACATCCATTCTCCAATCATAGAACAATAAATTTATTGCCATATATTATTAGAAGAATTGTTATGGTAATTTCATTATTTTCCTAGTCTTCAAAATTTTAAAATCTTTGCCTACATTTAATTTATTATACTTTTTCTGTATCGCATCGAATACATTGACCATAAAATCATTTGAATATTTTTTATGCAATAATAAAAAAAACATTTCAAAAAACCGTTGAAAGTTGGTTTTAAATGATATTAAAGAGAATAATGGTTGAAAGATTATCATTTTGTATTAAATGTCTTTCAGACTACCGCCAAAAAAAACACTACAAATCATTCAGCCAACCCATTTCGTGGGCAAGCAAGCTCAAGTATCAATGTAGCACCGAACTCACACTCAATTACATACCAGCGCGTTCGCCGATAATAGCAAAGTTATTTTCGTATACGTTACTTATTGTTTTTGTAAAATATAATTGTAGTAAGCAAACGATCGACGTAGTTAAGTCTCGTCATTTAATTGTGAAATTGAAACATTTAACTTCCTATTTATAGGTTACACTATCAATAGCATCACCAAGTCGGGGTTCCCAATTTTAAATGGGGTATCAGGACCCTTGGATCACGTCGTGCCCCTCCTTCGTAGCTGAATTGTCCATCATTCGTTAATAGGAATCGTGCCCTCGTCGTGGACTATGTACCTGAGTATCACCTGCCTTTGGACCTGAAACTCTTCCGAGGCTGGTAAAGCTACTAGTCCAACAGCAAACTACACTACAAAATTAAACAGTGTATAGTAGATTTTCTGAATTAGTACATTATTGTAATACCAGTCATGGCAACTATCGTCCCCAGCCAGTTAAATGTCAAAATTTTTGTCCATACTTATTCAAAAAACATTTGGTCATCAGCAGGCAAAACATATATTAGTGGCAATGTCTAAAAGAAGTAGTTTTCATAAGATACCAAGATTTAAGCCTGAGGTAAAAGTGATGAAAAATCGCTCAGGATATTCATCAGGTACATTTAACCGGAAGGAGAAAGTTGAAGTTTTATCCGAACCTATAAAATCTGTTTCTGATAAAAAGCTTTATAAGTGAGTATTTAAGTACTTTTCTAACTGGTTTTTCTTTTCTACATTGCTTATTAATAAGTGGGATATATTTTGATGTGTTATGAAGAAATAAATTATAAATAATCTCAAATGTGACCTTATTTTTGGCACAGTATATTAAGAAAAGATTTTTTTGGGAAGTATTTTTTTCGTAGTCCAATTTGCTTTAACATTCCTTAATTTAAAATTCTTTCCTTAATTTTTAATTAGGTACTTCAATTACAATTTATTTGCATATCTGAAAATTTAGTTAAATTTAGAAAATTTAGTTAGGCTTTATGTTTTCTATCATCTTATTTTACTTTGAAACAGTAATTTTAAAATAAGACTTGGTATTAAAACACATTAACACCATCCTTATTCATCCTTCCATCCATCCTTTTCACCTAACTGTAATCATGTAATATTTACTTGTTCAATACATATAAAAATTTTAATAGACATTTACATTAAAAATACTTTTTTTATTATTTTATTTAATAACTACATTTTATTTCAGAACTATAAGGCTAGAAAATGGTTTGACAGCACTCCTGATTTCCGATCCTAGTAAACCATCAGAAAAGGAAGACCACTCAACTAGTGAGGAAGAGAGTAGTGCTACCGAAGAAAGTTCAGGCCCTGAGAGTGATGGTAATAAATCTGGACAGTCCAGTGGTAGTGACCATCATGGCACCAAGAGGCGTAATGAATTTGATGAAGAGAAATTGGTAAGTTCGCACAATTTCATAGATTGTTGTAGTTAAATCATTGCTATAGCAATCAGAAAATTAATGGAATTGATTATTTATATTTACATAAATCCTGGTCAATTTAGGCTTCCATAAAAACTGTTAAATAATGTTATAATGGAATGTTTGAAACGGTAGTATGTCTTTAATTTAAATGATAATGGAAAATATTGAGAAGTAGCGACCCTCCCTGGCTTCACACAGGTGCAATGTATTATACATATGAACCTTCCTCTTGAATCACTCTACCTAGTAAAAAAAACCACATCAAGATCCTTTGTGTAGTTTTAAAGATCTAAGCATACATGGGGACAGACTGTAGGACAATTTTGTTTGTGACTTTGTTATGTAGTGATGCACAGCAAAGCGACGTTTACATTTCAAGTGACATTTTACCATAGTCACTCACTTGTTTTGCCTGCCCGGAACCCCTCCACTAACAACCATTTGATTATGTGTATATGTTTGTATCGTCTTTACGAAAATACTAAAATGAAGTATTACAGTGATCCAATCAGACATTTTGTGTAAATTAAAAAATAAATCAATAATAATTGTAAAGTAAGTAAAAGTAAAGTAACAGCCTTTACATGTCCCACTGCTGGGCAAAGGCCTCCTCTGTACAGAGGTTATCAGGGCATAGTTCACCACGCGGTCCCACTGTTGATTTCTGACTTCACATGTATTCGAAATATTTTTTTGTTATTATTTCAAAAATATGCAGGTTTGCTCACGATGTTTTCCTTCACCGCTGAGCACGTGATAAGTCAGCATTTAAAATTAACAATTTCATTGGTGCCATCACCAGGGATCGAACTCAAGTTGCTCAAGTAGATTAAATTAAAGACTAGCGCCCAGACACTGAGCTATCAAGGTTAATTGCGGTATCGATAATAGCACTGGAAATACCGTCTTTACAATAAGGGCACACGGGGCCCGTGCCCCTGTCGTTACGGGGGCCCCTCATGGCCTACGTATTCCCTTAAACTATAAAATTTTTTGTCTATTTTTGGTCGATATATTCCGACAGGAGTTTATAGAATAAATTAAAACAAAGGATAATAGCAGAAAAATGTTTTTGTCATTCACTTTTTTAGGCCCCAAGTTTGTGTGCCCTGGGGCCCCGATATAGGCTCTTAGGCTAAGAGGGCATTGGCTGCACACCGCGGGGCAGTAATCTTATGTAGAAGCTATTTACTCAGGGCGCTCTCAATTTTTCGTGTGGTCGCTAAATTCAAAATGCGTGCGGCCAGCGGTCCGCAGATTGAGTAGTAAAAGTAACTCTGTTGTAAGGCATTTCGATTATTGAAAATCCGTATAATCGATTGTAAGAAAAGTGGTTATTGCACCCTTTATGGCATAATATGTTATGCTAGGTGTTTATTCAAAAAAAAAATAACTTATAACTTATGAACAAGAATCAATGTTTATTAAGAAATCGTTAAAGAGATACATTTTCGCACGTTGTACATAAATATGCACTTATTTATGTAGAATCATAGTTTCTTAAATTGCGTACAATCTTAATTATGTAATATAATATTCAGTTAAATTCTTGGTTAAATTCTTTCATTGATTCATTTTCAGCTGGCCCACTGCTCCGTAGGCATACGCTTTCCTCCCTCATGAGCTATTTACCTCTGTCTTAAGCGGATCGCATCCAACAATTCTTTCCTGCGATCTCTACGATCGACCCATCGGGCAGTCTGTATAGTGTCCACGGCTTCCTTCTCGGGGCGTTCATTCCGTTAGGGTTCACTCTATCAGTGGAAGTGTTATATTTCTGCGTATCGTCTGGTTAGTGAGGTAGCCGGCACCCACTTTATAAAGGTGGCAACGCACATGAAACCGTACGGTGTTGCAAAAGTCAATGGGCGGCGGTTATCACTTAAATATATAAATATTTCGAGACAAATTTTGATATAAATGTTATCTAGTACCGAACTAATTAAAGCTTGTACTCTGGATAGCACCAACACCCTCTGGCGCAAGAGACAGGGTCACTCACTATCAACTACACCAATTGGGTTCATAGTTTATTAAAATCTTGGATAAACAATTATCCAAGATTTTATTTTGACGTAATGCCACTTTTTCTTTTGAATTTTGCAATATGACGATTCTTTTACGAATTGCTTTTTGCGGTAGTAATTCACAGAGACACGTTCTGTTCGTTTTTCGAACCATTTGAGACTTGTTTCCTACGTCTGAAGTTCTTCCACTTAAGACTCTCCTGCATCATTATGCATTTCCGCATAACTGAGGGCCGCATTGCCGCATTGTAAATGTGATAGATGTAGGTAATAGTCAAAGACAACATTATAAAAAATCCATAAATGGCTATTATTTTAAAATATTGAATATTCTGTTAAACAACATAAGATAACCTATAATTGTTTAGCACCTACGCCAAATTTTCACTACTCCCACGGTTGACTGGAAGAGAATGCTTAATAATTAGCATTAGGTTTTCCTTTTGTCAAGCCTTAAGTTAGGGTGTACACAATAAATTTTTAAATAATTAAATAAATAAAATAACCACCATTTGTATTTTATACAAATTATACATATTGTTTGGCAATTAAAACAGATTGTATTTGATTTTTACATATAGCCATTACATTGAATTCTTAATTAAGACAATCATTACCATATTCTTCAAATAATTTATTGCAACTTCCCCACGTTTTTTATGACGCCACCTTGCCTTACGATGATGCTAGATTCGATCAATAAGGAGGTAAACGCAAAATTGAATCTACAATAATTGGATTTTGACGTTATCCAACGCTAAAATAACAAAAGGCGTATTTTTCAGTTTTTTGTAGCATAGGTTTTTCAACTGTACCACAGAATTAGAATAATATTTAAAATTGGAACGTGTATAAAATTACTACTAATTAAATTATATTAGTATTAGTACCCGGAGGACCGAGCTTTGCTCGGTTTGTTTTTTTTTTTTGGTAAATCGTGTATTTTGGAAATTACATTTAGATACAAATTACTGAGTAATGAAATATGCATAATATTTTTTCGATCTTACCGACATAATAATAAGAAAATATGTTTATCACAAAAGAAAGAACTTTAAAAAAAAGGGAAAAAAATAACAAAATATGAAAGCATATCTGGAATCGAAAAAAAAGTTTTTGATCGATCTTACCGACATAATAAAAACCGAAATCGAATTATGTTTTTCACAAAACAAAAAAGACATTTTCTAATCGCTGGAGCCGTTTCTGAGATTCCGATTATATATATACAAGAATTGCTCGTTTAAAGGATAAGATTAAATATACATTTAAGTAGATGTTACGTAGTTTAATAATAAATTATGTGCCGATGACACGATGATATATTTTACGAAAACTAACTTGGAGGTTGTAACAACTTTATAATATCTTAATTCTTGTGTGTTGTAACAAATTAGATGTACCGACATATAAGTAAGTGAGGAACTAAAGTATACAAGGAATCGCCCAATATCTCCTTGAAAAAAACATTCTTTTGACATCTCTCCAAATTGCGCACGGGCGGAAATAATCTTCCCGCAACTCCCTTTTTGAGTTTGAAAAATGGAAAAAATTCATCGAGAGCTAGATTTGAAATGTAGGGCGGGTGTGGTCAATTCCTGCAAATCCCGTAAGTTATGCACAGCGTCCCATGCAAACCCAAGCGATGTGAATGGACGCGTTGTCTCGTAGAAACGGGACTATGCGCGCCATTTTCCCTTGTCCATTCTGTACGACTGCTTCGATATAAAGTATTGGCCAGTTATCGTAGTCCCTTTAAACGAGTAATCAATTCATAGAATACCCTCGGGTAATCTAAAAAATGTTAGCCATGATCTTAGACGCCGACTTCTCTACTTTGAATTTCTTTGGTGGCCTTTCTCCTTTTATTATTTTTTTTAATCGATTACAAATTTTGTCTAAATCACTGTGAAATAAAATCAAAATTCCAAAAGTGCAACTGGACAATCGACCCTTTTGTCGAGCCGTATGTGCATGCCATATGCCAATGTTCGCGACAAATTTCGCCGATTCGTTCTTCGCTGGTCTGTAAAGCTTCTGCTATCTACCACAATTTACTTGTACGATCGGCCAGTACTAATTTATCAACGATTTCTTGCAACACTGCCGACAGTGGGCATACCGGGCGCGGGTCGTCTTCATAAGTTTATTTTCCTTGTAGAAGGCCTATAAATCACACTGTGCGGTGCTCCAAATTTCGGTGATGCTATTCGTTAGTAGTAAAGAATCAAATTTGAAAAATGGGTATCATTTATACTAATAATGAATTGCTCATCTAGTGGTAGTGTAACGAGGTACTGCGTCATAGATAAGTAAGTACCTTAGGCCGCGAACTTATCATGTCTAAATTTAGACCTACCCCTTGTAATGTCTAAGTTTATTAAACATCTTAGATCCCTAAAATTGACTTAATATAACTAATAAGGAACAAAATTTCACTGCTGTACCGCTTAAATAACCCAAAAAACCTTTAAATATGGAATCAGTTCGAATCGGCTCACTAATGTTTATTTAACTTTAAAGGCCCATTTACACGATGCCATTTTCTTGAACATACAAGAGCAATAATTGAATGCAATAAATTGCGCGCAATAATTGTTTAGACCATGCAACTCATTTATTGCTTCAATTTAATTGTATACAACAGGCAAGAAACTGGCACCGTGTAAATGGGCCTTAAGGAACCATATTGCCGTAGCATCCGTAAATGTACATAAAGAATTATTTGCGATTGTATTAGACAATTCGTCGTGCCGTTTCAGGTTAGAGCCAATTGTGCGGTGTCGAAGAATAGTCAATTGAAACTGTGATCCAGTAAAGTATGTACTCTTCGACGTGCCAAGGGTACTGTAATAAAAAATGTCGCAATCTTAGTCTGCGTCATTGTTTAAATGGTACAAGGATATAATATTAAATATATTATAAATTCAATTTAAATCTTGATCCAAACAATAAGCAATGGCTACAAATGGCGCAGTTTCTAACCTCGTCAGTTGGTGTTTGATACTAATAAGGGGCAAACTTTCTTATTCGCAAATATTTGTTCCGGATTTCGATGTACTTTGTGTTCATGACTGTCATTTTTGTCAGACTGATTATTACCTTGTGCGGGTGCTGCCTTAAGCGGCGCCATCAGGATCTGATCGTTTTTCTTTAAGCGATATCAAAATATAACAAGACGTCACTTGCTTCGACCCTAACATGGGCCTGTGCGCCATTTACGTCGCAATGAAAATTTTGTTCTTTTTAAAAAAAAATCTTGTAAATAAGAAACAAACTATAATATTACACATTATGTTTATCTCGATCTAAGACAATGAATGCTTTCGACAGGTCCGCTGTCGACGCAATCTAGTAAAATTCATGAAGGACACATTCGAGAGAATCTGTAGAAAGCGATGCAAGATATTTTTTAGCCAACTTTCACTTGACACGGTATGACCCGGCGAACAGTATCCGTGGACGCGTTCGTGATAAAGATTTAGATTGTAAATTATAATTCTCGTAATAGTATTAAAACAAATTATTTTAGAACATACCTCGAAGTAAAAACGATTAGATTAGATGTACAATTTATTGAGTATTAGCGTACTGTATGTCTATATAATTTAGTTGCGAGCACGCCCTCAAATTGTTATAAAATTTCTCGTATTTACGCGATTACACATTATAAATGAAACTATTACGGATTTTTGTCTGTACCGTGACCATGAACGCTGTAAAGGGTTCGAAACGTTAGGAATAAAAATTTTAAATAAACGCGATAATTTCGTAAAAATAGTTTCATTTATATTGTAATAAAATTGTTAGTTTGCGAAGTTCCGTCTTAAAGACTTGTTAACAAGGCACGTAAATGCCAAACTGATGGTAGTTAAGTCAGTTAGTTAAGAAGCTTCAAAATGTTATCAGTTTTATTAATCAGAACCACATTATTAAAGCGATTCCCTAGGAAAGCAAATATAATGTGCGCCTATTTTTTATCCGTAAAGTTGCCAAACGAGCAGACGGGTCACCTGATGTTAAGTGAATACCGCCGCCCATGGACATCAGCTACACCCGAGGGTTACAGATGCGTTGACAACCTTTTAAAAATTGGGCTCCAGCTACCTCACTCACCAGACGAAACGCGAAACAATTTGTCATACTTCCACTTTACGCTGGTCTTCTGTGAGGTCGTGGTACTTACCCGGACGGACCTGCCCATTCGTGCCGAGGCTGCCGCGTGGCCTTACCACCGTAAAAACTATTTATGGAACACTAAATTCATTTTTCCGCATGGGGATCGAACCGAAAACTCGACAGACAATGGTAGCTATCAGTCATTTTTCCAACACCCATTTAACAGATGTGTATTGAGTTGTCTAAATTGTCACTATGCTTTGGATTAGCTTGTCTGCCTCTATACCTAGGACATAGCTGGTGAACACGACAGCCGCAAAGAAAAATTTCTTGTATTTCGCGAAGCTAGCGTAGCTAGGTAAAAAGACGTATCAAAGTAAAGATCAATATTTATTTTTATTCAATATAGACTTATTCAAGTTTTTATTAAACGTGAAAAAACTCACCGACCGGTTCACTAAACTAGACCTGACCAGAGAAGAATCAGCAAGAATTTTGAGGTCTTGTTATCTCTTTTTTTTTTGATGATACAAAGATACAAAATTATTTTAGAATAAAATCGGCAGCCAGGGAACTTGAAAGTGCAAAGCATGAGTCATTTCTATACATCCTTGTCCTTAGTTTCCTGTGTTTCGTCTAGTGTGAGAGGTAACCAGGGTCCGATACTTTAAAATGTTGACAACGCATCTGCAATCCTTGGGTGTAGCAGATGTCCATGGGCGGCGGTACTCACTCAACATGAGGTGAACCGTCAGCTCGCTTGGAAACTTTTCACATAAATAAAAATCTATCGTGAATAATGCACGCTTCCTCGTTTTTTCTTATTTTATTATCGTCACATTGACTGCTTGTGTTTGCGGAATAAAAAAGTATTGTCTCTTGGACGTAATGTTTGGTTTTAAACCGATTTACGCAAGAAATGATGATAATTTCATGAGGTATATTTTGAAATTTTGTTTACAAACTGTGATGATCATATTTTCCAGTCGTTTTGGTAAATGAAAGTTGCAGCTCAATAATTGCTTAACCGCCCAATCGAGTTTGTGTGAAACGAAAACTGGTTACAGAAGAAATTTCTAGCGGTCAACGAATCCGAAACGATATTTTGCGAATGAACGGCTAATTGTTTATGTATTATTTTGCTTTTTGTTGTTTATTAAACTAGTGGTCACATCCTGGTTATTGGAAATTCGACCGTATTTGTTAACTTATAATTTTACTTTTCGTAACTCTCGGTTAATCTGAGATTCATTATTCAACTCTGCTATGTTCGACTGTTTCATCACGAACTATTGTCATTAGATATGTCATTAGATAAACCGAAAGTAACAGTGTACATATTTTATTAAATACTAGCTGTGCCCGCGACTTCGTCCGCGTGGAATTTTAAGTAAAAAAAATATAAAATAAAAGTAGCCTAAGTTACTGCTTATTACATCAGCTATCTGCCAGTGAAATTTCCGCCCTAATCGGTCCAGCCGATTCAGAGATTAGCCGGAACAAACAGACAGACAGACAGAGAGATAAAAATTGTAAAAAATGTTATTTTGGTATATGTAGCGTGTACACATCCATGTGCCTTTAGTAAAAAGCGGTTATTTTAATGTTACAAACAGACACTCCAATTTTATTTATCTCAATTGATTCTTGCCGCTGCTTCCATGTTACCTCTAACATTACCAAATTTCACACTTCTCCGGCCATGCAATATGCTTAGAGAGGCGTACATCTTTCTCTTTAATAGTTATCATTTAGTTTAATCATTGCCCTGATCATGGCCGGCGGTAAAATTTTAGTTCATTAACACACTTGATTTCGCTTGCGCAATTCTACGTGACAAAATTGTCCGCTTTTCAAATTCGTGCTGGGGCCGTGATCCAAATTTATAACAAAATGCTCAACGTCCATCGACGTTCCGTTTTTGGCGTAATGCATTTGGCAACGTCTATAACAACATTTATTGCATAGGAATAATGTTAAATTGTTTTTCTTTCTATTAAAGTATTCGAGTAAGTATAGAAAAAAATGCGAAAAAATTGATGTTACACTTTTATTTACGTGAGAAATTTATTTAGTTTGCATCGTGAAGCGCATCGGAATCCCCGACGTTTCATCTATATTTACAATATAATAAAACGGACCATTATTAAACACGGAATGTCTTTTCTACGAAACAATGCCGTTTATTCTTGTTAGGATTGTATTGGAAACAATTGGTTCCGGTTCTCTGTTAGTAGTCTTGAACAATGTTGCTTTGCGATGAATGGAGTTAGTTGTGATCATGAGATTATCGATCTATCTTTACCTTACTTTGTACAACCATTATATAATCATTTTCACAGCGAATCAAAACGCCAAAACAGGGTTTCTTTGACTTCGTGACCCTAAAGAGATGGACAGATTTTGTCTAATGTACACATTTCAAAAAGCTAATTTTAACTCAAACCAGACCTGTGCATCTAAGCGTTGTTGGAAAGCCTAAAGATAAACGTCCGATAAGCGAAATCTCATTGTATCCGCCACTGATTGAATCCACGAGCTTAATATCGAAACTACAACGCTCCAGCCACTAGCCATCACCTAAGTCTATTATTAAACCTTACCAATTTCTGTTTTATTTGTTTGCGCGAGAAAATATCCCTTACTTGTGATTATTTGTAGTGGTTGCCTGTATTTAAGATTAAAATACAATGTTATTTTTAATAGATAAATTGTCGATAATTTTCTTCGTCGTCAGGATTCGATCCTGCGACGGGTAACGCGCCCAGAAGCTCTTACCAACTGAGATAAGCGCCCGATATCCAATAAAACCAATTAAACTTATATTTTAATGCAGGAGCCATTTCTACCGTATACATTTAGTATATTTTGTTTTACGTATATTTGTAGGAACAATAATATTAAATGACATTCAATTTATTTAACCGAGAACCGTGGAATATGGGGCCCTTTGGATTTTTTTTATGTGAAACGGTGGCAAGAGAGCTGGCGGCTCACCTGATGTTAAGAAGAAAGTGGGCGCTGTAATAATATCTCCACTACATCCACTTCTACCATGAAACGCAGATTTATAATACCTTCTTCACTCTGCAGAATTATAATACCTTCCATTACCCACCAGTCATAATAGTCAATAATTATTGCTGCGTGCTCCTCCCACAGTGAAACCGTCATGTACTGCACGCTCGTTTGACACATCCTCTTCCTCTCATTATAAGACGTACATTACAATAGCCTTTTTTGATCCCCCTGCGTTGTTTGTACGTAGGCGGCGTGCGCACTCTGCGTCGGCGTGGGTAGCTACAGTGACCCGCCCGATATCCAGGGGTTGGCACATTTCGTCGAGCATATGGTCTTCATGGGCAGTGAGAAGTATCCCAAGGAGAATGAGTTCGACGCGTTCATTAAGGTTGGTTTTTAATAAGTTAAACAAGTCGTGTGATGTCCTAAGATGTCTAAGATCGTTGCAGACGGGTTATAGTTATTTATTCGACGTGGAGTAGTTATGAATAAAGGCAAATAAGTTTCTTCTTGTTTAATTCTGTCTTATTTTGATTGTTTCCGACGTAGGGGATCGCAAATGCTGACAAAACCTTAAATAAATAACTGGGTAAAGCAAACGCGATTGACCACTTGTAGCTAGTTAGTTTGAGAAGTTTTATGAATACTAGTTCACGTATTTGATTACTGAAAACAGAAAAAAGGAGGTTCCGACAACGCATCAACAGACTGCGAGGTGACCACCTTCTACTTCGAGATCCAGGAGAAATATCTGTCCCAAGCCATGGACATGTTCAGTCAGTTCTTCGTCAGTCCGCTCATGATGAAGGAGGCAATGCAGAGGGAACGCGAAGCGATCGAATCTGGTGAGTGTTTGTGTCATCTGATGTTAATCAATATCTTATCTGTGGTTGACCTAAATGAAAACCGCTGCCCTTGGACATTTGCAGTACCCGTAGGGTTGCAGATGCTTTGCCACCTTTTAATAAAGTGGGCCCCGATGACCTCACTCACCGGATGAAATTCAGAAGTGTAACACTTCTACTTCACGCCAGTCTTCTCTGAAGACGAGATACTTCCTCGGACGGACATGCTCATTCGTGCAGCGAAGACTGTTGCGTGGCCCTATCACAGGAATAACTGTAACAAAAAACAGTTATATCGGTTGTTAACATACGGCACAATAGTTAAATCTTCTTTGAAACTAAACTCTCTAAAGCACGGGGGTCAATTTGTGTGCTCGAATTTTAAGTGTTGCCAAACTACGACTAAGCGATCATTGAGTTTTATACCAATGTGAGATTTCTAAGCCAACCAGGTGTTGTTTCGGCAACGCAGAACCGTTACCTGTAACAACAATCGACAAAGTAACAACGGATTGCTGCAATAAATAGAATAAAAAAACGCATTCGACGTTGTATGTAACTTGTCTATGGAAATAGAGCGAATGTTCGAGCCAGCGCGTAAACTGCGGATTAGTCGCGGTGTTCGAGCAACCCTCTTACCGTGACCAAATAATCGCAGTCCAATGTGGAAATTGGAAGCAGGTCACCTATACATTATTTACTGTATAAGTTAAAGTATACGCTCGAATAAGCGACAACAGAACAAATAGTTTACTTTGTGGACGACCGTAAAATAATAACAATGAAATATTTAGAATAATCCCGCGAAATGCTGTATAGCTCTGGACTCATTAATGAGTCGTAGAAGAGTTCTGACTCTAGCAGATAAGCAACCCTGTCAATGCTCTATTGGTTTCATTTATAGGCCCAATCTGAGCAAATCTTGTTGCATGAATACTGTGAAACTGATAAAAATAAGTGAACCTACGGACGACGGAGCAATTAGTTCACGCGAGTTTCTCTACCGTCATTTCGTTATATATATATATTTCGTTATATATATACATTATACTCTACATTCAGCACAATTGACTTCTGGTTTATACCAGATAATTCTGTTAAAAAGCAGCAGCCCCAACAAGGCAGCTCACCAGGAAATGGCATCTATTGTAAACAAATGCAGACTCTGACCTACCTACTCTTAAGTATAGCACAAACATTTTCAGCCAAGTTATATGTTACATTTCTTTTTATCACCTTTTTTAAATTCTCTTTATTGCCGAAATTAACATTTTTTTACTCCGGTGCGTGCAATTATTTAAAGTTACTGAGTGTGAGATTTTGCACACAATTAACGGACATAAAGTATGCCCAAATTTGAAAAATATATTTACCCATAATAGTACTTGAGATTTGAAATCGTGCAGTAAATTATTTTAACTTCAATACTTTTACTTTTCTTTTATATGATAACAAGATGAATGTAAGTAGTGATTTGAGAGGTGTAAAAAAAACTGGCCAAGTGCGATTTTCTACAAAAACGGCAAAAAAATATTTACATTCTATGTGAACCCTACTTAAATATATTTTTTTACTGTTTTTTAGTATTTGTTGTTACAGCGGCAATAGAGATATACATCATCTGTGAAAATTTAAATTGTCTAATTATCACGGTTCGTAAGCTACAGCCTGGTGACAGACGGACAGACAGACATACAGCGGACTCTTAATAATACGCTCCCGTTTTACATTTTGAGTATGAAACCGTAAAAAGCTTCTTGGTACTTGAAAACAGTACTCGATTTGAAAATGATTCTCTGTAAATTCACATAGACCTATATCAAATCTCGACGTTTACTTGATTCACTGCACGACTCTGGTCGTAAACACGCGGCATACAAATAAGAGTTTGTTTGAATACTTCCTTTTACGTCATTATCTACAATGGCGTGGACGATCTCTATCATATTGTTTGTAACTTTGACTTGCAAGGTCTCTACCAAAACTATTTTTTGCCGTAAATGCAGACAAAAAAGTACGAAATTATTATCTCATTGCTTGTTTCTATAATTTTCAATGATTTTATTGTTTAGTTTATTTTTCTTTTGTATGTTCAAAGCGTTCACAAGGGAGATTTCTTTAGGTTTAGACATACTTACTAGTGTATCTCGATAAGTTTAACCAAGTTCATTTTTGTAGTAAATTTAAAATATCACCATAAGTGTTATATGTAATTGCCTTCTATTCTAATAAAATCCCCAAATCATATCATTGGTATTGGACTTTGGACTCCGGAGAAACATCAGGGAACTCCTCGAAATCAATTAATAGAAAAAGTATAGCGAATTAGATATTAAAGTGCGGTTTTGTTTTTTTGTTAATAAAAAAATAAAGTTTCGTCTGAGTGTGGTAACCGGGACCCACATTTTAAATGTTCCGAATATCCATGGGCGGCATTCAGTTAACATAAGGTTAACCGCATGCTTGACAACTGTTCTCATCATAATATGAAAGGCACACTCATGTATATTCCATATTTCCCGTTCGCGCACTAGAGTTCGCGATCGCGTCGCCTTCCGACTCGAACAGAAAGGACCAGCTGCTGTCCAGCCTGTTCCCGGAGGGTCACCCGGCGCGCACCTTCACCTGGGGCAACCTGCGCAGCTTGAGGGACGACCTCCACGATGACGAGCGATTGCATATGGCAGCGCATGAGTTCAGGAGGCGACACTATAGCGCGCACAGGATGACGGTCGCCGTTCAGGTCTATTTATTTATTTATTTATTTATTTTGGATTACTAACAAAATTACGTGTACACAGAGTTAAATAAACACAAATTTTGTGTCAACAATTTACACGTAATCTTTATTATAGGAGGTAGTCACAGCATTCAACAGAGTATTTTTCGCACTCATGGTATGACCGTAAATAGTTAGTAATAAAACGTTTGGTCTCTTGCATCCATCGACTTCCCGCATATTATTTTATTCTATTATTATCCTTATTTTTGAATACCTGTCTTTGAATAAGAGATTAAAATAATATTGAGCTAAGTATAACGTCGGTTATTGGAAAAGAGAAATCTTCAGATGGTAATATACTTTGATGAGCACTATATTATATTCTGTTCGCTACAAAAGTATACCATATGTAACTCCTATCGTATGATATACACTATCATGTGTTATAGGCGTTTCAACGTTTCAAATACCGGTCATACAACGTGTGGTCTCGGTAGGACTCGAACCCATCACCCGAGGCTTCGAAGCTAGCGGGTGAGACGACCGATTGTTAGGGTACTATAATTCGCCAGATACGTGTCGAAAGATATAGAGATAAGCGGCGAAATTGAATGTTCTCGTGCAACGGACACTGGTAGAGCAATTACGTGATGATGAATCCAATTGCAGGCACGTATGGAGCTCTCCGAGTTGGAGCAGTACGTTATAAACACCTTCGGCCAAGTGCCCAACAACGGGCTGGCCCCCGACGACTTCACGGGCTACGCCTTCAAACCCGACTCGGTGACACCCGAGTTCCGCAGCATTTACTACGTAAAGCCCCTCAGTGACACCACCGAGGTGAGTGCATCGATTCTCTTCTTATCCACCGGATCAGTTAAATATGTCGGATTTCTATGTTATTTGTAGTTGTTTCGTAATACATTTCAATCAACATCCTGTGAGTATTGCACTTGAGGATTGCTTTGAATTTGATCTACGAACTTTTAGTTATAGTTATCTGAAGGAGCGTCCGATTTTTAAGTGAGACGCTTTTATGGCCATTTTTCCATACCCCTATATGATGCAGGTATTTTTGAAAATTCGTATTTTTAATGTAAATACGTTATCGTGATTGCGTTGAAGTTATTTCTTTAAAAATTAAGTCCAGTTAAGCTGGTATTTATGGCTACTAAGAACATAGTTAAAGTAATATTGAGAAGATCGCGATTTGAAATAGTAGTTTCTTGCGGGAAATAAAATTACGTGTTATTTGCCGAGTACGTGACATTGGATTAGATTCGGCTTAATCCCCTCGTAAACGCGTCACATAACTAATGGAAATACTATGGAATAAACTTTACTAAAACTATATTTAAATTAATAAAGCGCATGTTATTAAAATTATTAAAACTTTAATTATTATTTTTTTTAAGTTACAATGACTTAGTGACTGCATAACATATTTGTAAGACTATACAGTAACTACAAGGACCACAGGACTATAGAGTAAAAAAAAGAACAACACATGCATGCCTTGAACACCCATGATTTTTACATAAATTTTTATTATCATTATTACTGAAGCTTAGTGTTTGATTCTTATAATACTTCTACTGATTACCCGTTACATAAAAAAGCTTATGTACTTCCATACTAATTATTTTAACTTCGTTTCCAGGTACATTTGACGTGGTGCATGCGCTCATTACTGTCGGAATACGAATCCAAGCCACACCAGTACATCTCTTATCTGCTAGGACACGAAGGCAAGGGAAGCCTCCTGTCGTATCTCAGGAAAAAGTAGGTAAACCGTTATTAACTCCGTCGTCGTCCATACAACCATAGGGGACGCGCCATTTGATAAATATAAAGTACAGCCCGCAAAAAAACTTAAATACGCCTATGAATTTCGTCCAAGTGTAATCCTATATGCGGTGTGAGGAGCGTTGTGTTATCTTTCATGTCTCATCTGAATCGTTCTGTTCCATGCACGTTGGAGTACCATTTCGAACAACTCGGTATTTGGTCTTATGGTCATTGTTAGTACTAGGAAACAACTCGAGTTTTGCACTCGATAATACACTATCAGTAGTGGGACTAACATCACTCAATCAACAAAAATTAGTTATGAGTTGTCACCTTTTAATAAACTAATCTCTGCTAACCTCACTCACCATACGAAACGCAGAAGTATAAAGACCCATTTACACGGTGCAAGTTTGTTGCCTGTTATATACAATTAAATTGAAGCAATAAATGAGTTGCATGGTCTAAACAACAAATGGTCTAAACAATTATTGCGCGCAATTTATTGCATTCAATTATTGCTCTTGTATGTTCATGAAAATGGCATCGTGTAAATGGGCCTTAACTCTTCTACTTCACGCAAGTCGTGACGTGATGCGTCTTCTTTTGTGAGGTCCTGGTACTTCCCCGGAAGGACCTGACCATTCGTGCAACAGCGAAGACTGTTGCGTGGCCCTAAAACCGGTTTTTACGGAAGTAGGGCCACGCAGCAGCCTCGGCTGTTGCACGAATGGGCAGGCTCGTCCGGGTAAGTACCACGACCTCACAGAAGACCGGCGTCAAGTGGAAGTATAATACTTTCGTCTGGCAAGTGAGGTAGCCGGAGCCCAATTTTCAAAAAGTTGTCAACACACCTGCAACCCTCGGGTGTAACAGGTGTCCATGGGCGGCGGTATTCACTTAACATCAGGAGAACCACCTGCTCGCTTGGCAACTTTTCACATAAAATAAAAGTTGCAAAAGAAGGAGATTAATCATTACAAATACTATTGTGTTTCAATACGCATAAAGCCCAAACTATTTGCAAAGTAAACATTTCCTTTTAAAAGACGCTACGTGCCTGTTATATCTCCTTTGGTGCCTATTATACTTATGTATAATCTTGATGTGCCATTTTTTTTTACTTAGCTATTACGTTGCCAATTGTCAATATTGCGGGCGTGTACATTGAATAAGGAGATATAAAGTAATGGTACCAATATTAAAATTTATTTCTTATAAGCCTACAACGTAGGTATGGTGGTTATAAATTTATGTGCACCCAAGTCAATACGACCTATATAGCTTAATTTCGTCAATAGCATCATATCTAAAAAGTTCCTTATATCCTCAGAGTATGGGCGCTTGGCATCTACACTGGCAACTCGGAGAGCGGAATAGACTACACATCTATGTATAGTTTGTTCTCTACGCAAGTAGTTCTTACCAAGGACGGACTAGAACATATAGACGATGTAAGTAATCAGTTAACTTTTCACAACTTACTTTTATTTTGTAGCATAAAGTTTCCGTAGAAGTTGTACAAAATGCTTGTTTTTAATAAAGGTTATTGTGTTGTCCGAAAGAAATATTGTCGACGTTTAAAAAAATGTGAAGTAATTTTAGTAATGTATTAACAATTTTTGACATCTGGACAGGAAATTAAAAGAACATCTAATGTATGTAATGTATCATTTCAAGAATTATTTATGGCTTCTATATAAGACCAATATCTTTGCAATAATACTTGCAGGTGCTAGAAGCAATATTCTCTTACATCAACATGCTAAAGAAAATTGGTCCTTCCGAACGGATATACAACGAGATAAAGGTATGTCTGAATAATAAATGATTACTTTCAATAACAAGCTAATACTAATAATTCAAACATTTATAGTTTTAATAATTAAAAAAAATGTCCAATGAACATATATTTCTAATTTAGATACTTAATTTGTATTCGGTAAGAAACGATATTTAAAATACAATTGATATGCAACAGTTTTTTAAATGTTCTTTTCATATTCCAGACAATAGAAGAGACGAGTTTCCGCTTCGAGGAGGAGTCACAGCCGGCTGACTACGTGGAATCGCTTGCAGAGAACATGCACTTCTTCCCACCGGAACATTATATTACAGGGGACAGGCTCTATTACAAATACGATCCAAAGGTTACTTCTTATATTCTATATATTACGCAATATAAAAGCTTTATTTATATTTAGGCGTATATAAATATAAAATTGTTCCTAAGTAGGTGTTACATAAACACTGTGAAGTTTTATGTGCAACGTTCTACTTTTATATTTACCGATTTAATCTGTAGCGGTGTTGTTATTGGTTCAGTCCTCCGATCACATCTGGGATTGGCCCACAGCCGAGTACAAAGATTTTTCATCGTGTGTCTTCCCATTTTCATAAATTTTAGGGGTTTAACATATTACATTAATTAATACTCTCTGTTGTTTCTGTTAATATATTTTTTTTTTTTTCAAATATACTCCGTACTTTGAACAGGGCATCACGGAATTGTTGGACTGCATGCGCGCAGATACAGTCAACATAATGGTCCTCTCAAACAAGTACTCCACGCCAGTGCATTACGATGCCAAGGAGAAGTGGTTCGGCACAGAATATAAAAGGCAAGGTGAGACTTGCACATTTCTGAAGCGACGTTTTTAGTCCCGATTGTAGATATGTGCAAACAGAAGGTTTATTGCAATCAAATAAATAACGCAGTATTTCGTCGCAGTTATAAGTAAATAATGTTTCCAATTTTAGTAATATTTGATTATGTTATATCTATATAATTTATATGTCCTCAATTCAGTTAAAGATTTATGCCTGGTTCCTATATCCACCGAACGGCTGTTAGTTACATAGCTTCGTAACTTTCATAACGACTTGTAGATAAAAGGTTTGTACGCCCGGTTCCTGTATTAACAAATCGAGGCGTTATCCTTACGAGCGGTTGCATTAGCGTTCCTTTAATCTACAAGTCGTTATGAAAATTACGAAGCTATGTGACTAATAGCCGTTCGTTGAATTTAGGAATCGGGCATTAGAGAGCTATAAAAATTTGACTAACCGGCGGGTATACTCTACTTCGAATCCCATTTCTGCCCGTAATGTAAAAATATAAATGTAAATGAACAAAGCATTCAAATTTATACTTCATTCGACAGCGTATAAATGAATTTTTATATTCGATATTTCGGATATTTTGATTACCGCTCGTTCCACCGCTCCAGAGATACCGCAGCAGTGGCTACAGCGCTGGCTGAGCGCGCAGCCCTACTCCAACTTCCACCTGCCCGAAGAGAACGTGTACCTCACGAGCGACTTCGGGCTGGTGCCGCCGGCGGAGGCCTACGTCGAGGCGGCGGACGCGCTGGGCCTCGACCTGAGCAGCGGCTCGGTGAAGGACATCCACAAGAAGGTCGCCGCCGCGCCCAAGCTCAAGAAGGTGCTCAAGCACGGCGATTTGATCGCTACGGTCAACAACTTTAGGTCGGTTTCGCTTTGGCTTGGATTATTATTAAACGCGTGTGTTCTAGAACAATGCGAAGCGCGACTCGGTAGCAGTTTGATCGCTATGGTGAACGACTTTAGGTCGATTTTTGCTTCGTCATGGACATTTATTAAACGAGTGGGTTCTAGAACAATGAGAAGCGCGACTCGGTAGCAGTTTGATCGCTATGGTCAACTACTTTAGGTTGATTTTTGCTTCGTCATGGACATTTATTAAACGAGTGGGTTCTAGAACAATGAGAAGCGCGCCTCGGTAGCAGTTTGATCGCTATGGTCAACTACTTTAGGTTGATTTTTGCTTCGTCATGGACATTTATTAAACGAGTGGGTTCTAGAACAATGAGAAGCGCGACTCGGTAGCAGTTTGATCGCTATGGTCAACTACTTTAGGTTGATTTTTGCTTCGTCATGGACATTTATTAAACGAGTGGGTTCTAGAACAATGAGAAGCGCGCCTCGGTAGCAGTTTGATCGCTATAGCGTGGTCAACTACTTTAGGTTGATTTTTGCTTTGTCATGGACATTTAATAAACGAGTGGGTTCTAGAACAATGAGAAGCGCGACTCGGTAGCAGTTTGATCGCTATGGTCAACTACTTTAGATTGATTTTTGCTTCGTCATGGATATTTATTAAACGAGTGGGTTCTAGAACAATGAGAAGCGCGACTCGGTAGCAGTTTGATCGCTATGGTCAACTACTTTAGGTTGATTTTTGCTTCGTCATGGACATTTATTAAACGAGTGGGTTCTAGAACAATGAGAAGCGCGACTCGGTAGCAGTTTGATCGCTATGGTCAACTACTTTAGGTTGATTTTTGCTTCGTCATGGACATTTATTAAACGAGTGGGTTCTAGAACAATGAGAAGCGCGACTCGGTAGCAGTTTGATCGCTATGGTCAACTACTTTAGGTTGATTTTTGCTTCGTCATGGACATTTATTAAACGAGTGGGTTCTATAACAAATGATAAGCGCGACTCGGTAGCAGTTTGATGGCTATGGTGAACGACTTTAGGTCGATTTCGCTTCGGCTTCGATTTTTATTAAACAAGGCTGTTCTAGAACGATTCGGTGTGCGCGATTTGTTGTGGTTTGTGGAGCGCAAATAACATGATAGCTATCGACTTTTTGTCGTGAAATTTAACATGTGTAGATAAATTATATTTCTAAATGCAATAAAAATAAAGTAAACAGTCAGGCTAGAGTATCTGGACGCGTAATGTAAAAGGCGTAGATTAAAATCCCAAAAAATTTTTTGGCATTTTATCGACACATTTTAAGTTTTGTTATAAGTACAGAAACTGGGAAGAAAATTAAAGTAAAAATTAAAATTCAATTGGAACGCTTTTAGAGCTTCCCGTACGAATGAATATCTTGGAATGTTCTTCTTGTTTTTTCATCAGTATTAGGAAACAATTACAGTGCAAAGGTGGTTTCACTATCTTCACCAACATTCCGATAACTGTCATTATAAAATAAAAAAAAAATAATAATTCCAACTCAACGTAACTATATATACCTACCTATTCAGCGTGTTTTTAGATATTATAATTAATAAAAAAACAATATCTACGGTTAATATCGTCCGAGGCATTGCAGTCAAATATCTCAAGGTTTATTAATTTTTTTAATAGGTTAGATCAACCCAACCTCCTGCGTAAGAGCCGGCACATGGAGTTGTGGTATAAACCGGACTTCAAGTTCCGCTTTCCGACCGCCCTCTTGTACTTTTACTTCATAACACCGTTAAGTCTAAAGACGCCGAGAGAGTGAGTATTTCTTTGTCACTCTTGTGTGATGTACCCTATGTATGTATCTGTATATTGTACCTTACTTTACTTTTATACTTTCAGATCCTGCCTTTTGGATCTATGGACGGACGTCTTACAACAGGGCCTAAAGGTAAGCTGAGATTTTTGAGATGACTCCGCGGCGCAGTTGCCAAGGTATCGGCTTCGACGCCAGAGATCGTGGGTTCGATTCCCACACGAGACAAATATTTGCATGACCCACAGATAATTGTTCCGGATATGGTTGTCCACGTGATATTTATGTATGTAAAACGTCTTTCCGACACAGGATAATTTTATCCTATAGTAAGAGGCAAGGTTAACGAAGGATATACTAATACAATAGACATTTCAAACCCTTCCACACAAAATACAAGCTGCAATTGAAACAAATGATCGAAATTCGACCCGAAAAAAAAAATTCCTTTTCTGTAATTTTAAAAATACGTCCCTTCGATCTCTATTCTATACGAATTTATTACAACGATTGGCGTTTGACATTGAAAGTATGAAACCAAACAATGCACGTTATGTTTAGTTTTATTTTACACTAATCCTTCGCTGCTTTCCAAAGGCATTCCCTTATCAAAATTAATGCAATATACATAGTATTCTGAGACCGACCTTTAGTTTTGTGGCTGTTTCAATCATGTATTTATGCCATTTAATTTTATATACTAGTGGACGCCGAGTGATCAAAATTCCATAATTATTTTAAATTATAAGTTTGAACAATTTTTTACTTTCCTCGAATACAATAAACAATAAACAAAAGAGTATATATGCGTGTGTGTGTGTCAATTTGTGTGTTATATTTTCTATATTGATTTAATGTATTTTTTATGCACAATTAAAAATAATATTAGCATTCTGCATTCCTTCTCTATTGACCGACTGCGTCCATTTTCGTAAAAAGGGCTACAAATTTTTTCTTCACCTATTAATATATAGACATTGTTGTCGTACGTTTTCGAAAATGTTGGTTGTATCTGTTTCAGGAAGAAGTTTACCCGGCCAACATGGCGGATCTGACGCACTCGCTTTACGTGTCCGACAAAGGGCTCACGTTAAAAGTCAACGGTTATAGCCAAAACCTGCACGTGAGTGACGTATTTTAATGATTCTAATCATTAATGAATTATGTTAGTTATAATTTGTATAATGCAACCGCGCCAAATATACAAATAAATAAAATGGCAACATTTGGTTTGAAATTGTGTTCGTTTGGCAACAGTTGCTGGTGGAGCTGATAACGCGCGAAATGCGCACCACAACGGACTCGCTCACTCTGCCGATGTTCGAGGCGGTGCGGGAAATAAGAGCGCGCAACTACCACAACGTACTCATAAAACCCCACAAGCTGTCCAAGTGAGTGCTTTTTTTTGGTTCCGTACCCAATGAGTAAAACGGGACCCTATTACTAAGACTCCGCTGTCAGTCTATCTGTCTTTCTTTCTGTCTTTCTGTCCGTCCGCCCGTCCGTCCGCCTGTCACCAGGCTGTATCTCATGAACCGTGATAGTTAGATAGTTGAAATTTTCACAGATGATGTATTTCTGTTGCCGCTATAACAACTAATCAAAATAAAAAATATTTATGTGGGGCTCCCACACAACAGAAATGTTTTTTTTGTCGCTTTTATAGATAATGGTACGGAATCCTTCGTGCGAGAGTCCGACTCGCACTTGGCCGGTTTTTTTATTTTCAATCTGTTGTCACTTTTTCAATCTTTTTAATAGGGATGTTGACACATTACTATTTTTTTTATTATGAATAGTTTAATAGAACAAGGAACTTAACAGAAAAAATAAGCGTTTCAATGTTGCCAATGACAGAGAAACCACTACAAAACTATGACCAGTTATGTCCTAGTAATGGACAGTCGTTCTATATTAATGTTAGCATTGGGGGAAAGGGACATACCGCATCTCTTCCAACAAGTTTATAACTTTTTTTAAATATGACTGTTTAGTTTAATAGGGAAGATGCAATAATTTAATTTTTGGTTTTATTCGAATGGATTTCATGTTGAATTGACCACTAGTATATTAAAAAATTAAAATACCTTAATTTATTGTAAAAAAATGCCATTTTTAATTCAATTTAAATCCCTCTTCGAGAAAATTCAAAATAACGTAATAAATCAACATTTTTATTGGCGTCTCCAAAGCTAGGAACGCCTCCAAAGTTCTCAACATGCGGCCTGTGAGAAATAGTGTTGTCCTCTCGTTCGCACCGCTTTATTAAGTAAGTCAGTTTTATAATTGTTTATAAAAAAGACATTTGCTTGTTATTATAGAGACGTGCGTATGGACGTTCTGCTAGAGCCTTACATATCGCCGCGCGATAAAGCGTCAATTATTCATAACATCACTATCGACGAGTTGAAGGACTTCAGTGGACGTCTGCTCAGCAAATTGTATATGCAGGTAAGCGTATAAGTTAATTACGCTAATGAATAATTTAAAATGTTGCATCAACTTAGCATAATGCGGCGATTAAGCGAAAAGCAAGCTGTTTTCTTATAAAGATTTTGCAGATTCGTCTGCAAATCGAATTGTATGTTCAAAGTCAATTGATCTCCTGATCAGATCTTGATCAATTATAACAGTAAAATAAAGTAGTAGCCATAAATTGAGAGTTTTCAAATATTAATTGCAAAATGACATTTTAGAAAGTGTTACTTGCTGTAAAGGAAAGCGCATTAGATGGCGCCGAGCATTTATAAAAAGGTAATAAAACAAAGTTGATGAGACGTCGAGATCGCTTAGCTATGTAGGAGGGTAGGAGCGACCGGGCGTGTTACCTGAAAGGTAGCGTGGGTTCCAATTCTGGAAACGGCGAAAAAAAAAATTTTCAATTTATCTAATTTTTTTTATTTTGCTGTTGCACGAATGTGCAGGTCCGTCTGGGGAAGTACCACGACCTCACAGATGAAGTGGAAGTGTTATACTTCTGCATTTCGTCTGGTAGGTGAAGTAGCCGGGGCAAACTTTATTGCAAGGTGTCAACGCATCTGCAACAGTTAAAAAACGTTGCAAATGCCCATGGGCGGCGGTTATCACTTAACCAGCCGCCAGCTCGCTTGCCATCTTCTAACATTAAAAAAAATTATTAGTACAGACTTTTAATAATCTTGCAATTTTACAGGTCTTGGTGCAGGGTAATTTGGCGTGGCACGAGGCGGTCACTATATCGGAGAACGTTCTAGAAAACATCAAATGGGAGGGCCTCGACGAGGAAGATATGCCAGAGGTGAGACTTTCATATATTGTAGTCATCTGGTAATTGCTGCAAGCGATTGAATAGTCGAACAGTTCCGTTTATAGCATTTATTACTTCCACCAGTATGATGTTTTTAATGAAAAGTGAATTACTTGAAGCTAGCGGGCGGTTCATCTGATGTTTTATGATTACCAACGTCCGTGGGCATCCATAATACTTTTGGGGTTTCAGATGCGTTGCAATCTTTTCGAACGTGTGGTACCCGGGTAAAAGTAAAAATTAATTTACAACCATCAAGCCATGAAGGGTATCATACTATTTTATAACACCTATTCACAACAACCCTCTTTTTACGTCAGGGTTGTATGAAAATAATTATCTAAATGTTAGAAATGCAAGAGAATATCATTGCTTAACGAAAGCATAGCAAAGTTGAAATTGCATAGCAAAGTTGAAATTTCTTTTTGTCAGGCTATACAACAAAAGTTTCCGCAAAAACTCGTAAAACGATTTTTCTAAAGTTTTCCGTAAAAAAGCTTAGTACGATGAAAACATTTCTGTAAATTTTTTTTGTAAAAAATGTTGTAAACGTAATTGTTTAAAACTTCGACAATTTGTTTTAATTTACTGTAATTATATATTAATGCCATTTTATTAATTTAAAAAATAAATTAAATTCATTTGTATTAATTATTTATGAAATGAGGCGAAATGTGTCTGTACTTTTATCTTTTTGATGACTCCGTGGCGCAGTTGTCACGTTATTGGCTTCGGCGACGGGGATCGTGGGTTCGATTCCCACTCGGGACAACTATTTGTGTCACCCACAGATAATTGTTTCGAATCTGGGCGTCCGTCCACTTGAAATTTTTGAATGTTATCCTAAAGTAAGGGCAATGTTTATTAAGAAAAGAAAAAATATATACTGCTAAACTTTATCTACCATATTTCCGCAAATGAAGATGATTTGTAAAAAAAACCGTAACTTTTTTTCTCCTTAATACGGTATTTGATTCCCTCAGCTGCGCGTCCACGAGCTGCCCCTGGGCGAGAGGAAGCTGCGAGTGCTGAGCCTGAACCCGGCCTCCACCAACAGCATCGTCACCAACTACTACCAGAGCGGCCCCACCAGCGCCCGTGACACCGCCGTACTGGAAGTCCTCATGGTGAGCTTTTTTTGAAGATACACTTCGTGATAGCTCAGTGTCCGGGCGCTCGCCTTTAATTCAATATACTCGAGCGACCTGGGTACGATCCCCGGTGCCGGCACCAATGAAGTTTTTAACTTTAAGTGCTGACTCATCACGTGCTCCGCGGTGAAAGAAAACATCGTGAGGAAACCTGCATATTTTCAAGATAATTACAAAAAATATATATTTTTCGAAGATATGTGAAGTCCGCCAATCCGCTGTGGGGCCGCGTGGTGGACTATTCCCTGATACCCTCTGTATAGAGGAGGCCTTTGCCCAGCAGTGGGACATGTATAGGCTGTTACTTTACTTTTTTTTACTTCTTTTGGCGCGTTAGGGAGAAATGATGAGTAAATTTTCACGATGCGCGCACACACCGTCACGACAAACCGACACCCCGAAGTTAGCTAGACATATACGTATGCGAAAAAGCCAAAAAGCGATGATGAAGTTGCGTTGCAAAGCGACCAACTTCACTATGGCAACCAATAACAACTCTTTGAGATATACCTATTATTCCAAGTTATTTAATTAAACCGTTATTATTCAATGTGCTGGCACAGGGTATAAAATTTTTAGTTCTTTTCTTTTGTTACGTTAAAGAAGTATAACTTCTTACGTGCGTACGTGAGTACACACGTTTTTTTATGGGGGTAGGCGGATAGTAGAGATAGTAGGCGGTAGCGAGCTGGCGGTCCACCTGATGTTGAGTGATAACCGCCGCCCATTGCAACAGCCGCAGTGTTGCAGGTGCGTTGCCAAATTTTATAAAGTGGGCACCGGCTACCTCACTCACCAGACGAAACGCAGAAGTGTAACAATTCTACTTCACGCCGGTCTTCTGTGAGATCGTGGTACTTACCCGAACGGACTTGCCCATTCGTGCAACACCGAACACTGCTGCGTGGACCTACCTCAGCTAAATCTTGTATGTATACAGGGTGGCTTTTCTAAAGATGCCCAAATTCACACAGGAGGTTCAGACTCGGTAGTATAATCGTTTATTGAAATAAAAACAAACTTTTTTTTTCAAAAAAATTGCCATTCTGTTCCCTAAACAACATAACTTCTTGACGATGCGGTAATCATTGATAAATGCGTCGTATACCTTTCAAACGAACTTGTATGCATGTTATATATATTATTATTGTTGTAAAACGCAGATGCTAATGGAGGAGCCGGTGTTCGACGCCTTACGTACGAAGGAGCAGCTCGGGTACAGCGTGTTTTGTATGATGCGGTACACTTTCGGAGTGCTCGGTTTCTCCGTAACGGTGAACACGCAAGTCGACAAGTTCAGGTGAGGGCGTCGGTACGTCTCCTCTCTTGTATCTTTCAGGGCTCCGCAATTCTGTCGGTTAAACCCTTATAGGGTCGATTCCGAACCGTTTCTTCTGTTATTTGTCTGACATGAATGAGCGAGGGTGACGAGTTGAAGTTTGTGTCAAATACTTAAGGTCTTTAGTCCCCTTGGCGAGTAGTAAATTTAATATTTTAATTTAACGCAATCCTTTTAATTTATATGGCCTTTAATTCGCATATTTTGATTCTTACAACTCAGTCCAATACGGTTACCTTGTTTACCTAAACAACTAGGTAACCCATGATATTTTATAAGAAGCAAGTGAAATTTGCTTTTGTTAAGTTTTATATTTCAAGTACAATTAGAGGAATGAAATCTGTTAATTAGTAATTAATATATATGAAAATTAAGTTTGTTTCAACTATAGACTTACTCGTAAATGTTTATTCTATTTCTTACGATGCGCCTTCATTTATTGCATTTGGGTTACGCAACACGTTTCCTGAAGCCGGAAATAATGCTTATAATATTTTTGCTATTTAGGTACATGATTTTTTCGTAAAGGACTTTCAAAACTTCTCTCTTCTATACTAGTATTTGTACTTCTATCTTTTTAATGCGCGATAGTAACTGTTCCATAGAGTAAATCATCGTTATATCCGTGATTAGTAGGACGGTTCATATTTAACTTTGTATTGTATCCGATGGTTTCTATAGACAATATTGGACTTAAAATGTGTGTATGTTTTCTGTTATAATCTCGTGTATGTACACGGTTTATATAAACTATACAGCGTGTTTACATTCGCGACAATAAATGAACACACATATAGAGGATAACTTTTTAAAATTGTATTAAACATTTACCTTCTTTAAACACCAATGTTTACAGAGTTATAAAATTTTCCAAAACAAAGAATTTTATAACTCCCTTACGTATAAAACTGTAACGTAAACTTCATTTGTAAAGGTCACAAAGCATATGAATGGGTTGAATGAATTTAAAAGAGATAAAAAATACTGTTAGAAGGAGTTGCTTGTAATGCGACGCTCTGGCAACGAATGAAAAAGTCTCGGAATGTATGAATCAGTCAGTTGTAGTTGTATAGGATGTTACAAATTTTGTTTCTTTTTTACTTAATTAGTTTGTTTGAAAAATGTATTTTTTTTAATTATGGATTGTTTTTAACGTTAATATTTTTTATGATTATTGGCAATTAGCGTTAGACGTGTGTTCATTTATTGTCGCGATGGTAACGACACGCTGTATATGTAGGATGAGTGGGTATTTTGTGTAATACTCTCATGTATGCACACTGTTTTATAAATGATATTTTGAATGAATTAATGAAATGAATGTTAATTTATTGTAAACAAGCAACGGATATTGAATACAAAACTGTACAGTACGCGGCCTTATCGCTAAAAGAGATTTCTTCCACGCAACCTAGTAAAAGGAGTTAGTAAAAACAGTAGCATCGGGTAACGGTTTATGTTTTAACGGGTAACTATATGTAACATATTTTGCGTAATGGTCTTGTATATATATGGTGTATGTTTTGTGTAACAAGCAGCGTGTCCCACGTGGACGCACGCGTAGAGGCGTTCCTTAAGAAGTTCGCGCGCGACATGAAGCGCCTCAACGAGCGGACGCTTTCGGCGACACGCACCGCCCTCGTGCAGCTGAAGCACACGATCGACTATGAACTCAAGGAGGAGGTAATAGCGCTCAAATTAGCGGAAACAAAGTGAAAAGTAAAGTAACAGCCTATACATAACCCCGCGCAGCAACTGTGGTAGCGCCACGCAGCAGCCTCGGCTCTTGCACGAATGGGCAGGCTCGTCCAGGTAAGTACCGCGGTAAGTATACTCACAGTAAAAGTATAAATACTTTCCCGTTACATCCATAACCTTCGGGTGTAGCAGATGTCCGTGGGCGGCGGTTAACATCAGGTGAACCGCCTGCTCGTTTGGAAACTTTTCATATAAAAAAACATATCCAAAGGGCGAAGAGTCCTTTGGATGTTTTTTTTTTACAGAGGGTATCAGAGCATAGTCCACCACACGGCCCCACTGTGGATTGGCGAACCTCGCATATCTTCGAAATATTTTTTTGTTTTTCCGAAAATATGCAGGTTTCCTCACGATGTTTTCGTTCACCGTTGAGCACGTGATAAGTCAGCACTTAAAATTAACAATTTCATTGGTGCCGGCACTGTGGATCGAACTCCGGTTGCTCGAGTATGTGGAATTAAAGGCGAGCGCCCGGTCACTAAGCTATCACGGCTCACGTAACAAATTAGCGAAACTGTCAATAGTTCTTAACGAAGTGTACGTGTTGTCGTGTGTTTTTGTTTTTCTACAAAATGTTTCAAATTCGATTTTCTTTAAAATAACAGTAAAAGTTACAGATACACATCCACGTGCCTTTGTATGTGTCTTGTTTTGTCGAGGAAAATATATTTCGGAATTGAACTTTGTGTACAGGTTGAAAGAAATTGGCGGGAGATTGTGAGCAGGGAATATCAGTTCCAGAGGCTGTTTTTGGAGGTAATCCTTTTTTATTTATGAAACCTTAATGTATGGTCATATTTCTCTAAATATAGTTTATCTTTATGGAATAGAGTAACATTTTTCTTTTCTATAATTGAAATTAAAAAAATATAAATTATTGACCGAATTGGACGCTCTTGAATTGGCATTAGAATGATTTTTGAAATTTGTCTGATGGGGAGAATTTTGTCGTTTAAACATTTAATAAAACATGCAGTGTATCAATCTATTGTTACGTTTAAATCGCTTATAAAGATTTTGTGTAAAGGCATTATATCATTTGTTTTTTCACAGGCGGACGCCATAGAGAAAATAAAAGTTGGCGATATCCGTAGCTGGGTGGAGAACCATTTCCCTACAGGCAATAAGTCCCTCTTCAGGAAACTTTCTGTGCAGGTATTTTTATTACTTTCTGATGACTCCCATACGTTTTTCAATGAAGGTATTATTGTATTTACAAAATCTGACTAGTATTATATATATTATCAATCAAAGGGTAAATGAACTCGTCCTCATCATGAAATCTAATATATGTTAATAAAAGGAAAGTTTTGTCAGCAACTGTTCACCCTCATGCCATGCGAGCTAGACAGAGAGTACTTTAGACGACTGTGAATGAGACGACATTACCTAAAAACTGTCCAAGGCGCATTTTGAATAACTTTTCGCGCCCCATACATATTTTCCTACACCTGTGCCCCTAATAACCCGTTGATTACGTTTTCTGCATTGGCTTTTACTAGATGGTTTGTTTCGCTTTTATCTAAAACTATGATAATCGCAAATATATTCTTGTATCTTGTATTAACTAATGTTTTTGCTTTCAGTCCCGAGACTATTAAAGCTTCATCTGACGCAGAACCGGTGGGCTAGCCAGAACCCACGGGTTTGGGCCCTTCGATGTGGGTAGGGCCGCGCATGTGCTCATGCGTGCGTTTAACTACGACATGTCATCTAAGGGCCATCGAAGTTGCGGTGCGGACCGAGACCCCGATGGCCGTCGACTGTGTTTTTAGCTAATCGGTGGCTGCGGGCGGTGAGAACCGCCCTGGAACGCGGGTGTACCTTGTATACGCGTTGTGTTGGTCTCGCCGTGCTCGGAGGCGAGTGCGAACTATTGTGTTTGTTGTTACACTAGCTGTGGGTGTAGTGTTATCCGGCGGGACCCCCGGCGGTGGGTCCGGCGTATCTAAGTTCCCTTCCTCGACCGGGTCGATGAGGACGTTTCGCGGGCGACGCTTGTTAACAAATATATTGTTGTCCTTCTCTTTCTCAGGTAATGGGACACTCGGCTAAGGAGAGCAACAGCTCAATCATCTCCGACACCCAAGTGAAGAGCTACAATCTGACCTATCTAGACGCAAACAACCCCATTGGTGACTCCAGTGAAAACAACGCGGACTTTATAAAGAACATTGAGGAGTTCAAGAAGGACTTGCCGTTCATCGATGTGCCTCAGGTCGAATTGGCCCAGTGCTGATTATTGAATAAATTATCGTACCGACCGCTGTAAAAGCAACAGATTGTTTATAAAATGCAAATAAATTAGATTATTTGAAAAAAAAAAAAACACGTTAAATGTTTTGCAACGATAAAAGTAACTCCTGGGAACACAAGTGATTTTGGCGCGATATTGTGAAACTTCCGGCATAAATTGGACGATAGACATCTCTTGTTTTATAGGAATACATTGAAAAGTTAAAGATTGAAATGGATATTTTGCGATTGTAATTGCTTTACTGTATATAAAAATAGCTAAAATATATACAGTTAGTACTTAACCGTTCCTAATCACGCTTCCTTCACGTTTTACAAAAGAATAATTATTTACGACGTCATTTTGCTTATAACTGTTTCGACAGTGGCCAATTTTTGAGTTTTTTTAACTAAAATTGTCTGTTAAAATTATATTTGTATTGACGCCTACACAATACTATATTTATTTCTTGTTAAAAATATTGCTGAACACTAAATACGTATTAAATTTATACGTATATTATAATTTTGTAAGCTGTAATAGAAATTATTAATACAAGTACATTCATTGTATCATTAGCGCCATTTAAAAGTTGTAGTTTTAATTTTACAAATGATAGTATCCGTTATATAAAGAACTGTTAAATAAAAAGCCTTTAACAGGGAAGAACGGGCACAGAATGACTGATTTAGACAATTCTAAATTTCTTACACAATATGTAATAAGTAAACGAAAAATATATCGAATATTTTGATAGCTGGAATCACTCGTTCGCTTTAAGGCGTCTCGTCTTAACACATTGTTGCGTTAGATTAATACTTTTCGACTTGTACATTTGCGAGTACATATACTTTTTAATATACGCATTGTTATTTGACAATATTTATTAGCTAATGATAATATTTTTATGACAAAACTGATGCTGACTCTACTGTTAATTTATATTTGTTCAGCGGGTATTCAAATATAATATATAAACCTGTAAATATAGACAAATGTGTGAAATAAAACCATATTGTTGGCACATTTTGTTTTATTTTATTGTTTAGTCCCTATACATTAGCTTCAATATTTGCTTTGACAACTTACCATCAAAATTTAATTTCTATGTAGTGTAAAAAAAGTGGCTGACTAATCATTTTAATGTTTAGATTGTTATTATTAATGTAATGTTTGTTAACTTGGGAGGTCCTTGTGAAACAGAATTGCATAAGGTATGCCCGTCCGACTCTTACCGTTATAAATGCGTTAGCGTTTGTTGAGCACCTAAGAAAAGGTTTATTATGGAAATATTATTATCTAAGCAAACAGAGGCCCAATACTGTGTAAATCATAAAACAATTCCGATTGGGTAATTCCTTAAGTTGGTCTGTGTGAAAATAGAAAAACTTGTGTATTACACCAAATGTATGTAACGAACGAAAACAAAACATAGTTTAATCTAATTAAGTTTAATCTATGACTCAATATACTATTTGTATTCTCCCATCAAGATCTTGAATAACATTGGCCTGCTTTCTCATGTGGCGCTGAAGCATCACATAGTCTACTTCCAAATTCTCCAGATTTTCCCTGTTTTGTGACAGCATCTGTAACAATTCCTGGAGTTTACGATTTACGATGCACAGACATATAAGATGTATGGAAAGTGAGATTTATGGTACTCCTTAGACCAAAAGTGTAAGAAGAACAATTACAAGTTAATTTTCACGTTGAAACCATTTCCAAATTATAAACTCATATAGACAGACAGTGCTACCGATTTTCGTCAAATAGATACCCCATATATATTATGAAATAAAAGTAATTTATCGCTTTTAATTTAGGTTTTGTTTTAAATTTCCAATGTTTATACATTGTACAGTGGCCTTGATCAAGGGAGAGTTTTTAACGCCCTAATGTCTTATTTAACCCAATTCAATTTCACGTTCAACACGCTTAAAACTGTAGCGAATCAAATAGGTTACACCTCTAACATGCGGCAATGAGTACTCGACACAAACGTGCCTGGCTCTGCTGCTGTGACGTGGGGGACCTGGACCTTGTTGTCTTGTAGAATTTGCTTAACGTATTGTAACTTCACTGTTCTGTTGTAACTCAGCGTAACTTAAAATCAGAACCAATAGTTCGTTTCATTCTGTATTGTCTAAGTGCGATAGGGCTTCCTCACCGTATATCCGCCACCGCCGTCGCCGATATAGTTCTGTGTGAGTACGCGGTATGTTTTATTCACGTCGAGCGGTTCATAGCGGGGCACGTCGCAGTCAATGCAACGGACGGTCGCCGAAACCACTCGAGACCCCGCCTCCGCAGAGGCGTTGTAAACGTTTCGCATGCCTGCAACGAAAAACACTTATGTATAATGTAGTATATATATATATATATATATATATATATATATAGAATTCTTCGACACGATCCAAGTTTTCTTCGTAACATAGTTTTGGCAGCAACTCGGGCGCTGATTCGGTGGCGGCAACACTGAAATGATGACATCGAACCGAACTTGACATAGGCCGCGCTCCAATCATAGAGAACCCACATTTGTATATAGGAGAATTTGGCTTCAATTTTCAAAAATTTACTTCATTAGGTTGGGAAATTGCCAGACATCGATCTTAATTACTTGTGGAATGTAGAAAATTATTAAATTGAACACGTCTAAATAAAAGGAGACTAATCAAACCTACGTTGTCAAATATAGGAATATTAGCTGAATTGTGAGAAATGTTAACACAATGCAGTGATCAGTCACCGAATGGTAATATAATGTATAAAGTAAAAGGTATAATTGTTGAAGAATAGCGTTCATTCTGCTAGTCACTGTGCTGATCACTGTATTTCGCTATCTTTCATTGAAACAAATTCTCAATAAAAGGCCTGTGTAAACTTATTCTCCTTATTTTTAATGTAAACTTACACTTATACACTTTTTATCAATAGCGGCAAATATAAGCTTTAAAATCCTAGTGTTCGAATCATATAATTTGCGAAGAATCATGCTAGTTTTTGCGTTCCGACGAACAAACACCTTTGAGAAAAATATGTAGAGATTGTACCGAAGTATATAAAAATATGCCTGATTTAAATGCGAGTTACCTAAATAGAAAAATTGTCAAAAAATTATACACGAATTTTTGGGAAATAAAATTTCTGTTTGTGATAACGAATCGCGCTTTACAAAATAGAGCAAGATCTTTGACACAAAGCATGCGCATTTGATTAGAGTATTATTGAGCGTCTGAAATATACAGTTTTAAAAAATACATAGATCACGCATCCCTTTGTAATTTCGAAAACTCACCCGCTATCTGCAACATCCGACCGCTGTAGAAGGAGTCTGGATTTGTTTGTGACGCGCCCACGGAGAACTCTAACGCCTCCAGGAGATGTTCGCCTTTCAGGTCGTAAACTTGCACGTAGTTTTCGAAAGGTATCGACATTAAAAGGGCCTCTGTTGTTACTTCTGTTTAATGTATTTTTTCGGAAAATTGAAAATCAATTTTAGTAGCAATACATACACATAAATGCTGAGAAATCTTGCGGGCTTATTCTCAACACACGCCGTGAGGGCGCTTTACATAAAATTTGTAATTAAAAAAAACTATTTTACTTAGAAAAGTACGAAAAGGACGCGCGGCAAGCCTTTAATTTTTTAATCAATCAATCAAATTCAAAATGGCGTTTTCCTGCTGCGTTATGACCTATGATCACTCTTATATGGTTGTCAGAGTATTAAGATGCTATACGTTACCTCCCGGATCGATCTGCATCCTGAGTCCTCCAGCGTTCATCATGCAAACATGCGCATCATTCCACGCGCCACCTCTCGCCCTTACCATGACCTGTACAAGTTATTAGCGATTGTTTATTCATTCAATGTAGATTGTCTGTCATGTATGTACATAATAGGTCAACGATGTCTTAGTGGTGTGGGAGTTCGCTTGTAATTTCAAGGTTGAGAATCCTTTATCTTATTATAAAACCCACTATATTTTTACGAATTTATATATGCAAGTAAATAATAACGACGTTTGCCACTGTTATGGTAATAAAAAGGCAATTGACAGACGCAGATCACCATCGGCTATTCAACTTTAAAGTTTTAAGTGTGTCTTCAATTTTAATTGCGCCAGAATAATATTTCAATTTACATAAAAGACTTACGCTTTTTATATCCATATTATTAAAAATCTAAAGCTGCTATTTCAAATAATAGCGATAAATACAGCGGGTCTAGGTAGGGTTACCTGTTCCAAAAATCCGTCGCACGCCCAACTGCCGAGGTTGCATTCGCCGCGATAACAGGACCGGCTCAGTGTCACCAGGGAATTCCCCAAGACCTCCTTTCCTACCGCGTCCACCTCCTGTCTCCACGGCTCCAGCTCATCCAGTATTCGGGGATCTGGCGGGAGAAAACTATCTCCTTACTCTGCTTCTCTATTTAAATTGTAGGTGCCGTAGTTGTTCAGGCGTCGACTATCTAAAGTTACATTCGCTGAATGTGTATTTCATGTTTCTTAAATGCAAAAATACTTTTCAAAATAGCATGTATTTATAAAAGAAAACGTTCTTACCTTGAATAATAGATGTCCCTAAGAAGATAGGAGATCCTTCCCATGACTGAATGACGCCTTGGTCGTTGAAATAGAGCTTTATGTCGCCCAAGTACCTCGTGTAGCAGTGCGCTTGGACAACCAGAATCTACAATTCGGAACAGAGGGCAAACTTCAATAGCGTAATCCGGACCCTGGGAGGTCCCAACCTATAACACTACACACACACACACACGCGTAGTAGCCAAAGAAAAACAGAAGTCCCACCACCTCACACGGCGTTAAGTGTTACATTTTTGCGTTTTATCTGGTGAGTCAGGTAACCGGGCCCATTGTATAAAATGGTGGCATCGCATCTGCAACCCTATGTTAAGACATGAATGTTATCATTAGTTGTATCGTAATGCCTGATACGAAATGCGTCCCTAAATCTAGTCACTACTTAATTTCACAAATTTGAATCTGGATGTTCTTTTTCGGAATGATTCTAGAACAAAAGTGCCTACCTAACAGTGGGTCCTTCTTTTAGATGTAATACTACTTACTCAGTTGAAGTAGCACTTGTTATTTCTGTTCGCTCCTTTTTAACTGTTTAAGTGAAAACTCTTAAAAACTGCGTTATACCACTCACTCTGTGCCCGTCGTCCCTGCTGACGACAGTAGGGTATTCCCCGACCGGTCGCGTGCCATCCGGCGATTCACCGTTAAACAGCAAAGAGTGGGAATGGCCACCCACAATTATGTCCACTGTTGGTGGGATACGGAGTGCCAATTGCCTGTCAAATAGATAAGTAAATGAAACTAATTTTACGGATTTATCGCGTTTATTTTTAATTTTAATTCCCGACGTTTCGAACCCTTTACAGCGTTCATGGTCACGGGACGGACTGAGGCGTTAGACGTCTGATTGTCATAGTTAACCCGGGTTACCGTCAGTTTTTGAATTATTAATTTTGTGTCCGATCTATGCAGAGGGAGCTAATTGTGTCTTGTCTTGCAGTAGTGGTTCGTTTGGCCCTAGATTTAATTTTATTGATGACAGGATCCCAAGCTGATGGTAGAACCCAATCCTCTTCTCTATTGAAATTAGGGTGTTTTTTAATTTTAATAGCCTCGCGAATCATCCTTGGGAGGAATCGGTGTTTTTTGCAAGGATCTGTGGTCTATCAAATCTCATGTAGTGGTTGGGCCGATTTGAGGTGTGCTCACAAACTGCAGACTTGTTCAATCTATTATGTTTTATGTCAGCTATATGTTCTTTCACGCGGGTTTTTATTGCTCTTTTCGTTTGTCCTATGTAAGAGAGCCCACTAAACGGTGACTCTCACCAACATCCATCCCAATTATAGAACGCCTCAGTCTGTCCCGTGACCATGAACGCTGTAAAGGGTTTGAAACGTCGGGAATTAAAATTAAAAATAAACGCGATAAATCCATAAAATTAGTTTTATTTATAATGTGTAATCGCGTAAATACAAGAAATTATCAAATAGATAAGATTTTCGTAGCAGATGAAGTGTGTGCAGAACGTGTTTTACAAAGCTAGTTTTTATATGTTGTAAATGAATAGTAAAGCAATGTGATATTTCAATCACACCTGAAAATCTATGCGTTCAAAGCGAGTGTCTATGAGTTAGGGCCATATTGAACATATTATACAATAATAATACTAATAACTATACAATGTAAAGAAAACTACAGGAATACCATTACTGGTTGCACTTACAAGTCGCTTGTGTAGCCAACATGAGACAACAGTATAATAATATCGACTCCCTGCTCTGTGAGTATTGCTGCCTCCCGATTGACAGCCTCAAGCTCATCCTCCATAATAACTTGGCCTATCGGCGCGGAGAACTAAAATTAATTAAAAACGCTATATATATTTCTGTTGTCTAGGCCCCAACGATGAAACGTTAATTTAGTAATCGTCAATTGTTTAACGCTGACCTGTCTTAGAAGCACTCCGATGATGCCGATCCTCCTTCCTCGTCGTGTCACGATCACGTGGTTTTTGACGTAAGCCCCCAACTCCGGTTCAAAGGTGGTGTTGACGTTAGCGCCAAGCATCGGTGAGTCCAAACGCTCTAGGTACGGTACTAAGCCTTCCACTCCGTGATCGAATTCATGGTTACCGAGGACCTTATCAAAAATGTCGCATTTCTATCATTTTTTAAATAAATAAATAAAATATCTTTATTCACATAGACGCTTGCGCGTATGAAACGTCCAAATTTTACAAGAAATTAACACGTTCGTAAGTTACCACCGGTTCGGAAAGCAGTTTCTGTTGAGAAGAAACCGGCAAGAAACTCAACAGTTGCTCTTTTTAAAAAAATCAGTTTACAATATAATAGTACAGGTACAATAGTCTTGTTTTAGCCTACGTGAGTATCAACAGTATTAACCCCACACATTGGCGTCGTCAAGATATTCGGCAATAGAATAATAGGCTTTAGCCATAAGTCGCAAGAGTCGCATTTCAAGTCGCAAGAGATAAGTGCCAATGTTTTTAAGTACCAACACAGATAAATTCTTTACACAGATCAGTAACTTAAGATATACGTACCTAAGGCAAAGTTAGGTTTTTTTAATTTGTAATTGATTACATAGTGAGACTGCCTCAATAGGCAGCAGATCTCTATACATGTTGCGTACGGTTGACAGGTGAAACCCCCTCCATTCACTGTATCATCATCATTTGAAATATATAACTAGGTTCCATGCATAAATCTTATATTTATCTAACACGGAATAAGATAACATAATAAATATTAAAATTAATGTAGAAAAATTTACTTTTCATCGATAAACTTCAATCTGATCCCATCCAAATTTAAAGACCAAGATCTGCGCTGGGTTCCCTCACTGCTTTGCGGCAATAGAAACGCTTCGTATTGCCGCTCCACCGAATCCACTAAGTGTAAGATCAAGTAGCCAGATAATCTCCTTTTATATATATCTTAGTTCTATTCTTATAAGCCCAGAACGACTTGTTTAGTCGTTACTAAGCTTCATTACGATGACATAACAGTTGCGTACAAACAGTTCTTTACATGAGCGTCATGGGGCAGCATGTTCATGAAGTGCTGAGTGACGTTCCAACGGAGGAAATTGTACCAGATGGTGCCCTGGAATGTGTCACCGGCGTTGAGAAGCAGTGAGTCCGGTTCGGCTTCCAAAACCTGCATGATAGCCGTGTAAAGGCGGGCGAAGCCCCCGATACAGGCTCTCTCGGTCGGGTTGCATACTCCGCCTGTAGGGCTGACTTGGTCGAAACTGAAAATTATAGCTCGGCTGTAGGGTTTTGTAATTCGAACTAGCTTTTACCGCTTTGTACGATGTTCTTCTCGTAGGTAATACAATGTTAATTATTCATGGGATATACGTTGCTTTATGTTAATCAAGCCTGTAAGGTATCTTCATTACATGCTTTATAAAAGGAAAAGAAAACAAATAGACACAAACACACGCATTATTACGATCACAAAATTCGTTTTCTTTAATGCAAAATTAACTCGTCAAGGTGAAATTATATCGGCCTAAATAAGAAATAAGAAAGGACTTACTGAGCGTGAAAATCATTGTAGTGTATGATATTTAACTCGAACAATTCCTCATTTTGCCCAAACACGGGAATGAGCAATGCTACAAAAAGCAATGCATTCTTCACCATTGCTCACCACTGCCACAGGTATTCGTGGCTTAAACACACCCGGCGGCTTCACAAATCATGTACGTGAATCGATAAACAGTTTCGCATAAATCGTATTATAAATTATTTCATATTAAACGATAAATACGATAAGGATAGATTACATGAGCGATTAAAAAATAATGCAAGGTAAAATACGACGAAAAGAGTAATAAAAATAATTGAACCGTCAAAATTCAATTCTAATCACCTTTAGCTAGATAAAAAAAAATACTAAACTATCATCAATTTTGTACAACCAGCGGCACTTCGGGACCCTACTGAATAGTTTCGATTACTTGCACCTTTTGCATATACATATAGATATTACTACACTAATAGAGTAATAAAATACATATGTATATGATGTTAGTAGAGTAATAAAAAACGGTAGGGACGCTCCCTAACATGATACAATTTTATAATGCGCTGATTTGTTGTCACTGTCGTCGGTCATAGTCATGGCTCACTCTACTTTTTCTAGACCAAAATTGGGCGTAATATATATTCATATATTTATTAGGTGATTTTCCAAACATGAATTTATGGACACGTGTGCTTAGGTGTACCCAAGAAAAATATTTCTGGACCACATAAAGTCGTGAGTTAATATCGAAATAACCGATTGAAAAACATATATTTTTATAGAAAAATTATTAATTAATTCATCGGTTGGAGGGGAGAATCCTTTTTCTTCAGCTAGACGCAACAATAAGCATCGGTAGCTTGAGAACGGAACCCCGAACTAGGCACGCCGTAATCTGTTCTATTAACTATGGCATTTCGTTATATGAAATTTAATAAGTTTTTGATAAAGTAAAAAAACCTTGTCACGCATATTTCAGTATCACACAGTCCTATACGAATGCGATAATAGTATACTTAGATAAAACTTACGGAAATTAATTCATAAGCGTCGAGGGGATAAGAGATCATATTAGCTGCCAATATATAACTAAGATTAAGATCAATGGTGTTACAATTATATTTTTTATAACTTTTTACTTGTTTCATTTATTGTATGGTTATATAAATATTCATATATTGTAGAATACGGGCTAATCTGCTTATGTAATTCCTAAAATTTAAACCATAAGAAAGTAAATAAAAATAATAACGTAAGCTAGATACAATTCAATGCAAATACGGCGATAGGAACCTATAAATATCGATATATTTATATGTTCCGCCGATATCGATTGTAGATATCTGTAAATAAGTATTCATAATATTTCAATAGAGCATAGCATGTGGTTTATAACTTGATTATTTCTAACAAATATTCTAAAAGAATAGAAAAGAAGAATGAAAACAGGTTCATTATTTTTAAACATTTATTACATTTAACAATCGTAATCTCTTACATAAATTTAAATAATACATAGGCAATAGTAAAAGAAAAAAAACGAAATGCAAACCTTATGGTAATTATTTTCAATGTTACGATACATTTTATTCACTCAAAAACTATTTTAATTGTAAAATAAAAGTCACCATTGAAATGATTAATAAGCAATAATCGCCGAAATGCCATTCAATATACAATATCATGTGTAGTATTACAAAATCCACTCCTCATAACTTAGCAAATATAAACAATATAATGCCCATAACTTTCTATTTGAGTTTATATATTTCCTATTTTTTATATAGATTAGATTATACTTTACTTAAAACTGATTGATGTACTTTTATTCATTCAAAAGATCATTTGAATTCAGGAAAGCAATCCTATTTTGGAAATTAATTGAAATTTTGTTTGGTTTTTGTAAATTTTGTATAATATAATTCATTCGAATCAAGCCTTAGTTACTTCGCTGAGGCTCCGCTTCGCGGTTCTTCGATATGTATAAAAATATATACCTTTAATACTTGGTGGTACTAGCCATAAATTTATACAATAATAAAAACCAAAGAAAAAATATGTAATCGTTATTAAATTCAAATAACAACATATCAAGAACTCAGTTTTACTCTAATTAGAATTGTTAGTAGTTCGTCCAGTAGACATATGTTTGTGATTTTTTTAAGTATCCTGTGACACTGTGTTCTCTAAAATAGTAAAAGCAATACAAAATTTAATGAATTTTGTACGCATGGTAATAGCGGTATTAGCTCTGATTTTTACTTATTATTTATTGCAATGCTGATATTTTTCTACTGATTAAAATATGAGTGAGTGAATGAAGTGGGCAGCAACAACTTAATTAGCGTACTATTCTCATTAAAGTTGGCTATGCAATAGTAAGTCACAGATGAAAATGTCATTTAATATTGGACAAAAATGTTATTCCTTCCTTCTGTAATGGTTTTCTTCTAAGCTAACCTGTATTGTTATACTCTAGAAACATTTAATAAACAAACAGGCTTAAATTAATTAATACACACTTTTTGTTTTTGTTTCAGTTACACTGATGATGCGACTATAAATCTAAGACAAAGTAATTTATTTTATAAGTACAAAGTGATTCAAAAATTTATTATTCTGAATATTTAAAAGGCACAGTTTCGAAATATTACAAAGGATATCTAACATCACGCACTAGAAAAATAACAGTGAAACCTACGTTATTCCTTTACAATTTCTCTAGGATTAGAAGTGTAAATTTTTTTTATACTGCTAATTTCTGCACTTAAGATTAAACATTAAAATTTGTACCCACGTCTTCGGAATTCGCGGTCTGACGCTTTAGCCACTAAGCTAAACGGCCGATTACCACACCGACGAAAATCTTAACGTCTTTTATCTACATTGTTTTTTAAGCATTTGAAGCAATGCTTGGCGCAACCATTGTTATATTCTTTCCAGCATACAAACAATTTCGAATATCGTTTTACTACGATAATTCGAACGAGAGATGTCGCCATTGCTTCTTAGAAGTTTTAATTTTTTTTATAGTGCTAATCTCTGCACTTAAGATTAAGCATTAAAATTTGTGGAAAAAGTACGAAGCGCTGAGTCCTGTTATTTTTCTAATCCTTGTCTGACATTTTATACTTCGTATATAATTATAAAATTAAAAGATACTTAACACTGTTATTAAAAATACTAATTAAAGTCAGCTTTTTTATTACCAGCAATACTGAACGATCACAATAAATACAATAATATTAAAAAAAAAACAATTATCACAATAATTATTACAACAATTACGCAAGTTTGGTTATATCTACGTTTAGGAGCTTACATTTTGTTCATGGACACATCGGTAAAAAATAACATCTAGTTTTATAGGTTTATTATTTAAGGGGGATATGCAAAAAACAGGCGACTAACCATACCAATATATGACTAATAGATATTAAAATTATATATACCTAACAGGTATTCAAAATCAGTTTAGTACTACATCCTAATTATCACCTATCTGAATATACGTTTGATTTAAAATATATAAGAAATGCTTTAAGTTAAGTCGCTTCAGTGAAAGAGTATAATTAATCAAAGTTTAATAACATAGCTTCGACTCACTAAAGAAAGTGCAGTGTGGCTCTAATTATAAGTATAATAAGGCTGGTGGCAATTGTTAATAGTGATTGATTTTTAAGTAGCATTAGTTAATCTATCATTAATCATCCAAAAGTACTTGCTATTTAATGAAAGTAACACGACGTGTAACATTTTTATGATAATAAGAAGACACCGAGTTTCCAAAAATTTCTATAATTACGACGAACAAAGTTTTATGCTTTCTTCAAGATACGTCTTTAGAAAAGTTAACATTTTGAACGTTGATAATTCGTAAGAAAAATGTTTATGAGTATATTCGCCAGTTACCATTGAACGAATAAAACGAAAGAAACGTAACTTTTCAACCATGTAATATGTTATACCTACATAAAAAATGTGGACATTACCAAAATCGTAACTTATCGAATCGCATAGAAGAATAAGTAGTTAGCAGAAGCGTTTACAGTGGAATTAATACATTTATAAACTTGATCATAACTTTTTATTTAGGAACACTCCTTTTCATCGCGGTCAAAGGCGTATAGCATTTTCGCCAAAATTTCTTTAGGAATATGGCGTACGTGGATTGACGTTGATCATCTCCGTGGTGCTGTAAAAAAGGAATCAGTTTGTTCACAAAATAAAATACATAAAGAGAAATTAGACTCGACTCATAACTTAGATGTACATACGGGAGGAATCAAGTTGGCAAGAAATTTTTAAGTGGCACATCGAAGTAAGAACTTCTGGAGAACTTCTCGAGAGAATAAGTAGCGTTCTCTAAAGAAGTAAAATGTTTTTACAAAAAAAAATCTTTTAGCAAAAACCTTTTTAATGAATGATACATACAGGTGAACGTGAACGTTTTGCTCTATCTTTTCGTTATGCTTTTGTTTCCTCGCCAAACGGAACACTTCTAAGGAAAACTTATTTGCTGAAATGTGACTCTGGCAAATCAAATTACGACTACAAGACAGGCTAGGCCAAAAAAAGCATACAAAATCCGACTTTTTATATGCACTAATCTAATCCATAAACCTAAGAAATATTATATAACATACAGAGTGATAAGTTATAATTACAAAACTAAATAAGGAAAAAAATAATACGACAAACACTCGACTAAAACTAAACGTAAGTAATTAGGTTAAATAAGTAAAAATATATATTAAAGTCTATATTGAGAACACATCTCTAGGTAAACAAAAAAAAACTCACATATTAACATTGTGGGAGGTTGTCTGTTCATCCATAATATAGGAGTGGGCGATAGGAGGGGGGAATCTAATTATAAAGAAAGGAATTATTTTCGTGCCGTATGATAACGAAAGCGTGAAGTGACGGCGAAAGGAATTATTTTTTTAATATACAAAACGGCTGTTGAGCCGTCGCAGTAATGGTCAAATTAACATAAAACAACAATTATATCATCAACCCAGTATTAATAAACTAGTCTCAATAAGAAACGAGTCGCAGTAGAACGTTTTATTTTAGTACCCAATATGTTACAAAATATAATTTGACGAACCCCTAAGTGTGCGAAGTGTCACAGATTTCTTGGATCATATAAAGATCCCCTGTTGGTGAATAACTTGACCTAGAAGCTACATACATGAACAATCGCTCCTACATCACCCAGGAGTAGAAGGGGACTACTTCTCTGTCTCTTTCTCTCTCTCTCTCTCTCTCTGTCTCTCCACTTTCCACAATCCTTTCACATCTCTCATGTGCATCTATAGATTCATGCGTTGGTTAGGGACACCTTTTGCTTCACTCTCCTTAGCATGACGCGTTCTAGGACGCCATCTACCGACCGTGCATTCGTTAGGTCGCTCTCAAATACATTCAGGGCTTTATGAAGGCATTAATTCCATCTGTGCGAGCGTGACGGCAATATATTTTCTCGGGAGCGACAGAGACAGACTATGACATTGTAAAGTGCGAAATCGTACCTGCTCCGCGACCAGACCTTAGTTTTTTTTTTTATGGATAAGTCTATTTTTATTAACGAAAAACAAAACCGATTTCAAATATCTCGCTCCGTATTCGTTTTATAATTGATTTATATATAGAAGTTCTAAGTAGCTACGGAGCCCAAGATCCAATAGGAATGAAAATAACATAGGACCACGTGGGAAGCACCAGCTTTCAAATAAAAAAAAGAACCATCAAAATCGGTTCACTCACTCGAAAGTTCTGAGGTGACAAACATAAAAAAAATACAGTCGAAATGAGAACCTCCTACTTTTGAAGTCGGTTAAAAAGGAGGCTAACGGGCAGGCGGGCGCCCGGATGGTTAGTATTCAAACTATACCTCACCTTCTAGAGCATCTGACGTGTATCACGAGGAGAACAATGCCCAGCAACAGGCACAGGGTCCCAACCACGACGTAAGCGACACCAAGAAACGGATTCTTCCCGCCGAGCAGTGATGTCGTGGATATTATGAAGGTTTTGGTGCCGTCGAAGTCGGTAACTGGATAGTCTGCGGGGAGATTCGCAATGATGCAGTAAATACGATAAGGGTGTCTGTTTAATTGGGATTTTTATTTGATTCGGTATTTAGCAACCTTTTTATACATTTCGATATGGTGTATTCTTTAGTCAAAACATAACATTATAATGCAAACTCAGTAATACAAATTATAACGTTAAACACCTATATTGTTTAATACATTATTTATATTTATATAAAATCTAATGACTTCATTTTTAACATTATTTTATAATGTTTGCCATCTCAACACGTCATACCTATAGTTGCTGATATTAGCATGTCGATGAAACGACCGTAAAGTTTTCGCTAATCCAAAAATCGCCCAACGTGCTTAAAGAAGTTTACGTTTGGAAAAAGTTCGAAACTTTGGCAACGTAGAAGTTTTAGGAAAATAAATAAGTATAACAAAAAATACATTCAGTTGTCATTGAGTGCGGTCTAGGCTATAGAAAGAGAAGAGTGTAACGTTAGAAAGAGACGAACTGACTTACTATAATCAACGCGTAATAGATAGGGACCCTTCACGAGCCCAGTGCTGAAACCGTACTGCGAATGGTCGACGCGACGGTACAGCTTTCTAAAGGTCGGCAAAGCTGCCGTTCGCATCCACACTATGAGATCCTCATTCTGTAAAAGATATACGAAATACATTATACTGTGAGCCGCTAAAAAATTAAGTACGCCTGATTTGTAATAATACTTTTGAATTTAAGTTGAAATTATGGTTGAAATATTTTTATTAACGAACCTTCTTGCTGTACTGGCAGGATATTTTCGATATCAAAAGTTCATTATATCTAAGCCTCATTCCCTTTTCAAATTTCAAAATCCATCTAACAAATGCATGTTTAATATGATAGTCTCGTCGCTGGGCACCCATAAACGGACGGTGGTCCATATTAGTGACTATCTATTTATCAAAACATTTTTCTTTTTTTTTATTTAAAAACATTGCCCTTACTTTAGTATAATATTATCCAGTGTTGTGAGGACATTTTACACATATAAACTCCACGTGGAAAAACACCCAGATGCGAAACAATTATCAGTGGGTCACACAAATTTTATGCTGGAAAGGACATAAAAGATGCCAAAAAACAATGTAGATAAAAGACGTTAAGATTTTCGTCGGTGTGGCAATCAGCCGTTTAGCTTAGTGGGTAAAGAAAGTGTCATGCCGCGAAGACGTGAGTTCGATTCCCACAGCGGTGACAATCTTTTCGTACTTTTTCTTCAAATTTTAAAGTTCATTGTACTTCGATTCGAAAACTATTTATTTTATAATTTTTTTCATATGGAATAAAATTTACCTGGTTGTTACTCTAACGCAAATAAAAATTGTTGTAATTTATCAGTTCAAAACTATACGTAAACAATACTCTATTTTTGTCGTCATGTTTGTAAAACTTTATGCTGTTTTTTCTTAAAGATGAAACACCTGTCGATATTTTACGAGCCGTCTCTAGTTCCAAGCTTTGAGAAATATTGAGAGGAAAAAAATACACAGACTGCTCTCTTTTGTCGTTTCACTCCTAGTCCTGACATAGATAAAAACGCATTCTTAAGAGCTTCTTTGTTCTTTATTACCTGCGTCTGAAGATGAGAGAACATATCCTACCGGTTTCTCTATATTTTGTTGAGTATTTTAGAAGAGCAAACTATCAAATGAACCAAGAATGACAACCCAGTGACTAGGATGCCTTCTTGCTATCCTAAAGTCGCTGGTCCAAATTCCATTGGTGTGTAACAATGAGTTTTGCGTGACATAGATATAAAGTATATTTTTCTTTTTTTTCTTTTACGTATATATAAAAATTCATTTGATATTAACATACCTGAAATCCATTGTTCTCCGTGTTGTTAAGATCCAACTGCCACACCGGGACTCGCCAGTTTACGGGTTTCGTGAAATTTGCAAATGCTACAACAGATTTTTAATATAACTCATGAGACAATGAACGAGTCCGTATATCCGAGAGATAAAAGTGAATTTACGTTAACATGATACTGCCAGTGCAATTTTACGTTGAGGTGTAAGGCTCATGTTAAAAAGAGACGACTGTATCATTTGAAAGAGACACACAGACTTATTATAATCAACGCGAATGGATTTTCAGCTTAGAAGATCTAAGAAAGTGAAATGTCGTGCTGTAAGACTACAGTCTTTCGTCTTAGGAAGAGACGACTTTATGAATAGCTATACTAAAAGTATATTCTTAACTAACCAGCCTTAAGATCTCCAGGTGGATTACGGAACTTGATGTCTTTGTCGGAAGTCCAAGCTATCCCAGTTCGTAGTACTGGTACGTTGATATTTAGATCTTGCGAATGCACTGTGAGGGTGTCTGCAAAATAAAATATCGAAAATTTTAAATATTCTAAAGAATTAGTTGATGGTTCTTAGACATTAAAGTTATAGAAGCCTATTAGTTTTAAAATTAAATATATAAATATTTCAGGACACATTTTTGCACAAACTCAATTATAATTTGAAACCTAATACTAAATAACCTGATAATTTCAATGTATAAGAGTCCTTGATAATATTTTATATTTAATAAGTGAATGGTTGAAGAAAATTTTATGTCCCTCACCATTAAACAATGAGTTGGCAATTGCACCACATGGAGCAACGGGTTTCAGCTTTCCATCTTCCTCAGCATAGGCAAATGGCTCACAATCTGAGGATGGTGTAAGTGATAATCTTCCAAGTAGTTGACTGTCATCCCTGTTAAAGGCAGTAATTGAAATATCCAATAAATACATTGACAAATATATTAAGCAAAAGACATACAAAGTGATCTTATCAAATTTATTAGACAAAAAAAAAATTGGTCTCAATTTAAATGGTTCTAAATGTGTCACAATCAACAATGTCAACTTTTAAAGATTTCTAATTCCGATAAGTTGTATTTTTATTCAAAATTTTAACTCTATTGCACCAGGCATTAATGTAATACAGATTCACAGCACACCTCTTAGGTGTTCATTTTAAAAAAAGTTTGGAATAGCTTTTAAAATTAATATTAGAAAAATTTCAACATCATGTTTAACAAATTGTCCTTACTAAACTCGCATATTGCTCTAACTATTTTTCAAAATTGTATACTTTAATCTAAATTTTCTTATAATTTTTGCTCGAGTCCAGTTTGGAAATTGATTTTCATCGTAAAACAGGTCTATTAATTGATTATTATTAGTCAATTAACACAAAAAATCTGGAATTCATCCCTTATTTCATTAATACTATAATAAAATTGCACCTTTAGAATTATAGTGACCTATTTAAAAAACATTAATTTTTGGGAAACATGAAATAAAAGATTTGTTCATTTATGAACAAATGCAGTGTTTAGAGGGGCATGAGAGACTGAGGTATGAGTTATAGCTTTCTAAAATTGGCCCCTATTTTAATAAGTTTTGAAAAAGGTTTTAGATTGTTTCCTGACATAAAGGCAAAATCATGATTCTCTAATTAGTTCCCTTTAATTCTAAAGACGTAATGTTAAAAAAACTGAAATACTAGGTAATGTAGATGCATTATAATCTTTAAGTAAGGCTTAAACTTATTGCTTACCTAGACTTAACATATCTTCTATGATTCTGGTAATAATTGCTCAGTCCATAATAAAAGTAAACATCTCCTTTAAAGTCTTCAGTTAAATTGAAAACGATTTGACAAGTACATGGCTCCATGTCATTCTGTTTTATGTACTGAGCACAGGTTATATTTTCATCTTCCTTCATACAATATGTGTAATCTATAACATGTTCTTTAACCTAAAAGGCATGTATGCCATGAAATTTTTGCAGATTGAGAGAGATTTAAAGATATTGCACATCACATAATACATAAATAGTATTTAAATCAACAAAGATCATTAGGTTCATGATTCTGGATATTTATGAATAAATTATCACTACATAGAATACAAAGTCGTCCCGCTGTCTGTCCTCCCTATATGCTTAGATCTTTAAAACTATGCAACGGATCTTGATGTGTTTTGAATAAATGTAAAACCACAAAAGTACTTGTACTTTTAGGTAGGTACTTTTATTGGGTCCCTACTACACATTGCCTCTTTTAAATAGTATAATATTATAGTTACTATAATATTCCAATCTTTTCTTATTTGAGTTTCAATCAATTATTTTCTACCTTTTGAGTATTAAAATTATTTTAATAATAGGGTTTTTTCCTAGGTTGAAAAAACAATTATAAATTTAAAATACTATTAAATAAAAATTACACCTAGTAATTTAAAACATAATTAATATTTCTATACTGCTAAAATTAGATTTTTTGGTCCATGAAAAATACAAAACAAGCTTGGTAATATTTTAATTGACTATCTCCCCTTTCTCTTACTATTTACCTTTTACCATTTTACACAATTATTTCTATTAATTGCTTTAAGTAATTTTACTAGTCGTTAAAATGATAACAGTTTATGTTGCGATTGAGATTGTGTTTAGGTAATTATACAAGGGGTTAAATTAATGCATTATTTAATTACTGTAATTATATCAATTCATTTTGTCTTTATTTTAAAATAGATAACAAATATCAAAATGACTATTATGAAAGCCCACAACTAATCAATTGCTAATCATAGGCCTCTTGCACAGTTTACAATGAAGTAAGTTCATAATATTATGTAGAATAAAGAAAATCCCCTGGAGATTTATATGGAATATGATAAACAATGGGCACACGTCACTGGACCGACTGCCTTGCACGACAATCGATAAATACTTAACCTAATGCTTAATGTTCATAGAAATAGATTGCATTAATATAAACAAAATAAAAATATGTAGAGTAGATAATTTAATGACATCCTGTTGACTTCGACTTGCGTACATACATATATCATACATAATACAAAAGACATAAACAAACGGTTATTTTTAAAACCTACCTCATCCGAAAAGTAGAGTAAGCCAATTCCTACAGGAATAAATGCTATTCCAATTACAAAAAACGTTGGTAAAACTGTTCCCGCTGTCAGTATTGGTTGCCATGCAGGCAATCTTTGTTGTTTGAATGCAGATTCTACAATTGGGTTAAAACAAGGAATTGAAATAATCAATAAAGTGGGATAGCTCAACTATGTCACAAATTAATTTACCAGCAGGACGTCTTGATTTCACATTTTGATCCGACGTATCGCTTGATGTAGCCATCACAACAGCTGCTGATGGTAACGAATTGTAGGATACCACAGAATTTACACGGGGTCTATTAACTCTGTTATGATCACGACCTTCGTTGTTTTAACATCCATTAAAGTCGATATGACAAGACAATTGACATTTACAAAAAAAAAGGCTGTGTGTCAGGTAGGGTTGGACTTAGGAATGATGAAACATATAGTACAAAAAGTTGAAAAGGATAGTCTATGTAAAAACATTATAGTAAATTTTATAATTTTGATTTTAACAGGCATTAATTTACTCCTCTTCCAATTTTATCCATTCCCAAATATTAGTTTCCTCTTTAGAATTAATTTAATTAATTGGTTTAATTTTTATAGAATTAATTTAATTTTTTTTAAATATATTAATTTTTTTTAATAAATTTAATTTTTCTTAATTAATTCAGTACAAATTCCACTTTTTTTACAATGTTTGCTAACGTAGCTATACAATAAAATGGTGTCTATGAAATATGTTAATTTCTTATCATTATTTTCGAAATAATAAATTGATTAATACGATTAATTTGGACATCAATGTACTCTCTTAACACCTCAAAGTGCAATATACAAAGTCACTCTTCAACAAGCTAAATATAAAAAAAATAACCTTAATGTTGGTTGGTATATATATTATATATATATATATAAAGATGTATACTTGTAAATGTAAATTCCACATTCTTGTTACAAAAGAAATGTATAAGGGCAATATACAATGTAAATGGTAAGGACTCTGTAAGGCCTATATTTATCAGTAATAAGATCTTAACCCTGACATGTATTTACATACTAGAAATCTGTTTATTTATAAAAAATCATTCTGAATACTATATTAAGAAAAGAGATACAAAACTAAATCTTCGATCGCAATATAAATATGACATATGTACTGTGCCTTGCTCGAGTTATATATATCAAAAAAGCTCCTACATTACTGGTATTAAGATTTATAATTATTTACCGGAATCAATAAGATCACTTCATGGTGTACAGTTTAAAACAAAACTAAAAGAATGGCTGATATGTAATTGTTTTTATAATTTAAATGAATATTATTGTAGAACCGAATGATACTTTAATTATATTATTAACATTTATCTTATTGTACGCCCAAAATGGGCAAACTGTTGACACAAAAAATAATGTAATATGTAACACCTATTGTACACAGTTAAGACAATAAATGATTATCTTATCTTATCTTATCTTATCTATAAATAAATAACAATTAGCTTCAATTTACTACTTCTTTTGTCTTTAACAGGTGTTCACGCACCAGTATTTTGAAAGATGTCTTATTTTTTGCGTTTCTTACGTTGTCGGGCAAGGAGTTCCAAAGATGTATAGCTTGGATAGTAAAGGAGTTACCAGAGAACCCGGTAAAGTGCGCTGGAATGCATAATTTATTCGTGTAAGACGACCGAAGTACCCTATCATGAGATGAGGAGAGATACAAGAATTTGTTTTTGAGGTAAGAAAGGGAGAAACACTCATTTAAAATGGAGAAAAGCGCAAAATTCTGGACTTCCGCCTTTGCCGAATAGTAAGCCAATTAAGTTGAGATCGATAGGAGGATATGTCATACTTGCGTAAGCCGAAAATGAACCTGATACAGTTATTAAGGAAGCGATCCAACTTGTTTAGTAGATGTTGGGATACGTCCGGGTAACACACATCTGCATAATCGATAATGGGTAAAATGAGCATTTGGACAAGCAAAAGTTTAGTTTTGAAAGGGAGGAAATGTTATAAACGATAGAAAGTTCGTAAGGTGGCAGTAATTTTGCGGCTTATTTCGGTAACGTATACACTCCAAATGAACTTTCAATGTATTAAATACTTTTTTCTATTGTTAGTGTCGTTTTTTCTACAAACGTAGAATAAGGCGAAAGATAAAACTTTTGAAAAGATTTTTATCTTGTTACACCAAAGAAGTATAACTTCTAACGCGTGTATACACACACACTTTTTTTTATTTACATAACTTTTTTTTATATACATAAGTACACACACACTTTTTTATTTATATTTATTTTTCATCTCAATCGTCTTCAACGAACACGTCCTCCACGTCATCGACCAACTCGGACGCATCGCAGATCAGGGGGAATGATAGCATCAGTAGTTTCGTCAGACATGATTTCCACGCGTCTCACGACACACAAGAATTCTTGTGGTCTCCTAGAGATTGTTGGGAGGTTTTTATAACCCTAAACACTGCGCGCCATATTTGAAAATAGCTCGAAAAAGCGAGAGATTTCCTTAAGAGGATATTGACTACGAAATGTTATGGTAGGAGTGACGACAACTTTAGACGCATCCCCTCCTTCCTGTGACGAAGCATGATATTTTGAATACCGTTCCCTTCTCTAAACAGGTCACGTCGGATGGTTACGTTCCCTAATACACGACATTTGTAGGAAACTCTATTTAAAAAATACAATCAAAGTAAAAAAAATAATACAGACACATCCCTTTTTTATTTTAGATGTCTAAAATGTGCTCAATACTTACTACAGATTTATAACGCTTTACTTATTAATCTCTGGTGCCAGATTTGTTTGAATGCCTTTATTTCTTGAAACTGTAATCGTATCCCAGCGGGTGGGAGAATTATATATTACCGTATACTATATTATTATATACCGTTGCTATAATAATTTCACCGCGAGAATATTTACGGCCAACAATGCGTCAACTGTTGGAGAGACGACGGAGACCTAAACGGGTTAAAATCTGCCGATGTCTCACCGTGCCTATCGCGACAAGAATTACATAATAACAAAACACACACAATTTTTTATAAAAATAAATAAATTACATTACTACTTTTTATTATTTTATTCAAATAGTAATGTTATAAAAGACTCATAGCTAATAATAATATTGTACGTACTGATTATTTGTACATAGTTTTAAAAATCGACTTTAACAGTGCAGTAAATCGATATTGTACACTAGTTAATAACACTGTTTGAAATTAGTTCCATAGAGATGGGCAAGTAAAAAAAATAATTGATATATATCATAATTGGTATCGACATATCGAAAAAAGTATCGATATTTATCGAGCGAAAAATATCGATGTATCGTCATTTTTCGCATGATGCATACATATTTAAACCATTGAAAATACGTAAAATGGAATAGACGAGAAGAAGTTATGCCTTATGAGCATGCAATAAGTATCTAGTTACATAAAACACGAAACCAGAATTAAGTTAAAAAATAGGAAATTGGAAATTGACACGAATTCGATAGTCTGAAATAAGTATCGAATATCGATATATCGCGATAAAAATCGAAGTTATATATCGATAATTATATGGTAAAAATATCGACAGTTTTTGTTCATGCCTAGTTCTATTAACTGTTTTTGACTTTTTGTAATTTTGTTGTACTTGTCTGCTTTGCTGTCAAGTCGAGTCAATAGAGTAAGCTCAAAGAGAATAAGTAATTGTGTCGAACAGTATCGCAGTATTGAATAATAATAGTTCAAATCTTTGAAGGAAAACAAACCAAATCTAACATTAAATTGTAGTCGTTCATAATTGTTAGTGTAATAAGATATTTTAAAGGAATTCGGCGTAATGGCTAGTGAAACTGCAAAGAATGTAAGTGCAATTGTTTTTTTTTTATTTGTAGATTTACTGTAGTGAAAATTTTACGTACCTACCTACATTAGAATATCGTAAGGTAATATTTTGGAACGGAAATATGAATTTTACATCGTAATTTCTATTCTGCATACTAAATTGTTTCCAGTTAAATGTTGGCTTTTATAATGATTTGTTGTTCCAACCGATGGTGAACTGGATCTCGTTACAGTTAGCGCCGGATGTGTGTCAATGTTTACGCATGCCGACTGAATATTTATTATACGTATGTAGGTAACAATTAGTCGGGATAGCGTATACTTTAGCCATACCTTACCACCTTTCTAAATGTACTGGCATCTTATGTATGTGAAGATTATTGGTTGCACTTATCTCTGGTCTATAATTAGCTGTAATATCTTTGAACTTATATGAGTCACCTAAAGTTATCTTGTATTAGATGTCTCTTTAATTAAAAGTTTGTTACGAATGAATAATTAATATGTTTTCATTACAATCATAACATAATTAGGTAATTATAAATAATTTATTTTTATCTTATGTATTCTTTTCTGTAATAAAATGAAACTAAAAAAAGTTTATATTGTTATCTTATGGTACCTTACCTTGGTATCTTACCAATGCCAATATAGTATGGTGGTTATAAAATTATTTTGAATAAGGATAATGATACATAACAATTTGAAAATATGTTTGTTGTACAATGACTACATAGTTTGTGTAATATTTAAGTTCTTTTTTTCAACAGTTTTCAAATTTGGAAACTCCTGGTTATGTTGGATTTGCCAACTTGCCTAACCAAGTGCACCGCAAGTCAGTTAAGAAGGGTTTTGAGTTCACCCTTATGGTGGTAGGTGAAAGTGGACTAGGCAAATCAACCCTAGTCAATTCCTTGTTCCTTACGGACCTATATCCTGAGCGTGTTATTCCTGATGCAACTGGTAAGTAATTGAAGCAAAAATTTCCCTTTTGTCTATTTATATCTGGACAGTCTAATAAAGCATTATTAGACTGTCCAGATATAAATAGACAAAAACAAAATAATAGTCATCTGATTTGTACTGTATTGTATTTATAATTTTCCTGAACTTTCAATTAAATTTTCCCAAATGTTTTTTTCACTTCTAAAATACTGTTTCTCCTGAAGTATTGAAGCCAGGTTTTTCTACTAACATGCACAGTTAAATATTTTTTGTGTTCAATTCCTATGCAATGGCAAAACTTTACATGTCCTTTAAAAAACTTATATTTGGAATATAATAGAGCTGCTGTTACTATATGATGGAGCAAAATCATATAGTTTATGGATCTTAAGAAACGAATTCATCATAATTATGTATTACATGACCATTATAAAAATTGATATATAAAATTCTAATATTTAATATATAAAATACTATCTAATATACAGCATGTCGTTACAATCGCGACAATGAATGAACACACATATAGGGGATAACTTTTTAAAGTTGTATTACATTTACATTCTTTAAACAACAATATTTACAGAGTTATTGAATTTTCAAAAACACCCTTACCTATAAAAGCTTAACGTAAAGTTCATTTGTAAAGGTCACAAAGCATATGAATGGGTTGAATGAATTTAAAAGAGACAAAACATACTGTTAGAAGGAGAGGCTTGTAATGCGACGCTGTGGCGCGAGTTGTATAGGATGTTACAAATTTTATTTCTTTTTTACTTAATTAGTTTGTTTGAAAAATATTTTTTTTAATTATGGATTTTGTTTAACGTTAATATTTTTTATGATTATTGGCAAGTAGCGTTAGACGTGTGTTTATTTATTGTCGCGATGGTAATGACACGCTGTATAAAATTCTTGTGTCACAGTGTTTGTAATTGAACTCCTCCGGCTTGACCAATTTTCGTGAAATTTTGTGTGCATATCGGCCAGGGTGGAGAATCAGACAACGCCTATTTTTCATCCCCCTAAATGTTAAGGGTGGTCCAGCAATAAATTTTATATTTTATTTTTGATATAAAATTTTTTGTTTTTATTTTTTTATAATACAGCATACAAAAAAACATACAACCCTAAATTTTCACCCTTCTACGCAGACATAGTCGTGGGCAGCAGCTAGTAATTATATGATAATGGATATATTTATTTTTTATTTTAGCTAATGCAATGAGCCTATGAAAAGACAACGTGGAAATATTAAAATTTGTGCATTTCAACTAGTAAATTAGGTAATTGCAACACTCTCATAAAGGTTGGTTATACAGAAGCAATGAATATATTACCAGTTATGAATGTTCATGTGCGAGTGATTGCTTCACATCAGACAAACCCCTAACTTTTTTGCCACCTGCTCTCATAAATTATCACTACATACATCAATGCTGAGCTTTGTATGTATTAAACATTTTTTTTTTAGAAAAGACAAATCAAACTGTCAAGTTGGATGCGTCGACGGTCGAGATTGAAGAGAGGGGAGTGAAGCTGCGTTTGACTGTTGTAGACACGCCCGGCTATGGTGATGCCATCGATAACACGGATTGCTTCCGCGTAAGTTTATGGAACATTTTCCGTTTAGATTTTTTGAAGATTAAACATTTAAGAAGCAAATAACATTTTAGCTACTGGTCAAGATTGATCAATTGTTTGGTGATAAGGGCTTGCGCTTTTATTAAATTTATTCTGATTGGTTGAAGACACAATTTAAGACAATTTAAAATAAGTAACCTATGTATGTTCCACTGCTTGGCAGGGGCCTCCTTTGTACAAAGGGCATTAGAGCGTGGTCCAACACGCGACCCCACTACCGATTAGCAGAATTCATGTCTTCGATATGTGTTTTTGTTTAATTATTATTTCGAAAATATGCAGGTTTAGATTTTTCACCTCGAAATTTTTTCGTCCACCGCCGTGATGAATCAGTGGGAAAATTCCATTTAAAATGTTATTGGCGTCGGCTACGGGATATGAAGTCAGGTTGCTAGAGTATACCAAATTGAGAGCGGCCGGGTACCGAGCTATCACAGCTCAGTTAATTATCTCATTTATGAATTTAAATTGTTTAATTGTTATCTTTGCACTTAAGATTGAACATTAAAATATGTAGAAAAAGTGCGAAAAGATTGTCGCCGCTGTGGGAATCGAACCCACGTCTTCGGCATTCGCGGCCTGACGCTCTAGCCACTGAGCTAAACGACTACGTATTATTATTTTTTTTCTACATATTTTAATGTTCAATCTTAAGTGCAAAGATTAGCACTATAAACAATTTAAATTTCTAAAGAAGCAATGGCGACATCTCTCATTCGAATTATCGTTGTAAAACGATGTTCGAAATTGTTTGTATGCTGGAAAGGATATAACAATAGATGGCGCCAAGCATTGCTTCAAATGCTAAGAAAATAATGTAGAGGAATGCGTTAAGGTTTTCGTCGGTGTGGTAATCAGCCGTTTAGCTCAGTGGCTAGAGCGTCAGGCCGCGAATGCCGAAGACGTGGGTTCGATTCCCACAGCGGCGACGATCTTTTCGCACTTTTTCTACATATTTTAATATCTCATTTATGATAAGGCATCATATAAATAGCAGTTTCTATTTAAATTTGAATTTTTCATTTCATTTATTAAAATTAATGTAACGTAGTGAAATAGTAAGCATACAGTTGCAAAAATGTGCATAAAAAAAAGTATTTTTTTTTAATTTGACGTTATTCAAATAGGTCAGACTACTTGTTTATGGCTGTAACGATAGGTCGTATAAGGCCTTCGTGTTTGAACGCCAACGAAGTACGACCTTTCGACACGATTAATCTACTGAAGTCGTAAAAAATCAATACAATTATTTAAATTCGTCCGGCCTACAAATTAACTCGCTCGCTGCGTACTGTGTGTAATCTAGTCTACGATAGGTAGTAATCATATTTTGCGTTAAATCATAATAGATCTCTCTACCTTTCTTTTGATATTGAAGGTGGGGGATCAAAAGAAACCTCTTACCCACTATAACCTCCTCGGTGACCAGCCTTATTACATAACGATGTACTCCGGGATTACTCCCTTAAATGAAGAATAACTCGTCTCAAATTATCTCGCTGCTTTGGGGCAAGATATACCTATCTACGAAATCAGCCTATTTACGAAAGGTTATTTATGTTATAAAACGATGTTCAATATGTTTTTTATCCATTGTTACAGTCGATAATCCAATACATAGACGAGCAGTTTGAACGGTTCCTTCGCGACGAGAGCGGTCTCAACCGTCGAAACATCGTCGACAACCGCATACATTGCTGCTTCTATTTCATATCGCCGTTCGGACATGGGTAAGAGCAACGTAGTGGACATCGTTTAAACGAAAATGTTGTCCACGGATTTTTATATTTTTTTTATTTTATTCTTAAAAACGGGCAAAAGATAGTTTTTTGAGTACACATTATTACACAAGTGCATGTAATAAATCACTACATAGTATAAAACAAGTCGTCCCGCTGTCTGCCTGTAATTGTTCAGAATGATCTTAATGTGCAATTCAATGAGTTTAACCATCCCTTTGGCAACTCAAATAACGTTTGAAAATCCATTTGACAGCTGATTAGTAGATTTCTACGATGATCAGTGTTTCAGAAACCAAGAAGTTTCTCTTTAAGACCAATCCCGAAAGTTTAGTCTTCAAATTACACAAAAAAGCCCAGAAAACGCACACAAAAACCGTCAAAATTAATACATTTTTCTTATATAATACTAGTGCGATGTTGATTAGATAAAATGTGTCCAGGTTGAAACCGCTGGACATCGAGTTCATGAAGCAACTCCACAACAAAGTGAACATCGTGCCGGTGATCGCGAAGGCCGACTGCCTCACTAAGAAAGAGGTGCAGCGGCTCAAATCCAGAGTGAGTAAAAAAAGTATATGTAGTGACCGGTACACTTCTTCTTGTCACTTCTTGTCCGGTCACTTCGTCTTGAAAAATTCATTCGATTGCGCAGTAGTAGAAGATGGCCATTTGATCATAATCTGTCCAATCGTTTTGGAGTCTATACATATCGACTTTTATATGAATAGATTACGATCGAAAATCGACCCGTAGGCCGCTAATACATAAATGTATCTATCTAACGTTAAATAAAATAAAGTTTCCGTCTTCCGTTTAACGTCTCAAATTTTGATGTTTTCAAAAGGTTCTTATGATTGTGCTTATTTTAAAGCGTTCTAAGATCATCTTCAAACGCATATAACACACAATGTATAACTACGTTTGGTAATAGCAACGAAAAAACATCTTGCCACTGCTGTAAAACTCTACTGCAAATTCAGTTTTCCAATGTGGCGTATATATTCTTTTAAGGTCATGGAAGAAATAGAAAGAGAGGGAATCAAGATTTACCCCCTCCCGGACTGCGACAGCGACGAGGATGAAGATTATAAGGAGCAGGTAAAAAAACAGTACAGACAACAGTACAACAAATAATAACCGAGTAGAATGATTAAAAATTAACATTAAAATAAAAAATACAAACGTAATGTTAGTCATTAAACGGTTTTGTGAACTTTCATTTATCTATACATATTAATGTTGTGTGTGCAAAGGGTTGAGTAAGACCACTGTTACCTAGAAGATCTATTGTAGTTTTTAATATTACTAAACGATATTTTGGCCGACTGTACTTGCGTCGCACTTGTCGTCTTATGAGACCGCGAGACAAAAGGCAACATAACAGCAACCTCGCCCGAACGAGATCGGCGTGAATATTATTGCTTCATCACACGTCTCGGTAGTTGGCAACATACACAAGCAATGTCTCTGGTGTTGCTAAGTTTTAGTTTGGTGTTGCTAAGCTTTAGTTTCGCCAGGCCGCCGGTCGATTGCTCTGTATACGGGTGTGTTTGTCTGTCCGCCGCAGGTGCGCCAGCTGAAGGCGGCGGTGCCGTTCGCCGTGTGCGGCGCCGGGCAGCAGCTGGAGGTGCGCGGCAGGCGGGTGCGCGGCCGCCTCTACCCCTGGGGCGTGGTCGAGGTCGAGAACCCCGAGCACTGCGACTTCATCAAGCTGCGCACTATGCTCATGTCGGTACCCGGTACCCGCTCATCCGTGACGTAAAACGTACCAAGAGCAAGGCCTTAATACGCCCCTGAAGTTTTTAAGGGAGAAAGGGCAACACCCTCTTTCGCGCTGTACGGGGCGTTATCGAGGTCGCGAACCCCGAGCACTGAGACTTCATCAAGCTGCGCACTATGCTCATGTCGGTACCCGGTACCCGCTCATCCGTGAGGTAAAACGTACCAAGAGCAAAGCCTTAATACTCCCCTGAAGTTTTTTTGGGAGAAAGGGCAATACCCTCTTTCGCGCTGTTCGGGGCGTTGTCGAGGTCGCGAACCCCGAACACTGCGGCTTTATCAAGCTGCGCACTATGCTCATGTCGGTACCCGGTACCCGCTCATCCGTGACGTAAAACGTACCAAGGCTTTTATACTCAACACCCTTTTATACTCGCCTAAAGTTTTGATAGTGGAGAGAAAGGGCAATACCCGCCTGTGTTGCCCTCTCGCTCTGTTCGGGGCGTGGCTCGACCACGAGAACCCTGAGCGACTTAATCAAGCTACGCACGATGCTCATGTCGGTACCCGCTCATCAGTGACGTCGCACGTATTAAGAGCAAGATCTAGTTGTGAGGGGGGAACGAGAGGGAAATAACTCCCGTATATCCCTCTTGCTCTATAGTAAGACATTAAGAAGGAAAGTAGTATTTTTTAATATTTAGTTTCTATACCGCAATTTTATTCATTTTCTGCAGCACCCATATGCAAGACTTACAAGAGGTGACTCAAGAGGTGCACTATGAGAACTATCGTTCAGAGAGACTGGCGCGCAACGGGCAAGTTCCTAAACGACACACGTGAGTTAATCACTCCATAAAATGATCTTCTTACTTTCTATTCTTTCCTGAATATATTTATAAAAGTCTAGAATAACAATTAACTAAAGCTGAAATACATTTACGGTGGTAGGGCCACGCAGAAGCCTCGGCTGTTGCACGAATGGGCAGGCCCGTCCGGGTAAGTACCACGATCTCAAGAGAAGAAGTACCAAGACCAGCGTAAAGTGGAAGTATGACAAATACTTTCGCGTTTCGTCTGGTGTGTGAGGTAGCCGGAGCCCAATTTTCAAAAGGTTGTCAACGCATCTGTAACCCTCGGGTGTGGCAAATGTCCATGGGCGGCGGTATTCACTTAACATCAGGTAAACCGTCTGCTCGTTTGACAATTTTTCGCATAAAAAAATGTAATTTGAAGTGCAGAATAGCCCTATGAAAGAGTTTATGCAGTTTAAAAATTTACAAGCCAGTGGTAGATTTGGATGTTTAAAAGTGAACATTAAGAACAAGTTTACTATACCAAGACTTAACACTAGATTTTTTTCAAACTAATAAATTGTTATGCACAGGTCGACTGAAAGTGGATTAAGTGAAGCAGATTCCAATGGCCTAAATGGGTCCAATGAAGACTCTTCGGAACGCGAACGAGCATTGCGTGAAAAGGTAATATTTAAGTATTTAAAATGCCTTCAATAAATTTCCCTGCATAATTCAAAAAACACTTGTTTCTAAATGCGAACATTACCTTAAAAGAAAAGAAATCAGTGCCATTTGTCTCCATAATGTCCTTACTGGAGTTTCCACCCCAAATACGCGGCTATACCTTGTATTATAAAGTTTTGTTAATATTCTCCTGTGTGGTAGCAAATGCGCGTATTGAACTTTGTTAGAAGTAATAGCTACACTTTATTAATTAAATATTTTTTAGCAATAATAATTAGAACCTATGTTGGGAATTCTATTCAATTTACCTATAGTGCAAGTTAGCCTGGCTCACCAGGAGGGATAAATGGAATAGGTTAACTCACAGTTAATTGCCACAGGGATCAGCTTCAATGATGTCCTAGAATGTGGAAGGCTTTGGTCTTCCTTGACCACAATTCTAGGATATGTTTTTAGTCTTTGCACTGAGCTGGGTCAAACCTATGCACTCACTGACATGTAATTAACTTTATTTTAAACTAGCTGTGGAATTTAAAATTAAAAAAAAAATCTAAAATAAAAGTAGCCTAAGTTACCTTTTATTACATCAGCTATCTCTCTGTGAAAGTCCTGTCCAAATTGGTCGAGCCGTTTCAGAGATAAGCCGGAACAAACAGACAGACAGACAGATAAAAATTGTAAAAAAAAATATTTTCGTATATCTACCGTGTATACATCCATATGCATTTAGTAAAAAGCGGTTATTTTAATATTACAAACAGACACTCTAATTTTATTTATCTGTATGTATAGATTTAGAATCTGCGCACCAATAGCGACGTTATCGATGTATTATTATAGTCCTGATTGGTTTTTCTTATACAAGGTTATTATAGGCCAGTAGATAACGTGGTGTATTTTGGGTTAGGTTCGTAATGTAAGTACGCGTTAGGATAATACGGAAGGCAAGCCAGTTCAATGTACGTAATTCTGCTAAGAGACGGGTCTATCAAGTTAGGTACATTAAAGTCAAAATGAAAATTTTTATTAAATATTGTTCTATATAAATTGATTGATAATTCAAAGTTGGAAGATTCAAAAACTATAACCTTGCATTAATTTGCTTTAGGAGGCCGAGCTACGTCGCATGCAGGAGATGCTGGAACAAATGCAGCGTCAGATGCAGCTGCAAGCGGCGGCTAACACAACCACAGCATAGTGCACAAGTATCCCACAGGTAATTACACTGCTATTAAATGAGAGCTATAAAGTCATTACATGTATGTGGTAATGATGATTTTGTCTTTGACAATATCTGGTTTTCGCATATTTTTCAATCTCAAATGTACTAGTGATTATGTTGAAATTTAGAATTACTATAACTGTGCAAATATAAGAGAGATGGTTTATCACTACATACTATAAAACAAAGTCATCTCGCTGTCTGTCTGTCTCTATGTATGCTTAGATCTTTAAAGCTACAAAACGGATCTTGATGCGGTTTTTTTACGAGATAGAGTGATTCAAGAGGTAGGTTAGTATGTATAATACATTGCATGTGTGCGAAGCTGGTGCGGGTAGCTAGTAAAATAATAAATTTTAACCTTGCTATCCTCGTTTGAGTGCCTAACTTAAAAATATTTTATGTTAATTTTTATACACTTGTTCTAGTTGGACAATAGTACGGCTGTCCAACTGCCGGATGCTTGCGACGTCGTCAATTCAATATTGCGCGCCATTCCGTACTGTATCACCTCTAATTAATCTTCCAATTAAATTCCTAAACAACATTCGCGCCATGTAATTCATATATTAATGCATGAATAATAATGTATAATGTCAATAGAGGTACTGTGTTTTAAGTATTTTTCTTTTGTACCAAATAAATTTATTGATTTATTTACTCAATAAATATAAGGTTTTTATAATAATCCGCAATGAAATAGATATTTGCTTATTTGTTTGTATCCTACCTAGAAAAAAGTATTTTATTCCATTTATACTTTTTAAACCTTTCAACTGTATGTTGGATATATGTGTCATTTAAGGGTAAAATATTTCTATGATTTCATTTATGTATGTAGGTATTTAATAATGGAAAAACATTAATGAAAAATAGTTAAATAAGACATTCACACACCTGTCAGTCAGTCTTGTATTATAAAAGTAGTGCGAAGATTATGGAAATCTTGAGGGAAAATCTCTTTCTAGCTAAAATTTTGAAAACTAATATTGAATTTACCATTATGATTAATCTCGCTTTTATAGATCTGTGTATTCTCTGTATTAGAATTGTAACAGAGTGATTGTGTTTTGACTGACTTTGAAATTGACTTTGTTGGCAATATGAAATCTAGTAGGTTCCTAATGTCAGGTCCAGTGTCAATTGGTAAGAATAATGTTATTTAGAATGTATGTATAGAAATCTGTTGGCCTTAAAATGGCAATATAGAATAGGTTTATATTCCAAGAACTCTCTTATTTGTAAACAATAACTCTTGTAGTCTATGAGTATCATTCACACATTAAATTTTATCTAAAAATAGTGATATATTCTATAAATTTTATCTTTGAAGCCAGAATGTATAAGAAAAGTTGTTGCAGCACTAGACATCAAGTGCATTTACTAATCAAGCAGATATTATTTTAATAAATAAGGTTACACTTGTTGCTTCTGTGCACTGTTAAATTGCAAATTTCCTAATTTTTAATATATGCTACATGGAACCTACTTGTAACTGAAATTGTTTAGAAATAGATTACAAAATCGTATTTTACTAATTTTTTACATGCATTTTAGCAAAATTTTACTGTAATGGAATGAAATATTTTGATTTACTGATATTCATTAATAAAATTACTCTGATTTCATGCAGGTCCATCAGTGTAGTTATTGAAAAAGTAAAAAAGTAAATATTAATTAGTATGTTCAACTGTCAACTATTTTTAACAAGTTACTTTAATCTGTGCCATTCAGAGAGTATAATTTTTATGTGTTTGCGAAGATCAGCATTTAATTGGTTATACTTTATGTCTGCAGTATAATTAATCAATGTTGTAATAACAAAATTTGTCCTCTTTTTGTTTTTTTTTTTTTCATAATAGCTCATCAAATTTAAAAGACAAATTCTTAATATTGTAATAAAAAATGCTGACTGATTTTAATAGTCTTCAAAGTATTAACTAAAAATGTATTATTTTTTTAGACTTAGTTGCAATATAAAATTGTATGTAATTCTTATATTTTGGTTTTGAGAAATAAAAAATACAGAGCAATCGAGTGTGACGTGAGTAACAAGTCTGATAATTATTGAACAGATAAATTTAATTACTGTACTTAAATTTATAATTTAAAAGACATTATTGTATGCAAGAGCTTACAAATATTTTGAATACAAATATGGTCGCACAATTTTCGTTTTAAAAAATAAATAGCTCAAAATATGAATATAACACTACCTACATTTATTTATTACAGATTTTATTTAAAACATTCTGTTTATAAAATTTACATTTACATATATTGCCTTTACTTGGAATGTTTTTAAACTTCAACATATTACAGTAATAAATTTAGAAGCTTAAATAATGTAAAGCTTAACATACCTAAATAGAAAATTACATTTTTGGAATTTATTACATCATACAGCTTTGTCAAGAAAGAATAATTGCCATTTGAGCTTATTTTAATTTATTTAAATATAATTGAATTCGTTGTGTTGCCAGCCATAACTTTTTGTTTTAGTAAATAAATTATTTTAATATTTCCAGTAAAGGTAATATGATAAAAAAATATATTCAATTTTAAATTTATGTAAGAATGTGAGTATGCTGGGGAAACAGAGTAAGCTTTTTCATTGAATTTTTTAAAGGAAGTAGTAAAAATTTCCATTTTGGTGCATTTATTACTGTAAGTCTTAAACAATTATATCTCGAAACTAAATTTTGATAAAAATTTGTAATGCTTTAATTTTTTTGCCAGTTCTGATAAGTTAGCAGAAAAATTAACATTAGGTTTATATTGGTGCCAAAGCTCTTACAACAAAACTGTTGATTTAAATTTTCAAGTATCATCGAACTCTTATGTCCATGTTAATAATCAAATATTGCATGTATTAGAAAGTATGTAACCATATTTTTATATTAAAAGATTCAAATATATCAAATTGATAGTTTTATTTGTCAAAATTCTTTATTATTAAGAAGAGAACAGTCATCATCAACACCCTACTTGCAGTAGACAGGGCCTATGCAAAGCCAAAACACATAGCCCAATCTTCTATACCCACAGAATTGTCATAGTTAATTTCAAATTGATCTCATAAAATATTCACTGGAGTCGGCCCGATCAGTGAGAAAACAGACGCCTACACTCTGGAAATTCATCTGCAATCCCGCGTTCCGGAAGTCTATGGACAGCAGAAATTTTTTTTTTTATGTGAGAAGGAAAGGTGGAAAAAGCGGTTAACCTAATGATAAATGATAATCGCCGCCCGTGGATATGCACATGCGTTGCTACTTTTAAGAAAGTGGGCCTCGGTTACCTCACACACCACGCAAAAATACAACACTTCGAGTTCAGGCCGGTTTTCTGTGAAGTCATGGTACTTCCCCGTAAGAGCATATCTATTTTTTTTATAAAAATGTTTAAGACCATTGAACTTAAAAAAACGGCAGATCTATGGGGAATGTCCGTTGAAGTGACTGCCTCAATAATAGATTCAATCGCACCTTATTTGTCAATAATTTTTAACAGTAGTGTAGATTCTGGCGTATTTCCTGATCTCATGAAATACAGTAAAGTCATACCTGTATTTAAATCCGGTAGTACTTCGGACCCCACTAATTTTAGACCCATTTCTATACTACCAACACTTAGTAAAATTTTCGAAAAACTTCTTCTAGATCAGCTTCTAGTTAACACATTTTAACTTAAATAAATTATTACATCACAACCAGTTTGGTTTTACAAGGGGTCGTTCTACAACCGATGCTGGTGTAGAGCTGATCAAACATATATTTGAGGCTTGGGAGAGTTCACAGGATGCTCTGGGTGTCTTTTGTGATCTTTCCAAGGCTTTCGATTGCGTGAATCATGAAACACTGATCAGGAAATTGCGCCATTATGGCATTAAAAGTACCGCGCTTGACTTCATTAAGTCATATCTATGTAATAGAATTCAAAAAGTTGTAATTAATGGTGCTAGTTCTTCTGGGTCGACGGTATCTATGGGCGTTCCGCAGGGCTCGATTCTCGGCCCATTTCTCTTTCTCATTTACATTATTGATCATCCTTACTTTGTAGGGAGTAAACACGATATAGTGTTATTTGCCGGTGATACATCATTAATTTTTAAAATCGATCGACAGCTTGTTACACTTGACGAGGTAAATAATGCTATGTCAGAAATAGTCTATTGGTTTAATACTAACAATTTACTATTAAATGGTAATAAAACTAAGTGTATGAAATTTTCAACACCTAATGTTAAACATTTGGGTGCTACCAATGTACTTATAAATGGGGGGGAGTTAGGCCTTGTGGATACGACTGTCTTTCTTGGAATAACTCTCGATGCAAAGCTTCAATGGGGTCCCCATATATCCAAACTTGCGAATAGACTAAGTTCTGCAGCGTATGCTATAAGGAAAATAAGATGTCTAACTGATGTAAAAACGGCTAGAATTGTGTATTTTAGTTACTTCCATAGCATAATGTCATATGGTATTTTGCTATGGGGGCACGCGGCCGATATAGAAACAATTTTTATTTTGCAAAAAAGGGCCATAAGAACTATTTATAATCTAGATTTGAATGCATCTTTGAGAGAGAAGTTTAAAGAAATAAATATATTAACCTTAGCCTCTCAATATATATATGAAAATGTTATGTATGTGCGTAGAATTATTAATAATTTTGATAAGAATACTGATATACATAATGTAAACACTAGGAACAAACACAAGCTTGTAACGCCACTTACTAGACTCCATAGAGTAAGTTACTCGTTCATGGGGCGGTGTATACGCTTTTATAACAAAATCCCAGTAAATGCGCAAAACCTGCCTATTAACAGGTTTAAGAAATTTATTAAAGAAAAACTTTATAAAAAGGGTTATTATAATACAAATGAATACATTAATGACAATAACCCCTGGGAATGAGTTGATCGCTCCCAAGCTATTTCTAAAAGGAAAAAAATCAGTTGTATAATATTTGAATTTTTTGTTAAGAAAAAAAAATGAATTACAAAAAAGAGGATACCTACGGAGTTTCTTTCGCCTGTTTCTTCTCCGCTAGAGGAACCTCATTACGAAACGGTGGTAGATTTAAAAAAAAATATGACTATTGACAAATGAAATGTAAGTTTCTTATGTCGATGAATAAATGATTTTGATTTGAGCAATCGCAAAGACTGATGTGTGGCCCTACCACTGCGAAATTAGAAAAAAACAAGGAAATCTTGCGACACAAATATGCCAGTAAAACTTGATTTGTAAATAAAATAAAAAGTGTACAAGGTATAGAATGTTTGTTCTAATTTCTGAAAGCGTTCGAAAGGCGCAATAATATTTTGTAATCAATCTAAAGACCTATATTACTGGCTTGCAGAAAGGTAAACTCTGATGAGGCTTAGGTAGCATGGAACGCAGTTTAAGCATTAATAGAGTACTTATAGGTTGTTGTACCAGGGCAAAAGCAAATTACGGTCTTCTATGCCGTATCTCGGCTTAGCATCGCTGGCATTGAGAAGTTTCGCAAAATGTGGCCACCCAGAACACTTCCCATCAAGGGCACATCTCCAGGATACATCAGAGATTATAATCCTTTTACTTCGTGCTAGTCTTATGTGCGGCCGGACGAGCCACAGGAGAAGTTGCTGCATGGCTCTACCAGTAAAGTTCACGTTCCACGTCCACGTTCGATCTTACATAGATATATAAAAGAATCTACGCTTAGTGATTATCTGTGTAATCCTGTCAGAGTTTACCTTTCAAGCTTCGAAGACTAGCAGAAATCTTCGACGATACTTTTACGCGTGAATTGCTCTTGATCAAGCTGAGCACGCCATGGCGCGAAAATTTTCCGCCGTTTGATGGCTTCGCGCTTCTTCTAGCTCTCTATCACCGCTCTGAAAGGGAATGCAAATTCGATGGTATGTCCATAGGTGGAAATTAAGCCAGACTGCATCAAAAGGATATGGATACCCTTATAGCCAGACCTCTCGCATAGTCATAGTGGAGTGGATTCATAGCCATGCGGTGTTCATGGGTGCGAGTCCGGCATAGCCCGTCCTTGTCTCACGTATTTATTTTATGCCAAGCAAAGACAGGTTATGTTGGAGTCGCACTGACTACAACTCCTACGACGTTGCCAGTCATGATATATATTGGTAGGGTCACGGGAACGCTTTCGAATACTTCCGCTACCCTCACAGCGCTGACCTTAGTTAGCAGCCTCTCCGCAGTGAGTAAGCCTCTCTTCTCCAAGTATGGAACGCTGGAACATAAAGTGCGCCTAATCTAACCATTTTTATATACGTGACATAGCCCTCCAAGTCCACTATCAGAAGGCCAGGAGGGCCAGCGCTAACAAGCAGCTAGCCTCCCAACCCCCAGCGGCAGACCTGATCTGTGGCTCCCCTTACCGGGTTATGACCACGGAGTTTACGGAGGGAGGCGTATTGCAATAACGATCCTCTATCAAATCAGTGGTGCAGTTTCACCAAGTCGCGGAGAATAGAGTTAAAGGCCAAACGCAATACCAACGCTTCTCTTCTAGTGCGATTACACCTCAGTTTCAGAGGACAAGGAGAGTAGCTGTTCCTCTGCCACGTTCTCAGAACTTTGCACTCGATCGTGAGTTGAGCTGGCCTATGTGTATGTTGGTTAATTTTTTTGCGTGAAAGAGTAACAAACTCTACTAATACTAATCACTACAATTCACAAAAAAATAAAAGAATTTTGTTTCTGTATTTTTATGTTATCTTGTAATACCTGTATGGTTTTGATTTTGTTTGACAAGCTACAATGTATATTAGGGATGGGTCGTATCGCTTTTTCTGAGTACCGTATCTGAATCCGATATCGATTTCAAATATCAGATTTCGAAACTATGTATTTTAATATCTAGATATTTTACGGTTCCCTATCCACGTTGATTAATTGAATTCTAAAAAAAAAAAAAAAAAAAATTGTATACTTTAAGGGAGTGGATATAAGATGAATGAAATAACTTCCCTTCATACTTTTTCCAGGCTTAGGACTGGCTGCAATATTTCATACTTATTATAAATATAAAATTGTGCAGGCGTATTTAAAAGTTGATTCATTCTATGTACATAATTTCCTTATATTTAAAACTTAACATTATATATTTACAATTATGTCAGGGTTAATAATTATTTATATCCCTCCGGGTTCAAATTCACGTTTAGGAACGTAAGCTCTCTGACTTTATTCGTCGAAAGTCTTGTTCGACGATCATTAATAATTAACCCTGTCTTACTAAAAATTTCAAATTTCAAATTTTAAATTATTAAATAAAAAATTTCATTAAAAATATAAATTGAAGTAATATAAAAATGATTTATTTTAACATCTTATATACCGCTTAATAATTGACTTTAACATATTTTTAGAACACGCAATCGAGTGGCAATATTTTTATTATTTGTGTAAGAAGTTACATTCAGTACATTTCCATTACATTCAGTTACATTCAGTATTATAGCTTAGGGCGGAAGAATTTAAAATATACACACAAGGCACATAAGCCTTGGTCTGATTTCCACCAAAGCAGCACAGCACTATTAAATTATATTTTTCTTTTTGTGTACTTTTATTTTTTTCCAAAAATGTGAATAAAATTTAGCTAATAAAAATATTCACAAAAAATTTACCTCCTAAAAAATTTCCATTGTATATTTTTCTTCTTCCTTAATTTTATTTAAGCTCAAGGCTGAACAAAATTTCAAAGACATCGTTAATACCGTAATTCGTATTTAAATGCAACAGAGTTTTTTTTCCATGCTGTTAAGATTCAAAATTACTTAACTGCGCGCTTTGTCGCCCGTTACGGCTCAAGGCTAAACAAAACAATAAAAATATAATAATATCGTTGTAGTAATCGCTGATACCAAGATTAGTATTTAAATGAAACGGATCTTATTTGCATGGTGTTAAGATTCAAAATTACTTAACTTATTCATAATATCTGTTTAAAAATCTGATATCGTGCATTGCTTGCCGTCCCACTCTAACTAGTAAGTGTTTATATCTCACGCGCTTTGTCGCTCGATATCTGATATCGTGCATTGCTTGCCGTCCCACTCTAACTAGTAAGTATTTATATCTCACGCGCTTTGTCGCTCGATATCTGATATCGTGCATTGCTTGCCGTCCCACTCTAACTAGTAAGTATTTATATCTCACGCGCTTTGTCGCTCGATATCTGATATCGTGCATTGCTTGCCGTCCCACTCTAACTAGTAAGTATTTATATCTCACGCGCTTTGTCGCTCGATATCTGATATCGTGCATTGCTTGCCGTCCCACTCTAACTAGTAAGTATTTATATCTCACGCGCTTTGTCGCTCGATATCTGATATCGTGCATTGCTTGCCGTCCCGCTCTAACTAGTGAGTATTTGTATCTCACGCGCTTTGTCTCTCGAAATCTGTTTAAAAATCAGATATTGTGGCAAACGCGTATGATATCGCCGTATCGCGATTCGTGTTGGTATAGCGAGCGAGCACGGTACATCAGATTTCGGAAATATCAGATATTGTAAAATACATAGATATTGAACGAGCCGGTAATCGATATTGGGATATTGTACTAATATCTAGTTTTCATATCTGATACGATTTGTATCGCCCACTTCTAATGTATATTTAGTCTGTGTAATCTCTGTTGTCAAAATATATGTAAGGAATTTGTTAGTTTTGCTAATTTTATTTTACTTCCCGTAAAAATGGCTATAGTGGAAGACGAAGTGAGAAATGATTCTGAAGAGGAAAATGAAATTGAAGTTTATGTTGAAGAAGATGATGCAGACCAAGATTCTGATGATTCCGATGTACGCAGTTTTGGGCTATATTTTCACAATATAGTACACTGTTTGATCCATTTTTTGTAGATTAATTTAATAGTTTTGATATTATTTCTTTCATAATTTATATACGCTAGATTGGTTTGTTGTAACTTTTGTAGTGAATTGCTGCCCCTTTAAATGATAGTCCAGGTGGATGCTGGATGAGATTTTTTTCACTAATCATGTTTATGGCTCCGAATTAAAGAAGACTATGATTTGGATTTTATTCTCATCATAAAATTGTTTAAATTTAATAAGTATATTACGTCTCCACACTTTTATAATACTAATTAGTTAAATAACGTTATTTAAATAACGAATGGACCACCACTGATGTTTAGAACTATTCTTCTTTTGGATCAGGATGATGATGACGACGATGAAGCCGCCGAAAGAAAAATAGCAGATTTAGAGCAGAGGATTGAGGAAGATCCATACAACTACGATGACCACATTAACTTAATACAAGAGCTGTGGTATGTATCTTGAAGAATGGGATTATTTATGATAAAAATTCATGAAATTGCTTATTTTATACTGGTCTTGCAAATTGATCCCTTATTTAGGCAGTGTACAGACTAGATCTTTTAGGAATAATTATTTTATAGACTAGGGAATGGGAAAATTATGATATACTACGAGGGCGGGATGATAAGTAACTAGCCTAATAAGAAAACACTTAACTTTCCGTGATAAAATTAATTTTATTTTTCGACATACTCTCCATGAACTGCTACACACTTATTCCATCTTCGTTCTAAACCAGTAATGCCTTCCAGAAAATGATTTCTTTCGAGGCCTGCAAAATACTCCTCTACGGCGGCTATGACTTCATCATTTGTGGCAAATTTCTGCCCGCCCAAAAAAGTTTTGAGCTTAGGGAATAAGTGGAAGTCTGATGGCGCTAGATCAGGCAAATAAGGTGGGTGAGGCAGCAAATCATACTTCAATTCGTTGATTTTTGCCATAGCTTTAACACATGTGTGAACCCTAGCGTTGTCTTGGTGGAAGATGATTTTTTTTTTTCACCAAACCTGGTCGTTTTTGCTGAATACATTGATGAAGCTTATCAAGAAGATTAGCGTAGTATTCACCATTAATTGTTTGACCTTTAGCAAGGTAATCTATCATCAAAATCCCATCTGCATCCCAAAAGACGGAAGCCATCACTTTTCCAGCCGACTTTACAGCCATGGCTTTTTTTGGAGCCGGGCATCCCGATTGAGTCCATTGTTTTGATTGAATTTTTGATTCTGGCGTGTAATGATGAACCCATGTTTCATCTGTTGTTACAAATCGACGTAAAAAATCGGCCTTATTACTCTGAAAACGGTCCAGACATTCTTTTGAGTTTTGCACCCGAATCCTTTTTTGATCGTGCGTAAGCAATCGCGGTACACAACGGGCCGATAACTTTTTCATATTTAATTCCTCACTTAGGATATGATGTACCCGTTCTTTTGAGATCCCTGTAGTGTCAGCTATTTCAGATAACTTCAGTCGTCGATCTGCTAAAACCATATCATGTACTTTCACGACCATTTCCGGAGTCGTAACGCTTTTTGGACGTCCGGGGCGGGCTTCATCTTGGACACATGTACGACCGCGTTTAAACTCAGCCACCCAGTTTTTTTACTGTGGCATAAGAAAGAGCATATTCACCCAAAACATTCTTTAACTCGTCATAGATATCTTTCGCATTCATCTCCTTCATATGAAGAAACTTTATCACCGCTCTTTGTTCAATTTTATCCATTTTGAAAATAGTTGACGAAATATATTTTCAAATGACAAAAAAACAATAAAATTTTCACGCCACCTAATTCAAATTTAGAACACAGGTGGCCAGAGATACGAATTTAAAAATGACATATATATTTTTTTACTTTTAACTTTTTAAATAGCAATGGCTAGTTACTTATCATCCCGCCTACGTATTTATATTATTAGTTTACAAACTAAAGTTGATATAATATTTGATTAGGCATTAATGTATGATTATTAATGTGCAAACCAAGGTGGGTATAATGATCTTTTAGACACCTATACAAACTTTTTTTTATCAAGAATAAAAAGATTTTAGTGAGTTTTATTTTTCATTTTTTGTAAAAAAACTGTACAATACCTAGTTTGCGCACTCTACCTGCCTGTTTATTTGCGCAAACTTATTGAATAACAATTTTATAATTTAAACAGAACTACAATTCTTAAAAATAATTATACAATCCAAACTTAAATACAATTAAATATTGAATTCTAATTAAGAACAATTTATAAAAAGTTATCTTACTTTATATCATGTGAGTATTAAAACACAAATAATTAATTAAATCTTATGTCAAGCTACAATGTATGTAAATATTGCCACTAGTATAGTATAGTATGTGTTTCAAATATAGTAAAATGATAATGACAAATTTGAACTTCATGTACAGTACTTTCTCTAAACTAAATACTTTGATTTTAATAACAGCAAATTTGTGCATTTAACTATCATTACTTTATTAAAATTTGTAGAAAAAGTATGAAAAGATTGTCAACACTTTTTTACGGTGGTAGGGCCACGCAACAGTTTTCGCTGTTGCATGAATGGACAGGTCCGTCTGGTTCAGTAGCACAACCTGACAGAACACAGCCGTAAAGTAGAAGTGTTTCACTTCTGCTTTTCGTCTGGTGAGTGAGGCAGCCAGGGCCCACAATATTAAGAGGTGATAACGCATCTGCAACCCCATGGGTCTTACAAATGTCCATGGGCAGGTTATCACTTAAAATGAACCGCCAGCTCGCTTGCTACTTCCTCAAATAAAAATAAATAAAAATAAATGCTCTTAGTATTCTCACTATTAAAAGATTGCAATGCATCTGCAATCTTATGCGTGTTATCACTTAACATCAGGTGAACCGCCAGCTCGCTTGCCACCTAGTTACATAAAAAAGCCTTCAAATACGATGTTGACAATACTTCTTCAATATGACTTTTATGTTGTGGGGAACCTCAGCCACTAGAGACGGAAGAAGAAGAATGATAAAACATAATTTTTGGAACCATGCACTCCACAGACAGAAAACTAGGGTGATGATGACCATTGCCGAGTATACACGATTCAGTGCGTGACGGGTTCACTTCCGTTCTCCCTTCAGAATAAACGCGTCCATAGAAATTTATTCATAGCCATATGAAACATATGTTTCATCTATCAATTGTCTTATTTTTTTAAATATACCACCGTTTCGTAATGAGGTTCCTCTATCGTAGAAAAAAAAGTCGAAAGAAACTTCCTAGGTATCCTCTTGTTTGTCATTTTTCCGATTGAAACATAAAATTTTTATATTACTTTTTTTTTTATGAAATAGCTTTTGAGTGATCAACTCATTCTCTGGGGTTATTGTTATAAATGTTTTCATTTATATTATACTAAACCCTTTTATAAAGCTTTTGATTGGCATAGGCACTTCCAATTCACTTGTATTTAGGCTTTTATTACAAACTTTTTTGTATGTGGCCTTAGGAGTGCCACAATAGTCACATTTTTTACACTCTATCAATGACAAAACCTCGTCGAAATTTATTAATTGTAATATTGTATCTACAATATGATCTCCCTAAAGTTAAAAAGTAAAAATTTAATTCTTAATGACTTTGAAAAAAAAAATTTTTTAAATTTTCTTTGCTTTAGGGGCCTATCGGAATTGGACAAATGGCGTGCGGCATTCGACCGTCTCCAGCAGATGACAGTACTGCGTCCAGAGCATTGGCTCCTTCGCCTACAGACTGAAGAAACACTGGCACATTCAGCACAGTCTCATGACTTTATGGCCAACCTTTTCCAGCAAGCATCATTGGACTGTTACTGTAAGTGCTTTAAATTCTGAAACTAATTAGTCCCGTTTCAAGAGGCAAACATGCTTTGCTGCAACTTTTATCTATGGAGAATGGATATGGCTAATTTTTTATAGGGCACCGAAAATAGAATTATTTATTTTGTATCTTTGATACACCTTATAATTTACATTATGTACTAACTGCGCCCGCGACTTCGTCCGCGTGGAATTTAAAATAAATAAAATTTCTAAAATAAAAATAATAATATTTATCTGTATAGATATCAGGCAAACACAATACTGTAGCAGAGTCTCTTGTTGGTGTTTCCAAGGATTTTGATAATTCTAAAATTACAAAATTTCTCATTTATAACATAATTATAATATCAACCATATTCATTCCATTTTACTGTTATTAAAGGTACAGAAATTTATCTGAGATTATATGAGATTATACATATATTACACATATTTTTTTTTAGTTTTTGCGCAAATTACCGCATCCTACAACATCGCCGGACGGGCCATGATTACTGTAAAGTGAAATGTAACATCAAGATTCTAAAAGAAAAATAAATTGAGTAAAATCTGTAAACAAGTTTTGTAATAAATAAAACTTGTTTGCAGATTTTACGTAAATTGTACTGACAGATATGTATTAATACTGACGAATTGTGACGCATCTGAATGTACCTATCACGAAACTCTTTGTTACAAACTATACTTTGACGGTGACTACTCACATAAAATTTTTCCTTCCAGCCATTCCGATCCTGAGTCTTTGGTGCTCATGGGCTTTAAGTACCGGCTCACCAGAGGTGGCCAGAGCCCAAATAGAGGAAGTGCTTAGACGAGCCGGCGCGGATCCCTTTTCTGGCAAACTGTTCTGGGATGCCAGGCTCGAATTGGAGAAGACGCAGCTTGAAGCTCTAAGGTACGATATTGGTTCTCTAAGGTAGGCCATTCCTTTATGTACATTTTTACACATAAAAAAAGTAAAAATAAAGTAATAGCCTATACATTTCCCACTCGGCAAAGGCCTCCTCTGTACAGAGGGTATTATGGTATAGTTGGGCAAAAGCCTCTTCTGTATGAGTGTAGTCTAGTATAGGGTCCACCACGCGGCACCACTGCGTATTGACCTCACATATCTTTGAAATATTTCTTTTTTGTTATTATTTCGGACGGACCTCACATATCTTTGAAATATTTCTTTTTTGTTATTATTTCGAAATTATGCAGGTTTCCTCACGATGTTTTCCTTTATCACTGTGCACGCGATAACTCAGCACTTAAAATTCCCACAGTTTCTTTGGTGCAGGCCAGGGATCGAACTCTCAATCAAATCTATTTTGATATAGATATGGAATAATATTGTGTGATCAATATAGTGTTTTGTTTAGTGTCTGGGTGTTATATTCGTAAATTATGTATTTACTTAAAAAAGCAAAGTACATTTAAGTATTCTATCAGTTACCCCATGTCCATAGTCCAAGCATAGAACTACACAACGTTGCGTAAAAATATGTCCGGAAATATTTCATGTTCATCATCATCATCATTTCAGCCTGTTTGAGTCTGCTGAACATAGGCCTCATTATTTATTTATTATTAGCCAATATTTATTTATTATTTAACTCTTTATAGCGAAGACCACGCCGACTACATGGCACAGAGGGAGCGTGTACTCTGGTGCCTTGAGGAGACAGTTTCCAGGCCTCTCCTCAGGGGTGAAGAGGCGTGGCAATCATTCAACGAGCTTGCTTTAGCACTGCACGATAAACAATATGTCGAAAGGGTATGTAAATATTTAAATATTTAATAAATATTTTTAGGACACATTCTTTTTACACATCGTTCTCTAGTCCCAAACTAAGCAATGCTTGTACTATGGGTACTAGAAAACTGATAGAAATATTTAAACATAGTTTTCTTTTGTAAATAAATACACATTATACATATATAAACACCCAGACACTAGAAAAACACTATGCTCATCGCATGATGATGTATGATGACTTTGTATCGGATTTAATTATTGTTTCACTTCTTTTAGAGTGGTTAAACTTCTTGTCCAGCTTATCTAAAGTCAAATGAAATTCTCAATTGCGTATTTATCACGTGCTCGACAGTGAAGTGAAGGAACCTGCGTATTTTGAAAATAACAGCAAGTAAAATATTTCGAAGATATGTAAAGTCTTCCAATACGCAGTGGGGTCGCGTGTTGGACTTTGTGCTTTTGCAAAGAAATGGGAAATATAGGCTGTTCCTTTACTTTGATTTTATGTGGGACGGTGGCAAACGAGATATCGGTTCACCTCACGTTAAGTGATAACCACCGCCCATAGCCATCTGCAACACATGTAGGGTTGCAAATGCGTTGCTACCCTTTGATAAAATTAAAATAATTTGCAAACGCAATATTACTACATGATATACTTGCTACCATCGGTGATGTAACGTTTTATAAGGTTTGCTAACTTCCTAATGGTTTAACGAAAGACCTTCATTACTGAATTTCAAGAGTAATGGACAGAGAAACAAAAAGTTGTGGAATTGCTTTTGAAGTTTCAAATTTTACGAATTTTTTTATTTCTTTTGTCGCTACGTCTATTAATTTATAATTTAAACGTGGCTTAAATAATATAATTAATTTATAGGCTAAACAGCAACATGATGCGGCCGTAGAGTACTTGCAAAAAATCACTCCATACGAAGACAAACTGTTGACATTGGAGTGAGTAATGCAATTTTCAATTTCCATAATATTTGATATTTGCATGTTAGTTGTTCTTATTTAATACTTAATTTAAAACTAAACGGGGAAGGTGCTTTATTTCTAAAAATCTTGATATTAATTCCGTTTTATGTTTTTTTTTTCATTCTAAATAACAGAAACTGGCCAGCGCTTGACTGTCATGGTAATGCAAGTCCTCATGCTGTTAGCGTTCCTATTAATTATTGAAACACAAATCTTTTCAGCGACCCTTTGGAGAAGTGTAAAGTCTACCAGGAGTACATAGATGCCGTCAAGGATTTGTCCAAGGACGACAAGTACGAGGAGTGTGGTAGCAAGGAGATCCTCAAGGTAAACTTCTTTCTGCCGTGGCAGTTATAACTAACGGACTTTGCTTCCGCGAGCTTTCACGCCTCACGGAAGATTGGCACTAAGAGGAGGGATAACGCTTATCCGTTTCATCCTATCAGTGAGGTGACAGGAAATTTATTGTATTAGCTCGGTACTGAATATTCAAAAGACGAATTACATTTGTTTCACTCCTTATAATAAATCTCAGCCACATAATAGTTTTAACATCAAAATCCACACCTGTCCTAACCCTGGTGTTCTGACCTGCAACTGTCCCCCTATAGATAAAGTTAACCAAACGAAATACCTTGGTATTATACTGGACCAACGACTCAGCTGGCATTCACATCTTGATTTGTTAACCAAACGAATGAGGAAACTCACATGGGTATTCAAATCTATACGTCAGGTTACGTCCAATAAAGATAAAAACAAAATCTACATAGCCCTGGTGCAATCTATCCTCACCTACTGTATCTCGATTAGGGGTGGTGCTAGTAAAAGTCACTTTCTAGACCTGGAGAGAGCGCAGGATCTATTATAAAGGTCATGTACTCTAAACCCTATAGGTTTCCTACTGATAGTCTTTATAAAATCAGCGGTCTCCTCTCAGTCAGAAAACTGTATGTTCTCAACATTATCCTTCACTGTCAAAAATCACTATCGTATGTGAAATTTGCCCATAAAAGAAGGAAGAATGTTGTGGCACCCTCCCTTATACGTACTGCATTTGCTAGAAGGCAATATATTGGCCAGTCCGCCTATATTTATTACAGAGTGAACAATAAACTTAAAATATACCCCATGCTATCTTATAACTGCAAAAAAACACTAAGTGATTGGTTGCACCCTCTTAACTATAATGACATTGAAAATCTTATAAGTAGAATCAGTTAACTATATCTATATATTTACATTTATACTGTATACTGTTCACTGGGGTAATAATCCCTTGATGCCCAAAACACACACAGACACACACAGACACACACAAACACACACACACACACACACACACACACACACACACGCACGCACGCACGCACGCACGCACGCACGCACGCACGCACGCACGCACGCACGCACGCACGCACACACACACACACACACACACACACACACACACACACACACACACACACACACGGCGCGCGATTATGTTTTTATAATATATTGTTTAAATAGTATGTAAGTTAATCTATAGTCTTAAATATCCACAAGGGAAGTAGCGGGTTATTCCCACTACAAGTGTCTATGACTACTTACTGGGAAAACTCGGCAAGAAGATGTTACAAAGATTATGGAAATAAATGAAATTTTTATTTTTATTATTATTTTAGCTCGGTATTGCATATGTCCATAATAGCTTTCGGTACCAAGCGAATAATATCGCATGGAAATTAAAATTATATTTTTAATTTTTTATTTTAAACATTAAAATTTATAAAATATTCATTGTATGTATATTGTATAAAAATGGACGAAAATTTTTCGTCGATATCGTCACCGTGCGATAATCTGGACGACTTATATACTTTATTGCATTCTTGTCAAAAAGAACGAAAACATCAAGTGCGAGTCGAACTCGTGCGCCAGGGTTATTATACCCATTATACAGCCATAATAAAATTAGTATCATTTTTATTTGTGGCTAAGTTTTAATTAAGCTTCTCTACATTGAATGTACGCCCATACTATTCAGAGGATCTATCTTAATTACTTACTTCTCAACTATTTTTATTTTTAGGAATTTTTCCTTTATTTGTGCTGTAAGACCTTGTTTTTTTGCCAAATTTCGTCATTCTAGGACAATGGGAAATACCATATAGGTTTTCGACCCAAAACTAGGGTAGTTCCGGTCGACTTCGAATTGTAAATTTTGATTAAAAGCAAGGTGAGTGACCTTTTGCGGGGTCCTTTTCTTACATTTTGAGGTACGGACCCCCAAAAACAGAAAAGAGCTTTGGCAATGGCATATTTTGCAATGGACATTTATGTTTATACGCTGTTACTGTGTTTGTTTTATTTCCTATACCTCAAGGAAACCGTTTGTTTCTTCGCCGTCTACTATTTGAGAATTCTCAAAACAAGACACAGAAATGTTGATGTTTACAGGTGCTGTATGAGCGACTGACTACGGAGTGCCCGAATCATGAAGGTCTCCACGATGTACTTCTGGAGTACGCGAATCTGGTGCAGGGCCACTCGTCGCGCGCCACTGTGCGCAGAGTCCTGGAGGCCTGCGTGCGGAGATGCCCCAGGAAGCACACGTTCTGGACCCTCAGTCTGCAGCAAGCCGAGTATGACGAGAAGGACTTCGATGAGGTGACCGGAGACCACTTCTAATCTGAAACTAAACTAATATTATAAAAGAGGAAAAATGTTATTGTTTGTTTGTTACGATACCATTATATTGCGCGCGCTGCGAAAACTATTGAGGGTATTTCAAATAGTGTTGTGAATATTAATAGAACTCATTTTTACTCACGAATAAGCAAAATTTTAACCCTGTATTCTCATGGGAACGGGATACGTGGGTGAAAGGAATTATACTAGTGGTCGCCCTATGGTCGAAATTCAAGCATTATTAATTATGCACGCAAAAATTATATAAAACTAGCTGATCCGGCAAACATTGTTTTGCCATATAAATTATTTCTAGGGTAGAAAAAAATGTTTGGGGTGGACCACCCTTAACATTTAGGGGGATGAAAAATAGATGTTGTCCGATTCTCCACCCTGGCCGATATGAACATAAAATTTCACGAAAATCGGCTAAGCCGTTTCGGAGCAGTTTCATTACAAACACTGTGATACGAGAATTTTATATATTAGATTATATAGAAATTTTCTAATGCACACTTTACCATGGCACGAATAACTTACATTAACGAGCCTTTGTCAAACTTAAAATATGTAGAAAAAGTGCGAAAAGATTGTCGCCGCTGTGGGAATCGAACCCACGTCTTCGGCATTCGCGGCCTGACGCTGAGCTACTGAGCTAAACGGCTGATTACCACACCGACGAAAATCTTAACGCATTCTTCTGTCCTACATAGTCCTACTTTCTTCATACATAGTACATACAACATGTGTACATACATTGTATCATTCAAAATTGTAAATGATGTTGGGTAAGGGAACAGTTTTATGTTAAAACGTTTTATGACTTCACTCAGATCGATTCTTTCATCAAGAGTTTATCACTTTTACATTTTATTTTATTCCTTCACTCTGTTTGATTATTTCATCAAAAATTTATTTGTTATAGTTTAATAAATTGGACTTTTACATTTTATTACGCAGGTAAAGTCTATCTTCGAAGCGGCGCTATCCAAGGGAATGGAGTCATACAAGCAAGCGGAGTTCTTGTGGATAAGCTACCTGTCGTACTGTCGACGGAAAACCGACTTTGAGAAGGAGTCTGAAGTGGAGAGGTTGCGTCGTACATTCCGATTAGCATGGGATTCACTGGCCGAGGTATGTTGTAGTATTTTATTACACATGAAATATTGAACTATTATTTTCATTAATACTAACATTACACATGATCCTGTTAGAAGGACCAAAATATTGAGAGCAGTTACAATTCGTTGGTACAAAGTATTTGTAAGAAAAACGTTTAGTAGGAGTTGCGCACGCTCTCATAATACATGCTATCCCTCGCCTAATGATAGGTGGTTATGATTTTAACAATTTGTATTACAGAAAACTTGCATTAAAAAGGGGGATCTAAATATCTTCTTTGTAATTTGACGTGTTAAATAATCTATTAATGTACGAAACGACACATTCTAGGTTTGGGGCGACGAGGCGAATGACTGCGAAGTGCCTTTGTTCTGGGCCCAGCTCGAATACAAGCGTATGAACAATCCAAAGCAAGGGAAGGAAATTTTCGAAGAGATATTTAGTGAGTATCTGAATTAATACAATATATTACTAAAATGTATGATGTCTTATTCATTACCGTTCTTTATAAATGTTGATCAGTTTAAATCACACAACTTGTAATTCTTTAACCAATGTACTTTGTAGGTGTCATTAACATCCTAACATTATTTGTAGAAGATTTCTTGTTATACTGCTTTAAAAAATCATTATACATACACTACGCCTAACGTATAGGGCGCGTAAAATTGAAGCTTACATAGTTTTTAAGGTCGCCGGGAGCGCATGGAGAGTATTGCAATCCCATTCGCTCTCAGTAGAAATCGTTTTGACTCGCTCATTTGGGATGCATGGAGGTTCGTGTTGAGGGTATTGCCCTTTCGTTCGTTATCAGCTAAAATCGCACTGTCTCGCTCCCTCTATAAGTTCGTGTACAGCGAACACTATATAGTGAACATTCAATATGAAAGAGATTGGAACTGTACCAAGTTCATGTGTTGTGCGTTACGCTCCAGTAGTTAGACGCCATAGATTCTAGATTTATTATAATATAAATGAATACCTAGACGCCATAGATTCTAGATTTATTATAATATAAATGAATACCTTAATGATAATAACTCCCAGGAATGAGATGGATTACGGAACGGTGGAAGATTAAAAAAAAACCGGCCTACTGCGATTCGGATACGCGCACGAAAGGTTCCGTTCTATCCATACTTCCATACTAATATTATAAATGCGAAAGTAACTCTGTCTGTCTGTCTGTCTCGCTTTCACGCCAAAACTACTGAACCGATTTAAATGAATTTTGGTACACAGTCTAGAGCCTGAGAAAGGACATAGGCTATTTTTAATTGGAAAAACTTTAAAAAATACGTATGTTTTAAAGAAAGATATTTATTTAAGAGCTTCAACGCGAGCGAAGCCGCGGGCGAAAAGCTAGTTAACTATAAAAACTACAGTTTTTTTGTATGGGAGCTCCCCTTAAATATTTCTAATTCTGTTTTACCCTCTTGGTTACGGAACCCTAAAAAAGACTCGACAGACGAGATATATGTTTCTCATTCCGATGAATACACACATAAATGATTCGATACGGTTTGCCCAGAGTACGGCGAGAACAAGACAATGTCGAAGTACTGGGAGGCGCTTCTGCACCTGGAGGGCGGCAGGGGCGGCAGCGAGGGCAAGCTGCGCGAGCTGCACAAGCGTGCGCTCAGCTGCGTTGCGGACTACCCGCCGGCGGTGGCCAGGCTGTGGTGCGAGCTGGAGCGGACGCGCGGCCGGCTGGACACGGCGCTGCAGTGCGCCGAGATGTGCGAGGTGGCGCCATTTTCCTTTCTTTTTTTTTTTTTTCTAAGAGACCTCAAGCTGGCGGCGCACCTGGTGTTAAGCGACAACCGCCGCCCGTGTACATTTGTGACAACCCTACGCCCGGTTTCTGAAACACTGATCATAGTAGAAGTCAACAAACCAGCTGTCAAATGGATTTTCAAATGTCATTTGAGTTGCCAAAAGGACTGTTTAACCCTTTGAATTGATCATTATCATTGATCATTAAGACGATCATTCTGATCAGTTCAGAGAGTTTAGCCATCCTTTTGGAATTGGTAACTCAAATAACATTTGTAAATCCATTTGGCAGCTGTTTAGTTGACTTCAACGATGATCAGTGTTTCGGTAACCGGGCGTTAAGGTCGCATATGCTTTGACAACTTTTAATAAAGTGATTCTACTTCGCGCCGGTCTTCTGTGAGGTCGTGGTACTTACGCACAACAACGAACTGTTGCGTGGCCCTACCACGGTTAAAAGGCTTTTGTCTCTTTCAACTTCTTAATATTATTATAGGATATCGCCTTGAGATTTCTACATACAGCCTTGTTTTTTTTGTCTATGGATGGTCGACTTTTTTTTCTTTGTATTTCTGTGCTTTTAGTACACATAGTTGTTAAATTCGGTTAGCCAGACAGCACTGTGTCGACCTGTCAACTGCAAATCTTTTTTCGGCCTGTGTATTCATTAAAAACTAACATTATTATTTAAAACTAACTTCCCCTTACCCTGCCGTGACACGCCGTTCTATGCCAGCTAGGCCAGGCTTTTAAACCAACATGATACATATGTTTTAAGCCGTATGACGATGCAGCATTACGCCTTGTTTATCTACGGTACGGTAGGGTTTTTTGGCATATGCCTTTATATGTATAATTCTATTATTAGGTTCACGATAGCTTTCATTAAGACCCATTTACACGGTGCTAGTTTCTTGCCTGTTGTATACAATTAAATTGAAGCAATAAATGAGTTGCATGGTCTAAACAACAAATGGTCTAACAAATTATTGCGCGCAATTTATTGCATTCAATTATTGCTCTTGTATGTACAAGAAAATGGCATCGTGTAAATGGGCCTTTAGTCATAACTTTGACTTGAAAAAGTCACGCGTACGCTGCGTATATACCCGTTATGCGTTAACGCTTTCCTAAGAAGGTTCCTTATCCGCAGGCGAAACTTAAGGAATGGAAGAAGAATTACGAAACTATGAAGGAGAAGATGATGGGCTCGAAGCAGAAGGGCAAACAAGGTCAGAACAAGAAAGCGAAGTTGGACAATAAGAGGAAAGCTAAGGGCAATAAGCAGGAGCTATTGAAGAGGAAGTCTGAGGGGAACGCGGAGGGGAAGGGGAGCCAGGTGAAGAGGAAAAAGGACAACGATATGGAAGTGGACGATAAGGCCAAGGAAAATGACTCAGGTGGGGCCGTGAAGAGGCCCCTTGACGACAATGACAGCGATGGTAATTTAATACTGTTTTTGTTATATCCGGTATATAAAAAATATCATTAGGTACATGAAGATTTTTTTTATTTAAGCTTCCTTCTTGTATAAATGGGTTAAATTTTATTTAAATGACAAATGGCTTTCCTGACTGATGGCTCAATAGGCGCCCAGGAATCTTTTTCGCCAGGTGTGGTTTTGATACCCACTACTGTAAATGAAAATACATATACAATACTTCATTATGGAAATTATGTTTTTCTAGTGTTTGAATGCGTAATTGTAGTATGTATTGAATTACAAAAGAAAAGTAAGTGTATGTAGGTATGTTTTTCAAAGTCAAAATTTCTTTATTCAATACTGGCCTTTTTTAATCTATTATTGAACATCAAAAAACTACCAGTCATCAATTAGCCAAGGATTGCTTAATTTGTTGTCCTAAAAGGTATTTGTTGATTTCATAATAATAATAAATTTTTTGACCTGTGTTTCAGCAAAAGATATCAAACGACAAAGGACGGAGAGCGGCTCAAGTGGCTCGCAGCAAGCTGGTAGAGAGGCCTGCACGTTGTTTGTCAGCAATCTCGAGTTCAAGTGAGTCGTATTGTATCTCATCAGCCGTGATGAATATTAATACTCGTCAGGAATATTATATAGCATTCATCGGTAACATTAATTTCTTAGGCTTATTTTAAACTGTTATTGAACGTCACAAAAGTACCTCCGTTTCACTTAGCTACACCTGTCCAGAGAAGAACCGGCAAGAAGCTCTGCGTTCTTGTTATTGAAGTTATTCTATTGGCACGTTTTAAAAAATTATGAGAATAAAAAATTTCAACACCACACCGACAGCGAAATGATGAAGTGACATTTTTTCAACACCCAGATAAGGAACCAATTTATTAGATTAGGTATCGGTTGCATTATTAGGACCCAGGTGTTATTTAAAATGATTGCAGAATGATTGCAGATAGCATAACCAACTGCTTATTTTAAAAGTCTCTTTGTTTAATTTTAATTAAGTCAGCTTTATTTTAATGTCTGCTGTAATAATTTGTTAGAACACCAGATTATTGTTTTGAAGCGTTTTACACGTTTTAAGTGAATTTCTCATGTGCGTTACAGGGTCAACGAGCAGAGCTTACGGGACAAGTTATCGGAATACGGGGACATAGTTTCTATGAGGGTCAAAGCGGGCGTCAAGGCTTTTGGCGGGTCCATATGCTACTGTCAGTACAAGACGCCGGTGAGCATAGTTTTTTTATGGACATTCCCAATGCTGGTGGACAAAACTGAACAGGTCGATATCTATGTATAACTGCAGGTGTCTTGAATGACGATAATGATTGCCAACAAGTCAAGTAACTTCAATACAGAGGACGCTTTTGTCCAGCAGTGGGACATATTATATAGCCCGTTATCTTACCACTACAGTGGACATACGTTGATTTTTGTATTTATATGTTACGGTACTGTGTATCATAGCCCTCTCGAAACGGCCTGGAGCTTCATTTCCGTAGTGTTATCATTTATATTAGCGATCATTTATCGCTAATATCATAAGAGCTAACACACATTTTTTTTATTTATCAATTGATACATTTTGAAGGTTTTCTGGGACTTTGTCGTAAACAAAGCTCGTAAAGACATACACAATAGTTTTGTTATGTTTCATCGAACACTTGCACACAGGAGTCGGTGGAAGCGGCGCTGAAAGACGACCGCACCCCGCTGGGCGGGCGGCCGATGTTCCTCTCGCGCTACTCGGCCACCAAGTCGAGGCCCGCGTTCAAATACGCCACCACGGCCGAGCGGAACAAGCTGTTCGTGCGCAACCTGCCCTTCGGCCAGTGCACCAAGCGCGCCCTGGCGGAGCTCTTCCAGAAGCACGGCGCCCTGAGGGACGTCAGGATCGTCACCCACAAGTGGGTACTTCTCTGTTGTGCCGCTCCGTGTATATGTGAACTAGCGAAACGCCCCGGCTTCGCACGGGTGCAATGTATTATACATATAAACCTCCCCCTTGAAAAAAAAGTCTTGTCTAGTAAAAAAAAACCCGCATCAAGATCCGTTGCGTGGTTTTAAAGATCTAAGCATACATATGGACAGACAGACAGCGGGACGACTTTGTTTTATACTATGTAGTGACAATCACCCCTCTGTCGCCCAGACAAAGCTTATATAGTCACAATTAATTCTTGCTAAATATTTTTTCATTTATTATTCCCGCTCATTCTTGTATTTGTACCTTTCTGTGTCAATGTTGGCAACGTTCTTTTTTTTATTCTTTCCTATTTTTTTATCTGTCACTTAGTTCCACGCTAATTGAGTTGTAACCTGTATGTGCTTATTACAAATATACGTCCACTTGCATTTTCTTAAAATTCACGTTTTATTTCGACCTAAATATCAACAATTACTGAAAGTATCTGGTTATCGTAAAAAATTATAAATATTTCTTAGTCGCGACCTTTTATAATTTTTTTCAACTAAATTTATTGTGGAGTAATACTATTGTTGGAACGTTATCGTTCAGGGACGGAAAGCCGAAGGGGCTAGCCTACATAGAATACGAGGACGAGAAGAGCGCGGCTGAGGCCCTAAAAGCGACCAATGGCATGCAGATGGGCGGGAGGGAAATACACGTGGCGCTCAGCGAGCCGCCGCCCAAAAACACGCCCGCCTCTGATTCCGCGTCCGCCTCCGCCTCCGCCTCCGCGCCCCCAACTCGCACGTAAGTGACGTTTATTCTTTACCATTAGTTATTCCATTCCGCTCTCGTCCCCGCTTCCTCACCGCCCACTCGCACGTAAGTTAAGATGTTTGACAATAATTTGTCATCACACAAATACATTGCTTCCGCTTCAGCGTCTGTTTACGCGTAAATCTCAAACTACGAACGCTTTCGAGCGAAGACTAGTTAAAGCTTCATCGCTTCGCGGGACGGTTTGCTTTTTTAATGGTTTGCGAGTTTGACAGACCAGGCTCATAATATTACTCTACGTTGACGGTGGTATGTCAAACAGCGCCTGCTACGGCACGAATGGGCAGACTCGACCGGGGAAGTACCACGACCTCGCGTTTCGTCCAGTAAGATCATCATCATCATTTCGGCATGTTTTGAGTCCACTGCTGAACATAGGTCTCCCCATTGTCATGGCAGTCTGTGTGGGGAGGCCTAGTAAGATTACGGCGTCCATTTTTTAAAAAAGTTGTCACGCATCTACAATTCGTCAGGTGTTGTAGATGTCCATAGTCTTCACTTAACATCAGGTTAAATCGCTTGTTCACTTGACAATTTTCACATTAAAAAAAATACGTTAATGTGTGAAACTTGTGTCAGGAGGCGGACGCAGCTGAGCAGTTTCATACCCAGCGTGCTTCAAAAGGCCTCGGGCAGCGGAGCTAGTGCGAGTAACGGTGACCACGCCAACGGCGATAAGCGACCGCTCACCAACGCCGACTTCAGGAGTATGCTGCTGAAGAAGTAATGCCATTGCTACGGCTTTAAAGTGTATAAGACTACACACAGGTGCTCGGCGATAAGCTTGTTGTCTGTCGCATTTGGTATCGTTCAGTGAACTAAAAACCAACTCTCTCTGTCTAACCCGATCGGATAAATAAGCGAGAGCTTTTGATTGTATACCTACCTTACGTCTCAGTGTTAAGGTAATATTACTCTTTATTTTTCAATTAACTTTTAACAGTGACGGAAGCATATGATAATATAGGTGTTACTCTGTAAGTTGATGCACGGTAACTAAACAGGTATGTAGATGAGTGGGACGCATTTTGTATTCCCAAATTTAAACTGAAAAAAAAAAAAAAAACTTACGACCGAAACAACTTCGTTACTACTGCGACTATGTACAGACGTTTTTGTGACCTATGCGGAACATTTATGTTCATAGCATATATTCGATGCGCAAAGATATTATTATACAAGTAGGACGTAGATATGACACTATCGGCGCCGAAACTGAGACACTTAAATTACGGCAATTGTTTTTAATTGATTAGACTGCTATCAATTTCCGTATCCTACGTTCCATACCATCCGTCACATTCATAATGATGAAAAGCAGAACAATTTTCAAAAGCCGCGCAGTATGGACACGCGTTATCTTTATTAAAACTTTCTTTGAACTTTATGTTCTTCGTTTTAAGTTTTCTATACATGAAACATGCGTAAACATAAGATTTTCTCTAAATTATAGGTGTTTTATCCCAGTCATATGAACATTGTATAGCCGTATCTTTATCGTCAATGGATTGTTAAATAGCAATAAAGGTGTGATATTTGTACGTCAGACGAAAAAAAATAGAAAAATTTCTAATAAACGTACACAAAATTTCGTTCTTTTCTGTTTGAAACTCAAGTTTTATGTGAATGTTTAGTAGCTTTAAGGTGATACGATAATGGTATAGATTAAAAATATTTGTTTCACAGATTTGTTTTATTATCATTTTGACCTGTATTAGTGACGCGCATTTTATCGAAACGTATAAATTATTCTTATGCCATTGCAGATTGTGTCTTTGACATACAGTAAAATTTATTAAAATTGTTCAATCCTTTTGAATAGCTTTACCCACTTTTTTTCTACATATATAACTTTTAGTGGGCGTTTTTATTTATGTTTTCAGCCACCCTAAAACAACTAAAGCAACTCTAGGCGCACTAAGCACCTATAGCCAGTTATACATTTATGTAATAGTACCTTTTTAGGACATGTTCAATAGGATATTTTCAAAGGTGCAAAATGATTTTATAAGGTAACAGAACACATTCTAGAAAAAAACCTTTCTGTAGAACATGGGACATTAATTAAATTTATACAATTTTATTTTTATTTCTTATTCTAAGTCAGGACTAAGTGACTAAGAATAATTAATTAATAAATGTTATTACTACGTCGCGACGTAGCAATTTTTAAATAATAAAAATGCATTGAAAAATCGCCGTATTAAATGAAGCTTGATGAAATGAGAATAGAATCAGATTTCTTTGTCTAGCCCCTGAATAAGTTAATAAAAACACTTTAATGGTAATAAAATAAATTTTATTAAATATAAAAATACAATCTCAATAGAGACTATAATCTGTATACACGACATAGTTTAATAGACATTTTAAAAGCACTACAATCTTTACATGTTCTAAAAAAACTAAAACGCAATAAAATAATAGGTTTGTTCTTGAAGACTTCAAAAAAAACAACTGAAATTTCTCAAAACTAAAAGGTGAAATAATATATGCACTATTTAAATGTTATAAGAAACTTCATGATTTTTTCATCCAATGGCTCTAATCCGTCTTATCTCATATTTTAGTACGATTTCATAATGTTTAATAAATCTAAAAACGTCTGTCCGCTTGGCCTGAATTCCATATAATCGTATTTCTAGCACCTTTGAGAACATGGTTCTAAATTAAAAATTAATAACACATGGGACTAGAAGACTAAGGTTACCTCGAACGACGTTCAATTTTAAAATACATTGCATTATTTTATTTTGTTATTTTACGTTGCTAAAGAAATAAAACTATTAAACAACTACACATCTACTAATTGTTGGCACGATTTAGATGTAAATACACAAACATCGCTTCCAAAAATAAAGATTATATTTACAGGATTTGGTGACGCTGACATGTTTTTTTGGATTCGTGACATTATAACTTTTGGTGTAATGTACAATTTACCAAGACTTAAGCGAGTGTATTATGCGACAGTATTTTAATATGCAAGTGGGTGCAATTGTTAATATAAAACAGGAACATAATTGTACTATCTAGGCGAGTTAAAACTAAATATACATATATTTTTAAAAAGAAACAAGGTTTTGTTTATGGAAATGTGAAAGTTTTAAACGGTGCAATTTGTCCGATACAACCGATTTCTAAAAGGGGTGGGACGCCAGGTATTTTCTGGGAACCACAATGAGAAATTTCATCCAATGATACCACATTGATATGTTTTTATTTTAAAATTATGGTTATGCCTTAAGATTTATGTTAGGAATCAATGGAATAAACACGTAGATTAAACAGTAATCAACGCATTTTTATATATAATATCACACCGACATTAGGGCACGTAAGGTATAAGGTCAGGCAATTTTTTACTATATCATATCATATTAATCATTATTATATGTCATTCCCTAAACAATTTATAAATTTAGAATTTCCGTTAAAAGGATTTATCACTTTTCCCCTATATATTAGATTGAGCAGAGTAGTTGGCATGATTACCAACAATTTTCTGGCTGGAAACGGTTTATTGCGTAAGCTCCGATAGTCACTCGACGTGTTTGCCGTCTTTCCATCTTTTCTTTGATCGTTCGAACGCTTCTCTTATGCAGGCCCTAAAAGTTACAAAAAATAATCTATTTTATCTTTTCTACGTCAAAAGGTACTATTTTTTATTAGGTAATATTGTTGGACATGCAAATTAAGTCCTTTCTTAGACGCAAATTGGCCAAACGCCAGATTATCAATTAATTACTTATAATTCACACACATATACCATCTTGGAAAACGTAGATCCATATATACAGCGTGTCGTTACAACCGCGACAATAAATGAACACATGTCTAACGCTACTTACCAATGATAAAATAACACTACAAAATTAAACAAAAAAAAATTTTCAAACAAATTAATTAAATAAAAAAGAAACAAAATTTGTAACACCTATACAACTACAACTGACTGATTCATACATTCAGAGATTTTTTCAATTGTTGCCATAAGGTAGCAAGTCTCTCTTTCTAACAGTATGTTTTATCTCTTTTAAATTTATTCAACCCATTCATATGCTTCGTGACCTTTGCAAATGAACTTTACGTTATAGTTGTATACGTAAGGGTGTTCTAAAATTGTTTTTTTTTTGGAAAATTTAATAACTCGTGAATATTGATGTTTAAAGAATGTAAATGTTTAATACAATTTTAAAAAGTTATCCTTTATGTGTGTTCATTTATTGTCGCGGTTGTAACGACACGCTGTATAGTATGATAAGGATATCACATTTATTTAATTTGAACACCAAACAAGTAGCAAAAGAACAAGACCCGATGCTAAGTGATTACCGCGAAAGGCCAATCTGAACGTTTGTCAACATTTGGGGAAAAGTAACAGCCTACATATTTCCCATTGCTGGGAATAGTTCTCCTCTGTATAGAGGGTATTACGGCATAGTCCACGACACGACACGGCCCCACTGCGGATAGTCGGTTCTTCACATATCTTTCAGCCAGCTCGCTTGCGACCTTCTGACTTAAAAAAAAATAAGATTTAAAACAGATGTAAGTTGATGCGTTCCTCGACCGCAGCGACATCTGGATATTTCTTCCTTCCTGTTGGAATTCCAAAAAGTTGCAATAACTCTGCCCGGCCACAAACTTACATGTGGCGGGTAGCTTGCTATCAAGTGAGCCGCCGAATGGTCATTTAAACAATATGTAATAATATAGATTGTATTCGATATTTTTATACGTACGTCATATTTCCTTGTATTACTACACTCTTTCATTATTTATTATCTGTCCGTCTCGGTATAAATAATGAGTAATATAACTATCGATTTGAACCTAACTTACAGACTGGCTAAGAATTTAAACTAGACGATAATGCAATATTATAATAACTGTCTAACTTCCGCGGTTCATGGGATACATCCTGGTGCCAGACGGACAGACAGACAGACATTTTACCCTTTGGGTATGGAACATTAAAAACAGTTGGCGCTATCCTTCAGTCCGGGGTTTTTCTACATAATTTCCAATAGAAAATCGTCACCTGAACACGGACTGGTGGAGGATGTAGGCGGACACGTGGCCCGCGTCCACGTAGCGCACCTCCGCGCCGGGCCAGATCTCTTCCAGGCGGCCGACATCCTCCCGGGGCACGTACGCGTCGTGTTTCGCGCACACCGCTGTTCGTTGGTGGCAAAATAAGTTTTTGAAATCATACCCCAACACGTCTGACGTCGTTGTTGAAATCGAACCCACGCCGTCGGGATTCGCGCTCAAACGCTTTAACCAATAACCTAAACGGCTGATTGTCACACTGACGAAAATCTCAAACGTCTTTTATACACTGTTTTTTTCGCATTTCAAGCAGTTCAAGCAAAAATATTTTAGGAGTGCATTATGTACGCAAGCGAGCGTCAGGTTCAACCGATGTTAAGCCACCGCATGTCCGAAGTTAAGTTACTACAGCCACCCATGGACTTCAACACCCGTGGAGCGCAAAAGTATAAAGCGTTAAACTCATGCTGGTCTTCTTGAGTCCACGAAACTTCCTTGGAGGAGCCTGTCCAGTCATGCCAGAGCGGGAGCAAACGTTGCCCATTCACGGTATATTGGACATGGCGCTTTGTTTGTTTTGGCTCGAAAACCTTGAACTAACTAACTCATGGTATAATTTTATAATATAAAACATCTTCCTATACAAAAAGATCGGTCCTCTGGAATTTTTAAGTAAATTTCATCCTATTTCAAAGTTTTTTGGGTAATCTATTGTATGTTGTTGTACCGGTATCGGGTATCGGTCCACTTAGACAGAAAAACGTAATTGAATTACGAAGATACTAGTCACAACGTACCGATAATCAAAGAAGTGTCGAACGGAACGGAGAAATTGCTCAAGTGCGTGCACTCGTCCATAATCCCCCTCATGAATTGCAGCGCCTCTCTGTCCCTCCAATGTATCTTGCCTATGTCTATCTTCTTCCCGGATGGTTTCAGGAACGGCAGATTCGTCCACAGGTCCGACGTTAAGTCCGACACGTTCCAAGCTTTCTTCTCGGACTTTCTTTCCACGATCTCCGTCCCTTCGGCGAGTTTAATCGGCACTTCTTTTGCAACATTACTACTGTTTACATGGACAGTCATGCGCGTTGCTTCTGTTTTGGGTGAAACCATTTGATTGTCGACGGCATCGGCTTTGATTTCCACTTTATTGTCCTTGGCGAGGTCCAATTTCGATAATTTCGCCGTGTCTTTGGTCCCTTCATCGGCTGAAATGGATATAGTTATGTGTTGCCAGAAAAAATAACTATGAAATGCCAAGAAAACATAGAATTATTATAATAGCGATTTTTTAATTATCACAATTTCTTTATTCCGACGATGTTGCGAAATAGCCGGAAGTTTGGGGTTTTCGTACACATTTTTGAATAATTACTTAAACACGTCAACAAGTATTATTAAATTTAGTAATCATAAATAAATAAATTATTTCACTACATGCAAATAGAAATACAAAAAAACTGAACGTCACGAAGCAAATTTCTCAAGTATTTTGTCTTACCAACTTTGTATATTATAAGCAAATCTTTTAGTTCGTTCTTGTTTAATTTATTTATCTCTGATATATCATCAGCGTCTAATTCGAATGTCGTGTTGGATGTTAGTTTATCAAATAATGTCTTACTAATTTTATTTTCATCCAGCAAAACTTTTAACTCCTCGCTTAAACTTTCGATTTGGGCGATTTGCTCGGACCTGATGATTTTAACATGTGCCTTTGTATTAATTTCATCTTTATTTACGTCTACTTCGATTTTTTTATTTAAATTATTATTGTCAACGACGGTCTCTTTGTAAGTCATATCAAGGTTCTTCCTGGAGTCGCATTTAAGGCTATTAATTAGATTCTCTTGCTTTGCCTTTTGTGCACTCGTTTGGGTGTCCGTTTTGACCTTCTCAGAGTAAGTGCGTGCAAACTTTTTCCCTGCCAAGAACGCCTCGTCGACGATTGTGACCATTTTCGAAAGTTTCTCCCTGTACACCCCGTCTGATAGATATTGGTCTTCCAGTAGGTCCCAGTTTATCGAATGTGACATTACTCCCTGGAATATTTTATAACACTTGACAGCTATTACGTGTGACATTTGTATAAATAATAAATAATCTTTCTTCTAATAATGATCTTTCATTATTAGATAATATGACATAATGATCTTTCATTATTAGATAATATGACATAATGATCTTTCATTATTAGATAATATGACATAATGATCTTTCTTATCGTCTAATATCCCTCAATGTTTGAAATCTAAAGTCTTCAACTAATTCATGTTGTCAGTGATGCCTACAGAACCGAGACGTGGCCCTTCAATGCTGGCCGTATAAGAAAGCTCAGTCTTTCAGCGAGCTATGGATCGAGTTATGCTCGTATTTCTAAAGACAACGCAGTAGAACAAAGATCAACGATATAGCTCTGAAGATTAATAAGCTTCAATGGCGAAGGACTGGGCACATAGCTTGTGAACCGATAATCGGTGGGGAAGAAAGGTATTTAATTGGCAGCCTATCGCAGTGTAGGGTGACCCCTCGCTAGATGAAGTGACTACCTGTGCAAATGTGCAGGAAGTCGATGGATGCAGGTGGCTCAATAACATCCTTGTTAACAGTTTGTGGGGGAGGCTTATGTTCAGAGCAGTGAACTCTAACAGGCTAATGATGATGGTGATGTTTCTTTCATATCTAATCCATCATTAAGAGCAAATTCAAATAAAAGTAATATTTATAATTTTTTTAATATTTTTTGACTACTTCCATTACCTGTAAAAAGACTGCTGAAGCTGTAGACCAAGAGAGACATGGAACAAGTACAAGTGGTTTTGGCCAATTGGTTGCTGCCAGTGAAGCCATCTGCAATCAGTTTGAGGAAACAATAATAATTAACAACATCTATCTCATTAATAGAAGGTACTAATAAGATAATAACTTACATGTCCACCCATAGAAAGACCAGTCACTCCTAATGGCCCCAAACCATTTCTTTCACACCAATGGAAAAGCACCAAAGATTCCAGAATGAGACATCCTCCCATCACAAAAATATCTGATACATTATGCAGAGAAGATCGGCTGTAAGTATCAAAGCATTTAAACTCTTAATCTTGTTCTTTAACAACATTGGTTTACTGCTTTTTAGACAAAATGAATAAAAATAAACACTTACATTTGATGATTGATTTCAAGCTAAGGGATTGTCCATTAATAATATGATCTTATTCATTATTTCCTCAATAAAAAAGTAAAGTAACAGCCTATACATGTCCCACTGCTGGGCAAAGGCCTCCTCTAAACAGAGGGTTCCTCAATAGGGGGGAAATAATGAATAAGAAAAAAATGCGAAATATCAAAGGGTTAATAAGGTGGTGAGATATCCTGTGTATTTATTTTTCTTTGAACACGCTATTTCTAAAAACGGAAAAAAAAACTGTCTGGACATTTTTAGTATGTTTCTTAATTTTCCAGAATTAAATTAGCTTATACCTACCTATATTGAAAGATTAGTTAAATTTTTTAAGATAACCTGTACTAAAACTACATGTGAGGGAATGGAGGGGTTCAAGCTTAAACCCCGCCGAGTATTAATAGAGGGAGGGAGGAGGGGTTAAAAATGCTATAATGTATGTTGCATGATGGACAACTCTTAATTCTGAAGGAATACAAATTGCATATATGATTTTATAACTGGTTTTTCCAAATTAAAAATATTTTATTATAATTGAGCAAGTTCACTTCTCTTATAGGATATGTGACTTACATCTGATCAGTAGGTTTGCGAAGTCCATAAAAAGGGTTCTCTAATATAATTCCTCCAATGCCTGCTTCCTTCAGTAAAGGCTTCACCATGAGATTCCTCCGTCGCCAGAAATACTATTAGAAATAAAAAAAAATAAAAACATCCATGTCTCTTCTTGTAGAAAGGCCTGGAATATGGTATAATTATCCAAAAGTTTATATAACTTTGGGCTGTTAATTTTTTCTTATAATATAAATTTATGAACCAAGTGTTTATAATTTATTTATATTAATTTTATATTTTATTAGACAAAACTAGTACTGAATCTAATTTTCATTTCAGTTAAGATAAAAGTTAAGAAAAACAATTTCTTGGCTTTTTGTTGTATCAATATGATAGAGATGATGACTGAAATAATGTTATTTATAAATATTTTCTATTCTGCTGAACATGTAGGTACTTCTTTTCTTTTGTATGTTTTATATATTACCTTTTAGAGCTACACTTACATGATCACCTGTACCTGCCAGATGAAGACATACTGGTTTACAGCCTGGTTCTGGCCAATGTATGGGAAGCAGGGCCTGAAAATGAGCCTTTTGCGCTATCTCAGGAACAATACCCGGAAGATATCTTTCTAGTGGTGTTACAAAATAGCCTTCCAGCAGTTTACAATCTGTGAGATTTTGTTCCTAGAATCCACGGAACATTATTAATTAACAACTGTGAATTTAATGACATATAAAATATTTGATTTGTTATCTAAGTGTATATTGAAAACATGCAATTATTGTGCTTAGATAAATTTTTAATTTTGTAACTTATAACAAGTTACAAAATTTAAGTTAAGTTTAAGTTAGGAAATATTATATAAAACGGACAATTATTTTCACTTCTATAGTTCATTTATACATTATTTGTACAGTGTAAACTCTTTATAATGAATTTGAAAAGACCAAGCAGTTTTTTTGTTATAAACACTTTTCATTATATGGAGAGAAAAGAAAAAAATGAAGCAAATATAACGAATTAAAATCATTACTAATTTTATTACTATCAATGGGTAAATTATTCTAAACATGTAAATTATTCAGGTAAATTATTCAGGTAAATTATTCTGTACATTCTGTTGACTTTGCCTGACATGTTTTGCTATGCCAATATTTGTTTTGTATTTTGTGCATGTATTGGAATGTGGTGGAATCATTTTTATGATGACAACTTTTTGACACTTTAAAGTCAGTAATGCCTAGTTTTTCGGCAAACTTCTCAGCCTTGGCTTTAGGAATTGGACCTGAAACGGGTACATTATTCTGGTGCTGATTGTTAAACCATGACAAAATTGCAGTTGAATTTTAGCTCCTTCCTTTGTGGACACTCCTTGCACTTCTGCCTGTAAAATCTCTTCTTTGTTTTTCAAATCGGTAGCAAGCAGTACATGGACTGAGGTCTAAATATCTTTCAACATCACTTTTCTATCGCACATGTCAAATAAACTTTTTCGTTAACTCATAACACTTTTCTTTTGCTGTCCATCTAAACAGTTACAAAATTGATTTACGACTGATAATACACGATAGGTGATGATGGTGCGTTTAGTAACTGAGACCAAGATTTCCTACAGACAATGTATAGTATATGAGTAATGGCAATTATAAAAACAATTACACTGTTAAATATGAAAATATTTCTTCGTAATACAGAATGGTTGTTGCGTTACATTTTTGAAGTAAAGAGTGAATTACTGTATAGGTTTTGTGGTAAACCAACCAAGTTAAACTTCTACGACTGACGAACGACGTTATAAAGAGTTTACACTGTATTTTAATATTTTTTTTAATTTAATGAAGATATTGATTTGCTCAATTATAAACTACCTTTGTTATAGTGACAGGGTAATCTCTTTCAACTAAGTTGAAGCATTCATCCCGGTTCGAAACTACTTTTCTGAACTCAAATAACCTAAAAAAGTAAAGATGTAAATATTAAACTTCATTCTAAAAAGATAATACGTATATGAAAAATTTTATTTGCATTGGAAGTATCGTATTTGTTATATAATAAAGGGATGAGAAGACATTGAGTAATTGTTTACATTGTTGCTTACCTTCGCAAATTTTCTGGTTTACCCCAGCCTTTCGTAAAAAATTTGGTTATGAGTATACTACGGTACACGGCGTCTAGCCTGCTTGCAGACATAATTTAATGAAAGGTTGTATCTAGTTATGTTTTATTTGTAAGAAACTATAGTTTCTTTTATTACGTCGACTTTTAAATCCATTTATACATTTTTAACGAATAAACTAGAAGTATATGTCATGTTCTACATTATGTCATTATGTCACATGTCACAGTCAATTGTCATAATGTCAACAAGATTTTAATTTATGCCATGTGCGGTCAGCTGTTATCTTTCGTTCAGAAATAAAATATTGAAGTCTCAAGGAATAAAGATTTAACAATAAAAAGGCAATAAATAGGAACTTAAAAATGTGCGGTATAGAAATAATTAACACAAGCTCTAAATATCCAGATATATTTTGATGCTCAAAAATATAAATAAAAAACTTTTTTAAAAACGATGGTATTTTCTTATTAATGCTAATTTTTTATCAAAATGTACGGGACTTAAGAATTAAACCATTTTAATTTTTTAATGACATTGTTTGTAATAATTACGATATTGTGATTCTCAGTGAAAACTGGTTAAGTATTTTCGATTCTCAGTTATTAATACGACTACTTTCTTTGAGCCTAAGTGTGAAGATTTCAGTATAGTATTATAGTGTTACAGTAATACCAGTAGTAAGGAACATCTTTACTTGTGAGTAATTTACAACCGCCTCGGCGATTGGTTCCGCAAATGAAGAATTGAAGTAAATCCCGAAAAGAGTGTGGCGATTCACTTCACACGAAGTACTTACCCGTCACATTTTTATAAAGGTCGTCGCCAATGCAGAAAGCTAGGGCAAATATCTCTTTATGGCCAACCGCTCCCCTGGGAGAAAAAGGTAAAATATTTAGGAGTCACTTTCGACTCGCGTATGTCATTCACAGCGCATATTAATAACGTTCGTAACAGAGCCGCGTTCGTCTCCGGCCGGCTAAGCACTTTAACTAACCAGTCAAGTAAAATGTCCTTAAGACACAAATTACTTTTATACAAAGCTTGCGTACGGCCAATCATGTCCTACGCATGCATGATTTTCACCCACACGCACCCTATACTCGCTTGCACAAGTTGCAAGTAGTGCAAAATAAGTTCATCAGCCGCGCAACCGGTGCGCAGTGGTATCAACGCAACGTCGACCTGCACAGTGATTGCAGACTCCCGATGATTCGCGAATTTTTCAAAGACCTGACCAAACGGTTCTTCGATAGAGCCGAACATCATCCCAACCCTCTGGTGGTAAGCGCAGCAAATTACCAACCCGATCCAATCCCGATCGAAACATCAGTTAATACAAGATACAAGAGAGTAATTCACCTTCTAACACCTACACAGAGGCAGAGGCACATCTTAGTAGTTAGATGAATAGGCATGATGACAGTAACTAAGATTCACCAAAATAATGTGTTAATCTAATTTGTGATATCTCATAATTTCGTAAAAAAGTATTTATCTTCATTTTTTATTTAAGATTGATTATTTATTTAATAAAATAAAACTATAAAATTAAGCAATCCGCCATGTCAAGTTGAACACCAATCAGAGCGAATTACGTCACGACTATGTAAGCTTCTAGACGCCATAATATTTTGTTAGCAATTTGCGCCTGTTTCTGTTTGTTTGTCTGAGTTTATCAAGTAATTCGTGGTTTTCAACAATCTCTCACTTAATCTTATATTTTCAAAGTCCAAATTAAGCAAAGTCAGCTATGGAACAAGGATTTACCAAGGCAAATAGCTCTAATTTGCCTAGAATTGATTTGTTGATGCTGGGAGAGTTTCTTGGAGCTAACAAAGATTTTTGTTCAGCAGAATTTCGAAGTGTAAAAACTTCTAAGTAAGTATATTAACATTCATTAAAAAGTATAATGGTTCAATAGTGCAAATGCCGTAATTTTTTTTTTAACTTTCATAATAGATTAAATTTGAGGTTACTTTACGTCGTGTTGTTTTAAAACTATTAAATACTTACAAATTTATTTCCATATTTTAGGTCCTCTAAGCCATCCTATGGAGATGACGCTGTAAGCTATGTACAGCTGAAACGAGATGGAAAGCTGTGTATTGTGAAAGGCAAAATCTGTCCTGAACATAAAGTCCATGCAAAGTTGTATGGAGTGACTGTTGTAGTTGACGAAGAAGATGAAAACCATCAAGTCCATAGAATGCCACGACTGTATTGCTTCACAAGGAGGGTGTAAGCATGCTATTGCATTTCTCATGTGGGCCCATCGTAGGAGTGAAGAGCCATCATGTACATCCGTGGAATGCTACTGGATGAAGTCCAAACTATCGAGAGTTGGGACTACCATTAAATATATAACAGCAAAAGAGTTGTCAAAAGGTACGCCCAGCTTGCCTTCAAATTCTGGAGTTTTCGAAATGTTTTTGGAAGAAGGGAAGAAAAGAAAGCTAAACAACTGTGAGATACTAAAGTATCAAAAAGATTATGTTTGTAGTAGAACAGAAAACTTATAAATGCATAAGTTAGTATTAAAATATAAAGAAATATCATGTGATAATTTTTTGAGAAAGGTTGAAATATCAGACATAGATATCAAGGAAGTTGAGGAAATGACAAGAGACCAACATCAAAGCAGCCTATGGCATGAATTAAGATATGGCAGAGTGACAGCCTCAAGGGCATTTGATTTTAGTCGGTGTACATCTAAGGATGGTACTTTAATTTCATTAATTATGGGAGGAAAAATTCCTGACACACTGGCAATGAAACATGGCAGAGATTTAGAGAACGAAGTTAGGAAGACGGTGAGTAATAAACTGGGAAAAAAAATAAAAATGTGTGGTTTGTTGCTGTCAAAAACCTATCCTATGATAGCAGGTTCTCCTGATGGGATCTGTGAAGATGCCATTATTGAAATAAAATGTCCTATGAGTGAAAAAGCAATGGTTAATTATGTGAAAAATGGGAAGCCAACTCAGAAGTTTAACATGCAGATGCAGCTGCAAATGTATTTAACTGGACTTAAAAGAGGCTACTTTTGTGTAGCTGATTCTAAATACAGTGCAAATAAAGAAGTGAAATTAATAAGTGTGAAATATGATGATAATTACGTATCAGATATTTTGAAAGTACTAATTTCTTCTTGGAAAGATAATGTATATCCATTATTATATAACAGTATCATTTGAGTGAGTAAATAAAATGCAGGTGTTATATGTTCATTGTTTTATTTAATAAGTGAATCTTGCAAATTGATGAATCCACAAGCAATAGTAATAACATCATCAAGTACTTTAACTAAGTTATGATTTAGACATGCATGTGGCTTTAACATATGAAATTCACGTAAGCGTCGAATCAGTCTTTCAACATGAATTCTTAAACTGGCAATTTGTTTAGTTTGTTTGGTCTCACTTTTCGAAAGTTTAGTTCCAGTTATGATACTTGGAGGTCTTACAAGCTGCACTCCATATTTACGCAAATATGGTTCTACATGCTTAAAACCTCTATCAGCCATTACGCACATGCCTGGTTGCAAACATTTTATAAAATCACATGTTTCAACCAAACATGTATCTGTTATCCTTCCTCCATACCCTGGTGAAACATAATTGACTAAACCATTCGGAGTACAGGAAACAAGATATTTAATGGTATTAGCCTTTTTGTATTCAGACCATGAGAGAGACTGATTCAAAGCTTTTGAAGGCTTCTGCACCTCAATTTCTAAGCAGTCAATAATGCAACTTACACTGTAATAATTATTTCTAAAAGGCATAGGTAAATTAGTTTTAATACAATCATTATCAAGATTTACTATAAAAGGCCGCATTGTACTAGCTAAAATAGGTATATTTTTTACAAATAATTTACTACAGTATGTTGTGGTCAAGGTGAAATCATCACTCAGTTCTTTAAATGGATTATTTAATCTAATTTTTTTTAAACACATTAATATATAGATCTCTGGTATTTTAGAATATTTTTCAATTAAATGTATAAGGTAATAGCAACCTTTAGGTAAACCTATATAATATCGAGGACTCTTCTTAATTTTATTCAATGTAAATTCCAATATTTTCATTGCATTCTTGTTTTTTATTATCCTCAGTTAGTTCACTACAATCTGAAGACTTCATTTGAAATGGTGATGTTTCTCTCAATGTTATTGATGGTGTGTAAGAAATATCACTATCAGATTGGTCTTCTGTGGTGAATATTTTTCTTGATGGTTTATATAAGCTGGATGTCCATGGCTTAGTAGAAATGCAAGTTTTGACTTTAAATGGTGATGTGGATACTGATTGTACACTAGGTTTCATGGGTGATGTCATCTGGTTTACTAGTTTAGTGTCTGTTTGGATTGCTTTGCTTCTAAACTTCTTCATCATATTCACTTGGATTGATTTATTTGCAGATTTAGTTACTTCTTCTTCACTAATATTCTCTATGTTTACATGGAAAACTGAAAATAAAGAACATAGACATAAGACATTGAAATCAATTAGACATTAAACAAAACATATTATTTACATAATAAATCATCAATCAGGCAATAGAGGATAGGCAATAGAGTAGACATGCCATTTAATCTCCAACATTATAAAAAGGAAAGGTTACTGAGAAAAAATTAATTCATTTAGAAAAAAGAAATAAACAAAAAAGGTACCTGAATGTCCATATGAAGTCTCCCCGAGTTCCATATCTTTTCTGGTATTACTGCTCTCTTCAAAATCTTTTTCACATTCTTCAACTAACATTTTCCTTTGTTTCTTAAGAATATATGGCCGATCTATAGTAGAAGATGTGCGCTTCCTTCTGTCTGGTTGGCATTCAAATTTTGTGGGGACACATCCTGGTTTCATACGGACCTGCGACACTGATCCCATGATCTTATACTCCATAAAATTTTCCATATCATTTGGTAACTGCAATATAGTAATATACCTGTAAATAACAAATACATGGAACCTGTTAACCTAACCTCAAAAGTTATTTATTAAATTAATTTTAAACTTTAAACTATACCAAAATGCACTCAAATATATTAGAATATAAGAAATTCATTATTGACTTACGTCAAAGTGATCTTCACAGAAATACATTGGAGAATTAAGGCATATAGCGGTTGGACCTCGTCGTGCAAGATTAAGCCACTTATATCGTATTATTTTCTTGTGTGGAACGTAAACAAATACTTTTTAGGAGTTTTTATTGAAGTGTTATTACACTGGGGTACCGCACACACCACTTATACACTTTAGAATTCATCTTTAACGCCAAAAATAAGGAAATATTGCTTAAGCACCAAATATTTACTGCTGACAAACATAGATGTGACGTCACAATTGGCCGCCATGACACCACAGCGCGTTTTGGCAGAATTTTTAAACTGGGATATTAAAATGGTATTTTTTATACTTAAACGTTATTTTCTGTTAAAATAAGATAGTTTTTGTAACATTGTAGATGCGTCCCAACATCATAGAACACTTTTTGAAAATTAGTCATCATGCCTATTCTTAAACAAGTCTACCAGAGTGCTTGACCAAAATAAAGTCGCGATCGTATCTTTTACATGAGACTTGAATTCATTAGCTTATTGGAGCTTTTCTAATAAACATAGTATTGTAGTAACATATTCCCATAGTTTACGTTGAACGTTTAAATGTAAGCCACAAGGCAGCCAACTTGCACTTAATCTCTGAGATATTAATGAAAATCGATAGTTTTGTAAATAAAATATTAGAAAAATATAAAACATAAGTGTTATGTCGTATATATTAGTAAGAAATAATGTTTTAATATTGTTTCATCTAATAAAGTACGATTTAATGTTGTTTTTTAAATAAATAAAGGATGTGCTGTAGCAGTGGGTAGAATATTTTATAAATAATACTATCTACTAAACGTACATCGATCAGCTGATCTTCTATATATCAGTGCAATGCTTCAGCTGGCTTCAGCTCCCCGAAGTTCTTGGGCTGAATGAGCCTTTGTCTCGTTATGAAGTCGTTCTTGCAATTAAACAACAACAGAACAAGCGTGCGGTCGGCATTGACTCTATGCCAAGTGAACTGCTGAAATACGGAGCCGACGAATTGCACTCATCTGTTTGGGCACTGTTTCTTCGCATGTAGGAGGAAGAAAGTTTACCGACTAGTTTTAAACTATCTCGCATTAGAGCTCTCTACAAAAACAGGGAGGATCGTGTTGAGTGCAACTCCTACCGTGGAATTTCATTCCTAACAGTACCCGGAAAAGTCTCTGCCAGAGTACTTTTAAACCGCCTAATGAAGCTTTCCGAGGAGATTTTGCCCGAAACACAGTTCGGTTTTCGGCCTAATCGGGGAACCTATGAAGCCATTTTCTATGATGTCATTTGTAATGTTTTTGAAACACTGACTATCAACCTTGGCGAGGATGAGCTAAAACAGGTCGGTTTCGTCTTGGTAATCTGAAACTGACCACAAAGATATCTGTTTACATCGCTGCCGTTCTTCCAAACTTTCTATACTCATCTGAGACGTGGACCACTTATCGTCGCCACATCCGAACTTTAGACCGATTTCACATAAAATGCCTGTCGATGTACTGGGGTAGATGTCAGACGGGACGAGCTGAAAGGCCGACCCATTGCGGCAATAAGAACAATGTATATTACTACTATTACAACATATTAATACAATTATGAAGTTGGGTTCAAGGTCATTCCAACAGTACAAAAAAAATTGTATACATTATGTTTGCGTAAAGTTATAGCATTTTAATCTACCCAATGCTGATGGGTCTAGAAATATCCGCCACGCACTGGAAGAAATATCGTTGGGAGCGTATTTCGACCCGCCGCCGCGCCAGACGATGGTTTATGATTTTATGTGCTGCAACCATAACGATATTATTAACGATAATATATTTTTAAGTCGATATAACATTATTATTTATGAACCTATTTAAATAAACTTAGTGTTAAGTAAAGCTTACTACAATGCATTAGTAAAAGTTGTACCCAAACCAGTTAAGTTGTTTCTGAGATTAGATCAGTTACATCTTTATTATATGTATAGAAAGATATAGATATAGATAGATTCAGGAAGATTTGCAAATAGTTTTGTTACAGTAATAAAATTGTTCAGCTTTTGTCGGCGTGAAGGACTGCTCGAAGGAGACCTGAAGCATCCGAGCTATTTTAGGCTGCGTTACGACAGGAATCGGCCTGTCTCCTTTTCCAAAACAAAGAATTTTAGAACAGCCTTACTTATAAAACTGTAACGTAAAGTACATTTGTAAAGGAAACAAAGCATATGAATGGGTTGAATGAATTTAAAAGAGATAAAATATACTGTTAGAAGGAGAGGCTTGTAATGCGACGCTGTGGCAACAAATGAAAAAGTCTCTGAATGTATGAATCAGTCAGTTGTAGTAGGATGTAAAAAAATTTGTTTCTTTTTACTTAATTAGTTTGTTTGAAAAAAAAATTTAATTATGAATTTTTTAAACGTTAATATTTTTTTATGATTATTGGCAAGTAGAAGTGTGTTCATTTATTTTCGTGATGGTAACTTCTTGTATTAACTGATGTTTTTGCTTTCAGTCCCGAGACTATTAAAGCTTCATCTGACGCAGAACCGGTGGGCTAGCCAGAACCCACGGGTTTGGGCCCTCCGCTGTGGCCGCGCATGTGCTCATGCGTGCGTTTAACTACGACATGTCATGTAAGGGCCATCGAAGTTGCGGTGCGGACCGAGACCCCGATGGCCGTCGACTGTGTTTTTAGCTAATCGGTGGCTGGGGGCGGTGAGAACCGCCCTGGAACGCGGGTGTACCTTGTGTACGCGTTGTGTTGGTCTCGCCGTGCTCGGAGGCGAGGGCGAACTATTGTGTTTGTTGTTGCACTAACTGTGGGTGTAGTGTTGTCCGACCGGGTCGATGAGGACGTTTCGCGGGCGACGCTTGTTGATGTTCGCGTTTGTGTCGGGTTGGTAATTTGCTGCGCTTACCACCAGAGAGTTGGGATGATGTTCGGCTCTATCGAAGAACCGTTTGGTCAGGTCTTTAAAATATTCGCGAATCGTCGGGAGTCTGCAATTGCTGTGCAGATCGACGTTGCGTTGATACCACTGCGCACCGGTTGCACGGCGGATGAACTTATTTTGTACTATTTGCAGCTTATACAAGCGAGTAGGGTGTGTGTGGGCGAAGATCATGCAGGACATAATAGGTCGTACGCAGGTCTTATATAATAATAATTTGTGCCTTAAGGGCATTTTACTTTTAGCGTTAGTTAAATTGTGTAGCCGGCCGGAGACGAACGCGGCTCTATTACGAACGTTATTAATGTGCGTAGTAAATGACATACGCGAGTCGAAAGTGACTCCTAAGTATTTGACCTTTTTCTCCCAGGGGAGCGGTTGGCCATAAAGGGATATTTGCCCCAACTTTCTGCATTGGCGAGGACCATTATAAAGATGTGACGGGTAAGTACTTCGTGTGAAGTGAGTCGCTACACTCTTTTCGCGATTTATTTCTATTTTCCATTTGCGGAACCAGTCGCCGAGGCGGTCGGCGGCGCTTTGGAGTCGAGTGGTTAGTAGTCTAAGGTTGCGGTCTGAATAAAAGAGCGCCGTGTCATCCGCGAAAAGCGCGAGATTGACGTGGGGGTCTTTAGGTTTATCGCTCGTGTAGAGCGTAAAGAGCAAAGGAGAGAGGCAGGAGCCTTGTGGTACGCCGGCCGTGAGGCGGCGGCTTGTGGAGAGGGTGCCTTCAACTCGATATCGAAAAGAGCGGTTTGACAGGGAGGGCCGGATGGTGTGTACGAGCCTATCCGGCACTTTGAGTGTGTACAGCTTGTAAAGCAAGCCGTTGTGCCAGACCTTGTCGAATGCTTTTGCGACATCGAAGAAAAGAGCCCCTGTACTAATATGTATAGGGTGATTTAGGCCTTTTAGGATATGTTCCGTTAGGCGGAATAGTTGATCGGGACAGGAATGTCTAGCTCGAAAGCCGAATTGTTCCGCCGGCAGAAGGCCGTTGGTAAACACGTGTTCATTGAGCCTGTTTCATAAGCCGCTCGTAGAGCTTCCCCAGGCAACTGAGGAGGCTGATGGGACGATAACTAGAGGGCTGGTTGGCTGGTTTATTCGGCTTGCGAATGCCGATAACCGTGGCTTCTTTCCAGTCGTCGGGAAAGGAGCAGTAAAGTGTTGTAAATGGTCGCCAGTAAACAGATAAGCGGCCCAGGGAGAGCTTTAAGAATTTTGTTACTGATATTATCTGGGCCCGGGGCGGATTTCGGTTTTAGATTTTTAATAATATCTTGGACCTCTTCGGGGGTCACTGAATTTAAAGGTTCGCCTTCCGGAAGCGCAGCCCTAGTCTCGATTACGCGGTCCACCTCCGTTAGGTGGACTGTATCGGTGTGTTCGTGCGATGGCGTACATTGCTGCTCTAGGTTGTCCGCAAGGCATTCGGCTTTTTCGGAGTCATCTAGGGCTATTGAAGCGCTATTAGGTCTAACTAACGGCGGTAGAGATTCGCGGGGGTCTGCTTTCAGACTGCGGGCCAACCGCCAGTAGGCGGTGTGCGATGGCTCGATGTCCTCTAAGAGATTGTCCCACGTTGTATGTCGGTGTTCCGATACACGATCTTTTACTTCTAGCTGAAGGCGTCGAAGTAGGGTTCGGTTCGATTCCGATCGGTATCGGTCGAAGGCGCGTTTGGCTGCATTTTTCTGTCTAATTAGCAGTCTTAGGTCGGGCGGAATGTTAAACCGTCGGTCGCCCGACAGTTTCACCGTCCGTTCCGAGTCTGTGACTGCGGAAGTAATAGTTTCTCGGAGACTCGCTATCGCTCGATTTGCGTCATCGAACGTAGCTATCGTCTCGGGTAA